ATTTTTCCGATATAAAAGTATTTTATAAATCACCCACATCCATATCTACTCGTATGTCATTTCCAATAGATCATCATTATCATCAATTTTTTAAGCTAATAAACAAGAGCACTTCCTAAAAGCACTTGATGAGACAGATGATGATGTTACCAGAAAAAGTGTACAAAAAAGCTTTTTAAACAAGCGTAATTAGCAAAAACATAGATGTAGATTTAAAAGACGGATAATATTTATGCTAGAATTTTTTTTTTTAACTTTAATGCTCAGTGGAAGTCAGGATGTATGATGAAGTTTGAATCCAAAATATTAGGTTCTTTACAATAAATTATTCAATACGTGTCCTATTTTTAAGGAAATAATACAAATATCGTATCATGTTTTATGTCATTTTGGTGACAGAAAGGTCAGTTGGTGATGTCTGAGTGTGTGGAGCAAAAGGTTATTGGATTCAAATTCACGGAGAAAAAGAAATTTATCAAAAAAAACTTACAAAAGTCACATTTTCGAGAATGAGATTGGAATGACATGAAAAGAAAGTCAAACAGCATACAATTTAATTTTGATCATTGAAGATAATATACAGATACTTAAAATTGTTGCAACTTTATCTTATTCTTCTACTTATTATTTTTGACGGGATGACGGCATGACTGGAGATTTGATAGATTTGTTAAATTAAATATTATTCTGCGTTAATGTATCACAAAGACCTGAAGATTACTCGGAATGAAATTAAGAAGAAAATGTTAATTGTTGACAATAAATAAGAAGAACTAAAATCGATGATAATAAAGAAAATTCTTGCATTACAATTCAAACAATAATAAAGAGAACAAGATATCACATTTGTGTCGTCAAAATGTGCTTTACACTAATTTTAAAAAAAAGAAATTAGTAAAGCATTTTATAGAGTTTAACGTTATAAAAAAAATGTTAAGAAGGTTTTTTTTTCTATTCATTTAATTCTTGTTATCGTCATCTTTTATGAATAAATCACAGTTGATTGCTTTTGAAACCCTGAACCTTTTTCCAATTAGCATTTAAAATATGATCATAAAAATAAGTATTTCACAGTTGTAACCTAATGAAATATTATTCGAGAATCTTTCTATTAGATTGAATCTGATGCTGAAATTCAGTTCAGCTTAAGAAATTTTGTGCTCTTTCAATAATGTGGAAATAAATTAATTGAAGCATTGAAATGGCAAGCATTTCCGCCATTTATTTTTTTTTAACAAAAAGTTGAGAAATTGAGATTGGCACTTTGTCAGCTGCAGCGTGTTAAAAGCAAAAATAAAAATTTTTTTATGGAAAACTATTTTAGCATTTTTGGCATATCTATGAAAATGTATTTTATTCGTTACAAATAGAAAGTAAAAACTTTTGTAGTTCAGTTCTTAATTTAACGAAGTATAAAAACTTTACTAGAGGCAAACGAGAGAAAAAGATGAAATTAACGCTTGATTTTAATTTTCTATCATTGTTACATGTATCTTTTAATTGCTATTGGCGAAAATATTAAGAGCGAGATAAAAACTTCTCTTCATCATCATATGTTGAACTTTCAATAAAATACGGTATCACACATTTCTAGATTTAGATTATATTTTCTTTGTGTCTGTAAGCTTCTTTTGTTATTATCATTTTCATTTTCACCCACCATCTCCGCCGTAGACATAAAATTTTTCACATGTTCTATTGTTTTGATGATATTTTAAGTCATACCCTAGAGAAAATTTTATCAGATTATTGAGTGCCAATTATTTTTTTATTTTTATTTGCTTTGATAAATTGTTAAAACTTGTTTTAATCTTATTACTGCCTGAAGTCGTTTACCTTGATTTTTATGACTAGAAATTTAATTAACTTTATTGTTTATTTTGTAAAAATGTCTTCAGGACAAGTAAAGATTTTCATAGTTCTTCAATAATCTTTGAAAAATAATCAAATGTCACTGAAGTTTGAGGATTTGTTTGTGTTGTGTGATAAATGAGAAATTTTGATGGCACGTTTCTATATTTAAATTCTCGAAGCCTTTCTCAAGCAGATGAAAAAAAAAATGTTTTTTCTTTCTTAATATAATTTTGAGACTTGGCTTCTTGATAATCTGATAAAATTTTTCAAAAGGATCAGCTGGATTTTTAAATTGATAATATAAACGCAAAATTTAAAGAACAGACATAGGAAGCATATGTGGGGGAGGATAAAGAACAATGATGATATCATACAAAGAAATAAACATTCTCATTAATCTTGTTTCTGATTATGTAAGCTTCTATTATTTGATCGTGCTTAAGGTGCAATAACAACAAGTTAAAGAAGAGTGAAAACAATGTTTGTGGTTAAAAGATAATTAAGTTGCTTTTGATAAATGGAACAATCTCGTATCATTATGGCAAGTCTGCTCTAAACTTATTAGTTTTAATTAATTAAGAACAAGTTGTGATACTTTAATTGAAAAATTTATAGTTGTGTTAAGTAAGATCTTTATCATACAAGTTCGTAAATAATTCCTTAACGAGAAAAGTTAAAAACAATGGAAATAAATTATTTAAGACAAAAGCTGAACCTTATTTGTGTAATTTTGTACAATTGAACAAAATATTATTTTTGTACTTTTAATATTAATTGTGTACACCGTTTAAAGACTTTTAACATTGTTTATTCTTAAAGGTTAACAAAAGTGTAGAATGATTTTTATAGCTTTGTCATCATCATACCTGGAAGATCAAGGCTTTCACGAGTGGAGGATGTCAAGTGATAAGTAAAACATTCATAAAAAAAATGGTAGCAAATCGAGAACATTGTATAATTTATAAATAAAATGTAGACTTGTAAGTATAATTGTTGTCATCCCGTACATCTTGAAAAAACGAGACAGAATAAGGAAAAAGTAATAACGAAAATAAAAAATCATCCTGCGCTCTTAAGTACCATTATTAAGCATAATAATTTTCTATATTTTATTCATATCATTTCTCTATTTCCGCTGTATGATTTTTTTCTAGCTTTTTTGCTGATACAACAAGCATGTATGATAAATGAATAAATTGGACGAGAACGGGATAAAACTTTCTTTATAATTATAAACAAGTTCTTTTAATCCAAATACGGGCATTGAAAAAAGGAATGCAGACTAATAAATCAATATTTTCTCCCTTCAACGTGCATGTATACGTCGATCTACTACTGTGTTTCATTGGCACAGTCAATAGTTGAATAATGAAAAAAGAAAATGCAAACGAAATTAATAAGGCATTGGGTATGATTGAATCACCACGAGTTGCTCATCATCATCGCTGTAGGTTGTAAACATAAAAATTTTCATATAATGCATATATATCAAGCAGTGTCGCCGACATATGTCGTTTTTCGTTAGTAATTTATTTATTTATTGATTTTCCCTTCCATTCAATTGGAAGGTTCTTAACACTTTCCGACATCAGCAACAATGTGTACAATCTTTCATATCGTACAATCTTGATTTAATGTATATCTAAAATGAATGAACTTTTATTGCTCACAAAATAATGAATAGAAGATAAATAGAATGAACTTGTCACTCACTTTTTGCTTTTTTGTTCCTATTACCGCAAACGTCTTTGTATATTTTCATTAATAAAATGAGGAATGAGCATTTTGGGGTCTTTTTTATGGGAAAAAAAACATGACCAATTACTACGTACAATTTCCCTTGTGTACTAGATTAACTTAATTGCTGAGCAGTTCTCTTTGCGTTCATTATTGTTTTTTTTTCCAGCACACACTGAAAGCTTTCAAATTAATTTCATTTAATTATATCAATTGTGAGTTATGTCACCAATGATTGCGACTTTTGCTTATTAAAAAAGTCTGCCTGGAATGTTTAATTCCTGTTGCGATGTGGTTGAATACTATGCATTTTCATTTTCAAAGTTTGAAGTTTAGAAACCTTATAGAAGTCTTAAAAATCACACAAAATTTATTTTCATTGTTGAGTAAATTAAATTTTCTGGGTCAAAATTTAATTTCCCTATGCTTTACATTTTGAGAAGGAAATGTCATCTTTCCATAACAAATTTGTGAACTTGTTTAAGGACTTTCTGCTCACTGTAGCATTATAGAGTTTTAAAGGCGAGAAAATTTCTGGTCAATTCACTTCTAAGTTTCATGAAGAGTTCAATCGCTCAAGGGAAAATTGCTTGTATCCACAATATTATCGTCTTTTTACTTGTATGAAAATGGAATATCAATACAAAGGCTGACCATAGGATCTTTTGAAAACGAAGATTATAATCTTTGTGTGGAATTATTAAAATATTATAATCTGCGGTAACCTTGGGATTATGATTGTCGAATAAGATTTTCAAGAACATTATAGTTTTTAAAATGATACAATTAAATACAAAGGATATGTTAATTTTAAAAAAGGAACCTTTAATCCTAAAAGTGTGCAGATGAACACCCTTATCAATATGTGAAGAAAAAAAAAGTTATTTTAGAGAGGAAATGGATTGTCAGTAATTTAAAAAGTCTGTTTAGTTATTTATCATGTTTTGAAATTTTGAAAGCTTTTACTTCGATTTCCTGCCACCTTCAGCTATTAAATGTATTCAATTCTTTTTTATTTTTAGGTTCTAAATCAGTAAGCAGATTTTAATACGCACATATAAGACCTTTCGAAGAGAATTGAATTTTTAAAATATCTTTTTTCTTTTACAAATTGTCTTCGTATTTTTTTGCAATTTAATAAGAAATTTCATGATGCCGAGTGAGTTTTAAGGGGAATTTTCCATTTGACTCCCTTTCATTTCATGGAACAAAATATAATTCGAATCACATCTACATATTTTTCGGTATTAATATTAATATTTATGCTCGTCGAAAAAATAAAGTTGATTGTTCTCCTTCCTTCCTTTTTTTTTTTGTTTCACAAAAGTTTTTAGCCATCTACAACAACAATCACAATTTTCTGTCAATTATAATTCAAAATACGTTTATGGCAGTTCCTAATCTACTGTCTATACTGGCAACGTTTGTAATATCGTTTTCAACTTTTTTTCAGCGATTTGTTTAAAGTTTTTTATAAACATTGTTAATGTATCATCAAGATTAGCAATTGTTAACTCAATAACATTCTGATGTTTATAAATTTTTGACATGCTAAAAGCGGTGAGAATGAATATGGAAGTGAAAATTTAAATAAATTAATGAGGAAAAATTCTGACTTAATTTTCATATCCGACCACATCTTACTCAGTTGTTTATTTACATGATAATGTTAATGCTGATGGATGCGAAAATATTCGAAAAGAATTAAAGTAAAATTTTACTATTTTTACAGCTTTAATTGACTTCTGAGGTCTAATGAATAATCCTCAGACGTAATTAGGTGCCGTTCACTTATGACGTTCATCAAAAAACATACTTTTTAGTCCCCCCCCCCCCCCCCCTTCTGTAACAATCATACACACCAAAAAAATATAATTTTCTCACAAAAAAAAAGATGTCACAAATTTCTTGACCCCCCTCCCTCCCGTGTCACAAATTTCTTGACCCCCTTCCCACCCTAAATGTTGGACTTCACACATTTTTTGATTTTTATTTTAGTTCCTCAACTTTTTTTATAAAATTACTGGCCGGTTAGAATAAAAATATCAAGCCGCTAGAGAAATAATGAACTATGGTTTCAGTCTGAACAAAAAGCAATGTAGAAATTATAATGATAGGTTTTGACAGTTTTGGTCTTTTACTACACGAACGGAAATAGCCGTTCTTAAAATAAATGTCTCATTTGTTAGCTGTTTCTAACTGCATAACATTTGCAGTTGAAGAGTTTGCAAATTATTAAAGGATTACAAGTCGCGACCTGAAGACATTATCCAATCATTGGTAATAAAAGTAACCAAATTAAAGATTAGCAATCTAGGATAAATACTGGAAAATTAAAAACCATTAAATAACGTCAAAAGCCTTTTCCCTCAAGATTACAGTTTCAACAATCGTAATTTCGAAAAATTGGAAACATTAGTCGCCTTCGTTTTGAGAAAACACGCTAAACCTGACGATTATCCACGGTTTACTCAAATACACGAGATATAATCCATTTGATGGTTTATCAGGTGAGCCACAAGAGGAGGGCTCGGAATGACGAGAAAATGAGGAAGAGCATAATGAAACTCACACTTTGAGTTAAAGTAAAAAATCAATAAAAAACATATTGTTGAACCGTAATATATTATTTCTAGGAAAATGTGAAAACATTCAGGTCAATTGGTGTCTATAGTGGGGCGAATAAAAAGCGTTTTAATCTGTCCGCATTTAAAATACTCTCGATTAACCTTTTTCGTGCGGGTTCAATCACCATAACAATTTTTGTATCCATCTGATTCGATATTGATCGGTCATTTTCAAGAAAATACAAATTTCATGACATTATTATCTTTGGCTTATTGATTTTCAACAGATGTTTATTTCATTCTCTTATTAGGTATGTCAATAACGAAATGGAAAATGGGTAAATGTAGTTAATCAAATAATATAGTATGTCCATAACATTCAATTCTTTCACTCAATTTTTTCAACGAATGAAGAATGTTGGAGACATGGTCGATTTGATGTTAAACTTTGCTTATCCTTTAGAAAATTTAGTAATTGTTACAAGAGATTTATGTTCTGTAACACTTTTGTTCCACAACAACATAATTCAAAATGTCAGTTAAAGACTAGTAAAGATGTATAAAAGTCACTCACCTTTGGCCATCATCAGTAAAAGCAAAATCTCCGAGCAAAAGATCTCGAAAACGATAGCGTGGTGGTAGAGACATTTTTTGAAGCTCGGAATCATCAGCAGATTGAAGGACATCGTCTAAGGAATGTCCATCATTTGTCACCTGCTCTGCAGTGGTAGGAACATCGACATATCCATCAGGTCGAGCACGGCCAGTATGGCGATGAGTGTTTATAATTCGAGACAACAGCTTTTACAATAAATATTATTAATGATTTTTTAGAATTGGAATAAACTTTCTTCAAACTGTGTCTTATTTTCAATTATTATTGCTCTGTACACTTTTATCACTATCCTTATTTAGCATTTCTTATTCATAGCACTCTCAAGTATTCTTGTTATTGATGTGTTAAGTTGAAAACTACAATTTATGTTGATATGTACGCACACTACTTGCGATTAAATTATTAACATATAAAAAGTTTTTTTAGCGAGTCCACCCTTAAAGTTACAAACTTTAATGTTCACTTTATGACTAATTTAGTCAATTATTATGTATATAAAGGAAAAATCAATATTAAAATTTGATCAAGTTTTTCATATTACATAAAATGAACTGAACTTAATGTTATATTGGACATAAACTATTCAAATATTACTCATGTGAACTAACAGCATGGATAAAACTGTAATTTATGTAGCTACTGCATGTAAAAAGCTATTAAATTTAATTCACGTTTGATGTTTTACAACTCGCCAATGCTGTGCTATTTTTAAAACACTATCCTACACTTTGCAATTATGCTCTATTGATGAATAATTCCAACTTTTTTAACTGGATTACAAGAATATCTTCTTTTATACAGATTAGCATTTCAACTTTCACACAACTTTTTGCTGCTTTATGCTTTCTGTCCAATCAATGCATAATATAATATGAAAACTTAAAACTTTTTCATTCACAGAACACGAAATAGTTAATAATATTAAGTAAATCACAAAAGCACTAAACAATATTATTTTTTGATGATCTTCTTTGCATTCCTTAATTCTTTAACTACACTGGATCATTGAATTTTTCTTTAATACACTTTTTCAAATTTAAACAACAAACGTACACGAAAAAGGATGAATCAATTATTAATTTTATGTGATTCCATGAATTATTATTGGCGTTTTACGGAGATTTTTAAGATTTTGTCAGCTACTCTTCACAGTCACGTTTAAACTGAATTTTCTTCACGGAAAACTGTTTTTCTTTCATTTCTCCTAGTTCTCTCGACTGTTTTCTCTCGCTCTTATTTTTCTCACGTCTCTTTTTCGATAAGGTATCACTTTAATTAAGCTTAACATAGCATAAAAACCGCGTAATCAAAAATTAATTAAAGTCAAAAATGTCAACTAGATTAAAATCAAAGCTTTCTTTAAAACTTCAACCAACGAATTTTTTTATTTTTAAAAAATTGAAAGAATATTGATGTTTGAATTTAAATTTGTTTTTACCGTTATAAATTTGAATTTCATTAAAAATGAATATCATTTTATGTCAAAATATTCCCTATATTAAATGCATATTAGATGTTAAAATTATAGAAGGAAAGAGTTTGAGAGACAATAACAGCTGTGAGAGTAATTTTTTTTTTCTGTGAAAAGCTTTCTTAAGAAAAACGTGAGAGTAGCAAATCAAAATTGAGAGCGCCACGTGGTTAGTGTAAAAGAAAGTATTTTCAATTGCTCATATATGAGTTTTCACATGATTTTCTTAAAAAAGCCAGAAACTTAATAAATGTTTATTGATCGTTAAAAAATTAACGTTTCTTTGATACATTTAAAGTATAAACATTTTCAGAAATAATTCCATTAACGACTAAACATTTATTTTCCAGAAATATCAGATTCCTATACATTGGCATTATGTATAATCCAAGAAAACTTTTTTGTTTTATTTCAACTGTTACAGAATCTCATATCCTCCCTTTGTTTTAAGTGAATAACTGGAACAATTCGTTTAATTTTAAGTACGAGTATCGAAAGAATGCATGCCAAAGCTTTTTAAAAGTACACGATATCGTTAAGTTTCCATGACAACGAATGCCAAACAACTTTCTTGAAAACAGACAAAGTTCGCTTGCATCTTATTATTTACTTAAAAATAATAATAATAAAATTATAAGAAGTTAAAAATTAATTAAACACTCGATGAAGTTGTCATTAAAAAGACATTCCTTTATTTTATCATTTCAATTATTCTTCTTGATAAGTGATTTGGTTTTTAATTGTACAAGTATATTCTTCAATGAGGGGAAGTCGTTAACATTTTTTTACTTCCTACAAGATTCGTTTCTTCTTTTATTGTTGGCATCAATAATTTATTCATGCTACAGTACAACATGCTATCAAGTGGGATTGACTGATATAATCCATCGAAATTTTCGAATTCCTGTTTTTGTAATCCTGTGCTATATTTCGATATCCTTGTCACTTCATTTGGTGACAATGTATTATTTACGAAATGGAGAATCACCAAAAGTAGCGACTGCATTACTCGTCATACAAAAAATACGTAAGTTCAATCATGTTCAATGCAATTCACAAAATAATTTTATTAATTCAATTTATTCTTAGTGTGTCCGATAAACTTTTATTTCTCGAAACGATCTGTGCTTATCATCTCTGATCCAAGATATTACGAGAATTAAGAAAAACTTATATTATTTTAATAAATTTAAATTTTCAATCGCAAACAGCTTTTTATTTTTTAAAATTTTAACAACGGTGAGCAACAGCTTGTTGCTTAATTTTCAATGTAAAAGTGACGCTTTAAGGGTAGATTTAGCAAGTGATGTCAAACACTTAGTGCTTTAAAGCTTTGTGACAATTTGCAATGAATGTTAATTAATAATATATAATTTAAAATTTTAAAACAAGAGTTTAAGGGGGGGGGGGGGGGGGGGGTGAAACCGAATTTTGCTGCAGACGTGATAAGTGAATGATTCCTTAAGAATTGAGTCAAAGACTTAAAATATCATCACAAATACATAGGTAGGTCTGTGTTTTTACACGAATAATTTTGAAAGTATTGGTCGGGGCTCTATTGTGTTTCTCTTAAAATTTCACATCGCCTTTATTATTTCGTTTAAATTAATTTTATCAACAAAAATAATAGACTAAATATCGATGTGGAGCATTAATTAATCCGGGAAGTGATTGAAGAACGTTAATACATTTAATTTTCGTTCAAGTTTAGTTGATTTGTGTTAAAAATACAATAGAAAGAATGATCAAATTTTTTTGATTTCGTGTAATTTTTTTTGAATAATTTTTAATTGAATATACATTGCAAAAGTTAATTAAGTGAGTGAATAGTGGTGTTTATATAATTATTTAACCATCAAATTGCTCAAATAAATAAAAGGATAACATCACCAATCGGAATTTAGCTGATCTTTTGAAAGTCAACAGAAGAACTGGAAGTTTTAAAAGATGTCGGATCAGGTTTGTAGGCTTAATTCGTGTATAATGACTCATCTATATGTTTAAGGTTAAAAAATAACTTTGCGACGTTTGTGAATATTGAGAAGAGAATATCGCATTTATAAAGAGGAATAAAATATAAAAATATTTGGGCAAAGATCCAAGAAAAAAAAATACTTTTCTTCCAAGGAAAAGTGACTGACAACAACGGCGCTACATACTCGATGATTAAGTTCTAGGCAGTTGAAAAAAAAAATTCTCGCGATCACTTAATCATGAAAAAAAAGAAAGAAGGAAGGAAGATAGAAAAATGAGCAGTGCATATGATTGAGTGAAAACATTTCTCACGATGTTCATCTCAGAGAAATCATATATATATATCGTTTTTGAGAATGGGATCCTTCGATCGTGTCGTCCAATATTTTAGATGATCGAGTCTGTAGTTGTAACACTGCGCTTCAAAAAAAAGTCTGTATAACAGACGCTACTTGTGAACGACTTGATTCATACATTTACGTACTTAAAATCAGTTCTTGCGAAATCGGTGCATTACAGGTAAACTTGCGAGATGCTTAATTTATTTAACTCACAGTATTCAACGTCAAATCTCTTTTGGGCTATAAGTTATCTTATTAGTGATCATAAAATATTACATGGACACATCAACAACATGTTGAGGAGGTCACAAAAGATATCTCAATTTATTTTCATGAATATTCACAAAAAAATTATTATTTAACGTATTTGGTAGAAAAATGAATAAACCATTTTATACATTTTCATCGTTGCCATCGCGCATTATAAAAACACTTGTTGAACGTACGGTAGTGTAATACCTTTCGTCCCACAAACTACGTAACGAACAGACATCGATTGGAATGTAATTAGCGTGTTGGGTTCGTTCATTTTTCTTGATACTAATGCTGCCATTGATGATGTTAAGGAAAGCATCTTAGTTTTTGGCTTTGTAAATGTGACATTTTTGGTCTTCATTTCATAAGATCTGTTTTTTCTGTTTCTGTTAAAAATTCATTTGATAAATCTTTTCGTTCACATATGCTTTTTGAATGGAGAAAAGGAATGAAAGGAGAAAGAAATCTCAAATACGTGTCGATATCTAAAAACTCTGAATTCCAATATATATATTTTTGCACAATTTAGTAAAACATTTATGTATGGAAATAAAAGCAAAATATTTATTCAACATCATGATGTTCCGTTTAGACAAAAAAAAAGTAATATAATTGAAGAACGAGATTCTCGTTGAATTCATTTTCCATAGAACAAATGCCGTTTATAAAAACGAAACAATTGTATTGAAAAGAAGAATAAAGAAATTCAATTAAGGGCATATTTTAACTAAATTAATTGGGTCAGTGCAATTATTTTAAAAAAAATTCTTCAAATACAACACGAGGGAGAAGAATTCCGATACACATAAAAGATTTTGCAGTCTGTTACAATAAACTGAGTTTTATGTTTGATGATGTTATGATTTTTCGAATGTTAAATTAAAAAAAGAAAATGGATCTGATCGTTAATTGAAAAGGGGTCGAAACTAAAAAGGTGATGTAACGAATGAAAACTTCTAAAACTATCAAAGCGACTTAGTGAAAACCAAAGAAAAGTTCTTTTTAACCATTTTAGTATTAGTAATTCTAATGATTTGTAATGAGTTTGACCAGAAAACTTTATTTTTAGAATTTTTCGAACAAATGCACATAAAGCAGAAGCTCAAAATTAAACGGAATATCTCGTTTTCTTCTATGTTTAACGACTTACATTCAAGCCGGAAAATTATGTATTGTAATTAAATCGCATGTACTGTTTTATATTGGTTTATGTGAGATATAATTTTTTTGCCTCTCTTCAAGAAAACCTCAAATTAGATTTTTTAAAAGTAATATTTTACGATCGGCTTCCGTTTCAAGTAAAAAATTAAATTATTAGATAAATCGTTATTATTCACATTGCATGATTGTTAAAAATCTCTTCATTGAGATTTTGTATGAATAAGGGAAGAAAGTTGCGTAACAAAAGTCGAAGTAATGTAAATTATAATTTGCTTCCTTATACTTGCGAGTATAAACAGTAACAATTGTGTCTTGCATATAGTTTCATCTTCATTTCACACAAAAATTCTCACGTCATATTCCTTAATAATAATAATAGCAATAATTGTCTTTCTCTTCCATTTCTTTTCGAAATATCACAAGATTTTTTCTTCACCATTTAGCAATTGTTTTATGACAATTTGTTGTGTTTTTTAAAGCACGCCAAGTTTAAATGTACATAAATGCAAAGGCACTTTAGTTATGCGATCAATATGTATTATATGAGAATAATGGAATTTTTTAAATGCCCAGTAAATGTTTTTGTCATCAACTCTTTTTTTATGGTAAAATAAGTAGTTTAGTAATCTCCAACTCAGATGTCAGTCTAGACAAATTGAGTCCATATTAAGTGAATTTGTGAAACATCGCTAAAAATTATTTGCCATTGAAAACAAACAAACAAGGAAGGAAAGAATAAATTCTAAATTGTGCAGCAAAAATGTGAAAATTGCAGTAGTTGTCTACCGTTGCTACTTACTATCCTATGAGCGACAGTTTAAACTACAATGGAACATTATAATTTGCTATACAATACTTTGATGTGAAAATGATAGCATTCAATTACTAGACACGAGATGAATATCTCTCAACTTCAATCTTTATAGGAACAAAGAGAAGCAAAAATTAAAAGTTTTTATTTTTTCATCACCAATGACAATTATGACGTAAAGTCGTGTCCATTTTCACTTGCTAATTAATTAGTGGATGAAGAGATGTGAGAGAATAATCCATACGTGTGTAATTTTTTACACGCTTTTATTTAACTCACACTGTTTGTATGTTTCATGCGTCAAATTTTGTAATCCTTATTTCGATCACTTCTACTACTCCAATCGAGCTCAAATTTTTTATGCACACTTATTCTCGGTGACAATACAATATTTTAACACTTTAAAACCACAAAAATGCTTAATTATAGTACAATTTAAGTAAAACTTTTTTATATGGGAAAAAATCCAATGTCAATGACATATAATTTTGATTTGTTTAAAATATTATACTTGCAATGCTCAAAAGTTATTTACATGATTCATTATAGTTTTATAAATATTATTAATTATTAATTATACTATAAATTTGAACAGCTAAAGATAATCTGGTAGAACAAAAAATTGACAAGTAATTTTTTCATGAATATTCGTAAGTGAAAATTTGAATTTCAAAAAAAAACCGCTCAGCGCAAGTCAGTTACGTTTTAATACAAAATAACTATTGATATACAAATATGCATTTAGCACACATCGTTTGAGCATAATATATATGCTTTTAATGTAATAGATTGATTCTTAACAATTCACCAACATTTAATTAAATTCACTTTCTTTTTATTAACGGCTTGACGCAAGCTTGGCGTATTTTTTCATAACATATAAATGACATTCATTGAAATTAAATTTGAAAAATCCGTTATAAATACGTTAGTATTTAGTAGGAATGGTATGAATAAACACAAAATCTTTAAGATTGATTTTTAATGTACTTTACTAATTGATGTTCAGGACAATTTTAAGAGTTTAATGTGTTTCCAAGTTTGAATTAAATTATATAAAACGAATGAAAAATTTTGATAGTCTTTACTAATTACCCATTAAAAACTGGTAATCAATAAATAGTTGAACGAAACGGAGTGAAACGAAGTGAAGTTTAGAATTTTGGAAGTTGAATCGATTTGGAAATTTTATAAGACTAAAAAGTAGAAAATAAAATACTTTAAAAAAAACTTTTTTTTAAAAAAAGCACGCTTTTATTTCCGATTACAGAGCACTGAAAAGGAGAAAATAATTTTTTTTGCTAAGATCTCAAATTTGATACAAAATTTTATGACTCAAAATAAAAGCGTGGGGCGCTGTTATAAATATCACTAAATCTTGAATTTGTATGTTTACATAAGCGTTAGGTCTTCAATGTTTATAGGATTTTTTAAGGAGAATGATGAGCCCTTACAAATAATGGTAAATCTGAGACGGTAGACTTGATCTCCATGAGAATAATGTAGAGTTTTCTGTGTGGCACTAGAAATCAAGTCTTACTCTCCTGCTAAATCTAACTAGTTCCTTTGTGTCAAAAAATAATTTGAGATCAAAACTTTAAAAGGTCTTTCGTTTTAATACAAAAGTTGAATTAAGAAATGAATAATTAAACTGAATTAAAATAAATTTTGAAAAATCTAGAGCTAATTTAAATTTAACGCCCCACGCTTTTATTTTGAGTCATAAAATTTTGTATCAAATTTGAGATCTTCGCAAAAAAATTATTTTCTCCTTTTTAGTGCTCTGTAATCGAAAATAAAAGCGTGCTTTTTTGAAAAAAAGTTTTTTTTAAAGTACTTTATTTATGTCAAATCCTACCTTCTTCTTATTATAATACACATGTTCTAATTTCATCTTAGCAGGAATTTGGAACGAAATTGTAAAACAGAAGGAGTAAACACATGTTTAATTCATTTCTGTTAATTTAATTGACAATTTTTCTGTCCACTTTCGAGTCATGTCTATTGAAATCTTAATTACTAACGTGAGACGTCTTGTGGATTAAGTTTATTTTGAATAGCGATCCACTTGTCGAAAATGCTTTTCAAATAAAGCAATCAAAATTCATCAAGAAAGTTATAAGAATGGGAGTTAAAAAAAACTCAAAAATTTTCGAGATTTTCTACTGTAGAAAGAGCCCCACGTATGAATTAAAGTAAATAATTTAAGCGAAAGTTATGTGCTCCCCTCTCTTTTATTTAATTTGAAATCTTTTGGTCATGTTTTTCTTTGCCTATCGTTAATCTATAATCGTCAATATATGATACTCACACCTACCTTAATAATAAACACATGGCAGTTCTAGAGACAAAGAAAAAGAAGAAGAAGATGAAAGAAATTTGATTATCATTGATCAAAAAGAATTAATGGAATCAATATGAAAATTAAATTGGCTTGCTTTTATCGTCATCATCAAGGAGGAGGGTTCTCATTATCGACTTTTGTGTCCATCGATTATTGATTATATGAAAAGCATAGACAACAGCGATATATAATATTAAATAACTCCATATATGGAAGCAAATAGACGATTGATTTTACAAATATGGAAATAGCTGAAACATGCTTCCTCGAACAAAGATTCTATACGTAAAGTCATTGAATAATTGTACCGTTGATATATTTATGATTAAAATCGTGTAGATTTGTGTACACAAAGTGGATTTTAATCAAGGATATGCTGAAAGATTTCGCTTTATTATAGCTCGTAATAAAGTGCAATAATAGAGAAATGAGATCTCACGTATAAAAAAATGAGCAAACATGCGATAAATAATAACTATTCATTAACTCTACATCTATTTAGTGTTTATATAAACGTCCAAGGAAAAAGTTGTTGCCATTGTTCGTAATTCTTCGATTTGTCAAAAAATTGTTTGGTCGTCAAATCAATTAGAAACAATTGGATTAGTTTAATTAAATAAATATTTTCTACATTACACTTTATATTAAAGAGGCTGGAGAGTTGAAATGTATTTCAGTTATTTGAAGTCGGGACATAAAGGAATTCTATTTTTTTTTCTATTAATTAATGCAGGAATTATATCAGTGAAAGTGGGAGTTTCAGACGCTCTTATTGAAATCATTAGAATGTAAGCTAAATGCGCTGAAATCATCAATTTGCGGAAAACTCCATCACTATTTCTTATTTACTTACTCAACCATTTACTCAATGAGATCAATCAATATGTGTATTTTTGTTCATTCATTCTTCTTTTCTCTATCTCTTGTTACTGTTGTTGCTTCCTTTGCTTTACTTTACTCAAGAAAGAAAAAAAAATGATTCGAATATAATGCATTCATGATATTTTTAATAAGTATTTTTTGTCTGAATTTAAAAAGAGAGGAATAAAATTTCACAAAAGATTTTTCTTATTCGTCTTTCCTGCATTTACAATTGTCTTCTCTTATTTAATTTCATTTTCATATATCTCATTATCATAGCAAAAAGATTTTTTTTTTTCCTTTCTTTCTGTAGCTTAATAACATAAATAATAGTCGGTAATGCCCCGCAAATGTGGCTTTTATAACCGGCATCAAAAGACACAAACCTGATTCTTATATCATTATTATATATACATACAGTACATTTAATATTTTAGTTGGTGAGTCTCTCACTCTCTCTCTCTCTCGCTCGCACTTTGTGTGCATTACATACTATACACAATTTTTCTTTCATATTATTTTTTGTTATTCTTTGCGCTCCGTATTCATACGCCACGAGCTCAATATTATTTTTTCAAATCTACTTCAGTGCTGTTTGTCTCTTGATTAAGTTAAAATGTGCTTCGCGCAACATTTTCTTGTATATTTTTCTTAAGTTTGTTTGGAGTTAAGGAAGGAAATCGAATAAAAAATGTGTGAATAGAAAATATTTGTGTTAGAAGTTGATAAAGAAAAGTGAAAATTTTAGATAATTGTTTATCAGAATGTCAATTTACGTCGGGCATTGAACCAATTGATAAGTTAATCGAGACATTTTGTTTGTGACAAACCTCAGTAGGACTGCTGCTGTTGTTCATTACTGATAAAAAAAATTAATTAAATTCACTGCTGTTGATGTACAAATGGTTAATAGTTTTTATTATAATTAAATCAATTAGGCAGTGATTTATGAATTAGCAACAAAATATTAATAAGCAAAAAAAAATCAATTTCAATTTTAAGAAATTTTAAAAAATATATAAAATTGATCAAAAAATTATTCCAAAGAAGAAAACAAAAGTGATGAATAGAGAAAAGTGAAATTGCTTCATTAGTGATCAAAATACGGTGAATGGTATTTAACGCCTAAAATATGAAAATAAATCACGATTGATATGCGACTCAGTTCCTCAATCTCTTAAACTTAATTACTGTAATCCAAAGAAAGTTAAATAATATAAAATTTATGCAAGTTCTCAAGCCATGCACACTATGGTGCTTTTCAAGGAACTTACATCAAAAATTAAAGGATACCTGTCAAATGGAGTACGTATATCATATTATAAGCTTAAAATTATATAAGTGAAAGGTTTCAGTCTACTGTCTTATCCACCACATGACACTATAACTAATTGTCTTTATTTAATCGCTGGGCTACTTGTGACAGTAAATTTGTGTATGTACCACTTATCTAATTAGCTTGAATTATGCTGTGAAAGAAAACTAAACTAGTTTATACTTCCATTGCTAAGGTCAAATTGACAACACGACAACTTATTTACATTTAAGAGTGAAATTATAAATTACAAAAAGATTACATTTTACTCATCACTTTATGTAAATTATTTTGATTGTACTTGAGTTTATTTCTATAATTTCTAGTGTCAGCGATTTTATTTACAAACTGTGTTTGACTATTTTCTTTAATGCTCGTCCATTATATGTGTATGATATGCCATAATCAGCTTCCATCTTTGAAATCAGACATAAAAATCAAGTGTGTGACTATTTTTCCTAATTTTTTTCTCAAGCTGTTTTAAAAAAAAATTGAAATTCAGAAGGCATGGAATCAATCCCAACCGTATCAAATAATTGTAAACAATTTTCTATTTCATTGATACAGAAAGTTTTTGAACTGATAATTTTGTGAAACAAAGAAAAAAGAGTTAAGATAGTACAGTGATGATGTTGTTTAGTACCATGATGCATGAAAATTATAACGATATTATTGGGAATGAAGAATTTGTTGTTTTTTTTATAACTGAAGAATTCCAAAAAAAAAATTGTTAATCTGATAATGGCTAGGTAGCTCCACATAACTCTGAGAATTAAGATGTCGTAATAAATTGATAAATGTGCATCAAATGAAAATTTGAGTCATTATACTGTATGTGCATTATACTGTTAATTTTGATGAAGTCATCTGGAAAAGGCTTTATGTGAACATTAGATTAGAAATTCAAATTTTAAACGATTTGATCGTATCCTATTACACATATCTGGATAACACATAACATATTTGGTAAAGTTATACATCATACGATTAATGTCAATCTTTATAAAAGTCATTTATACATTGTTGTTTAGGATAAAATAAATTACAATTACCATAGGGGCCATTCACTTATTACGTAACGCTTTTAGGGGGAGGGGGGGTCTAAGATTTTGTTACGATTCAAACAAGGAAATTTTTTTTTCATACAAATTTTGTTACGAGGGGGGGGGTCTAAGAAGTCATTTTTTCGCGTTACGTAATAAGTGAACAGCCCCATACCGATATGAATTATTCGGAGTTTTAAATTAAACAAAAATTCATAATGGTATTATACGTACTTTTACCTAATAATCAAAATGATCTATTATAAAATCTCATGTATAAAAAAAGATCAACAAAGTATTTTGTCATTAAATCATGCAATAATCATTACACGGCAATGTTCGCATAAATCATATGCCGCGCACATTCACGGTTATAGTTGTTTGAATCAAAATATGAAAAAACGAAACAAATATCTTCATGCTTATGTACTTATGCTGTATATGCATGTGATGACATGAGCGAATAAAGAAGTTAAAAAAGAAAGTGAAATTAATATATCACAAAAAAAAATAATATTTTGATGCTATTAAGCGTTTATGATGATGATGAATAATCATTTTCTTTCCTTACCTTTTGCGAAAAGATAATTCACATCGGACACAATTATACATGAATTACATGTGTGAAAGGGAAACAGAAATTACGAGAAAAATAATGATCGAAGATGACTGAATTTTTTTTCTGCCTTCCAAAATACGAAATTAAAGTCACATTATGCGTTATTAGTGGGTTGGTCCTCATGATTACATAAAAATTTCAAATTGTTTGCATTGAAATGTGCACAAAATAATGTTAGTTTCAAGACATTGAGCACAGAGAATGTCAATAATATTTGTTTAATGTCATTGTTATCATCATTACATATTAATTTTGTTACTTTTTCCATTTATTACTCTTTCATAAAATGATTACATATTTATCGTAAAAGTGATATAATACAATCTATCTATTGTGTGCGATCATCATGAACTCCTACAAAAATCTAGGGTTCGCCCACATGCACATACATGCGCATGCATGCGCATATGTCTGCATATATGCAAATTTACATGCGCATGCATGTGCATGTATGTGCATGTACGTTATTTTAACAAAATTTACACTTTTTACTATCAAAATATGAATTTTATTTTATTTTTCAAATTTTTCTCATAATACTAATTGATATTAATATGAAACATGTGCTCTTAGAAGAAAAAAAAACCGTTTTTTTTTTTAAATATTTGAATAATAAATTTTTGCGGAGGATTTAAAAACAAATTATTCGTTGCAAATTCTGATTTTTTTTATTTCCACTTCATTTATTGATCTTAAGAAATTAGTCTAAAATCAACCAGTAAAGTTGCTTGACTTAGTCAAATCATCATTTTTTGGACCAAGTTAGCCTCATTTATAAAAGAAATCTAATACCCAAACAAATGTCATTGGAAAGCTTGAGGGAGACGATGCACCTCTTCCATCCGTTTATCACTACTTTAGAGATATGTACCAGAAGTTTGAAGGCAATGTGGATATTCAGGTGAAAATAAAGAACAGACTCAACTTTTTGTACACATCTAGTATGGGATTAGCATACTTATTGACTCCTAGACATGCTGCGACAGGATATTTTTTTGAGGACGATAAAATTGACATTATGAGTTCGGTAGAGGAGTTTTCATGTGGCTTATCTTCGGAAATTGCTGTAAGGCACAAGAACAAATCATATCGTTTGTTGAAGAAATGTCCATGCTTCCGCAGAAAAAAAGAGATTTCTTGTTTAAAATGTCAGCAAGAAACTATTGAAATATCATTGGAAAGGAAAAGTATCCAGAACTATCCAAAATAGCACAGCCGATTAGTGATATGATTTGTTCTTCAGCTACTGTAGAAAGAGTGTGGTCACAATTGGATTCATACATTCGCGATTAAGGAATAGATTAACAAATGAACGAGGAAAAAACCTTGTTTTTATATACACAAATAGTTTACTCTTAGATACGTTTGATAAAAACGATTACATTGCAGAGGATGGAGCTTTTCTAAGTGAAGTGGAATGTGAGGAACTAATTGATGATTAGGTTAACGTTTAACGTTTGATTATTATTTTTGTTAATATGAATAGTCATTATTTTTGCTAAAATAATTGAAACATTCAAATTATTACGCCCAGTATAACATTAGAATATAGTTTATATAACAGTTTTTGTCATTAACTATTAATGTGTTATAAATCTTTTTTTGTTATTCATAATAATAAAAGAAACATAAAATGCTGTTAACTCTCTGTTATTATCTACATGCGCATGTACATACGCATGCATGCGCATGTATGCGCATATTTTAACATGCACATGCATGTGCATGTCATGTTGGCGAACCCTACAAAAATCACTCAAACAGTAAACATTATCACAATCACTGAGTACTCCAAAATAAGTATAAAACCGTACTAAGTTGTTTACGTTTCACATTTTATCACGAATTAAATGTGACGCACACGGAATTTCGGAAATAATCGTCATCATAATAATCAAGCGATAATTGAAAGTCAAGGAAATGAGAATGACTCATAGAGTTACGTGTAAATGTCTTCTTCATTGTAGTTTATTACGAGAAATCCGATTTTATATGTTTCTACGCTGGAACTTCATTATTTATTTTTTTGATTCTTTTGAAAGAATGAATAACCACAAAAAAAATCTCATAAATGTGAGAACTAAAGTAGAATTTTTTTACTAAGGCTTCCACTATCGCTTAAATGGATTGAAGAAATGAAACAAAACAGCCATGAAAATTTATATCCACGAGCATGTTTTACATACGTTTTCACCCATTACACAATTCCTTAAAACTTTACCAAAGTTCATTTGATGGTCGAGAATTATATTGTTCAAGGTAAAATTTATGTTGTTGATGAAACTTACTACGTCAAACAAATTATTAACTTTTTCTGAACATAATGCAGTTGTGAATAAATTATATTTTCGCATTTGTTGTTTTGTGCTTCAACATTGTCGATGTTTTACGGAAACTCTTAATCTAATAAAACTCAGGAAGCCTTTTTTTCCGAAATTTGTAATTTTAAGAGTTCACTTCCGTTGCTCATTAGATATCAGAGTAATCGTGAATGTAAAATAATTAAGTTTGGACTACTCTGCTTGTGTTCATTGTAGTATTAAGATCCTCAGCATTAAAAAGCTATCAATAAGTATAAAAATCCATCAAAAGATTTTCCAGCACTGCTATGAAAACGATATCGTCTCTGCATGTCGACAAAATTGACTCCACTTTATTTATAGCATCATGTCAATAGGTACCTTTATTATTTTCTATACTTTGATGTTTATTTGAAATGTTATCAAAGCACTTGATAAGATAGAGGAATTTCAACCCAAATATTATATTCTCTTAAATTGCATAAATTATGTCACACACACACACACACACACACAATACACGACCACTATTATTACTAAATTGAATAACAGAAACCATAAAATGGTTGGAGATAATTTACTAAGCTCAATAAATTAATGCACTCTTCTTTTCAAAGGTTTATGTTCCTAAACGGATTTAGTAAAATTAAGTTGACATGTTTTAAGCTTTTGTAACAGAAAGTCGAGCAAATGTAATCTACGCACTAAAAGTAAGAGTAATTGAAGACGAAATATTGATAAAACAGTTACAACATCAACAGAATTTACTAACTGGAATTGCTTGTTCACTGCTATGCTATGGCATGCATATAATAGTCATTGATTTTCGTAGCACCTTGTGCCAGGACTTGAACTTCCTCTTTTATGAACTTTTTCCACATATTTTAATGCGTTCATTATTCAATAAAAAAAAATATATTGATAGAAACTTTTTACGTTATCAATTTCATATCGAAAATTTTATTTTTCTGGTTTATGAACAAATACAAAAAAGACAGAGTTTATATTTACCTTTGTGACGATCATAATAATAATTTTAATACTTTTCTCCTATTCTCAAATTTTATTATATTTGTGTTTTGATAACAAAACAACACATGTTTCCAATGATATAATAAATATGTATGGAGCGAAAATTTCCCATATATAGACGAAAACTGTGTGCGCTTGTTGAATTTGTCGAGTTGATAATGAAAAAAAAAAAAGGCAAAGAGAGGCGAGCAAAAATAATTGCTTTAGTATATGTTAGACATTCGTCGCGAAAGCACGTCGTTATGCTTTAGGTGTTGATGGGTGAAACAAGTTGTAATAATAAAATATAATATATATCTATATAAACACTTTACTGATAAAAATCAAAGTTTCGTGCCTGACTCATTCACAAGAAAAGAAAGATTTAAAGAACAAGAAAAAATAAATAAATAAACGTAGTAACACTTACGTAATTAATCATATTGGAGAGTTATTAGTTGTTGATAGTTATCATAGGAACTAAAATCGTGTTTTTGTGTGAATTCATGCTTTTCTCTCAATTTCCGGATCTATCACATTTACACCCGCCTTTGCAAAAAATAAGACAAGTACGATCGACAAATTAATATGTTCTTGAGAGTCACGCGAAAAGATGTGCAATTTTAGTGTTTACAGCGAAGTCGATTCCTATTAAAAATACAGTTTGTGCTTTTTTTCAAAGTTGTGATAGATGCAAACATTGAATAAATATGTCTTGAAATTGCATATAGACAACATGTTGCATGTGAGCTACAAGTAAATAGATTCACGTACATATAATTTGAAAGGAATAATAAATGAGTTTTAAAATATCATAATGTGATATTGTTTATATATTTAATTGTGTACATAATTCAGACAATATCACTAGAATAAAGCATTCAGATAATGAAATGAGACGTTACAAATCTCTCAAGGACTTGAAAATAATTGGAAATAATAACAATAATAAAATGCAAAATCAAAACAATTCAAAACGAAGTGGAAGCATGCTTAACGCTTGTATAAGTCTCGGTAACCCTTTCGATGAGGTGGGTAAAATAATATAATTCAAGTTCAAGACTTTGTATTTTGTGAATGACCAACAAAACTGCATTTTTTTCATTACATTTCCTGCTCCAACTAGAGATTCTACATTTTTCATGAATGAATGTTCAAAAATTTAATTCGTTTTTTGTTGTCATAATTTCTCTTGTGACCGAAAAAAATTTTTAATACAAGTGCACTCGACCATGTTCAGCTTTTATGAATCAGACTTTTGCTGTCAAAAGTGGATCGATTGAAAACTAAACAGAAAATTGAGTTGAAATTAAAGTGCATCGACCATTTTGTATGTGAAAATTAGAAACAATTTTTTGTTTTGTTGAATGCGCCGACAGAAATTTTGCATCTATAAGTATTTGCTCATATTAATGAATCAAATTTCAAATGTAAAGTATATACTTAAAGCCAAAAACCCTGTAATATTTTTAAAAATGAGCACGTGAAATAAGGACAGAAACACCTTTTCCTTTCAAAACAACGTAATAAAAAGTCATATGAGAACTACATTGGCTATCTATGTATAATATCGGACAGAAATAGCAAAATTCCATTTCACTTAACATTGATAATTATATGAATAGGTTCAATAATAATTTTAATATTATGAAGATCCATTAAAAAGATAAAATCAATGATGTGTATGTGCTACCCTGATTACAACAACTTGTTCTATTTTTTCCATACTTCTCCCAAATACACCAATTCATTTTCTTAGTACAGTACATATTATTGATGTTATTGTAGTTTTACTATTACCATAATACATTTTACCGTTTTAAGAATTCAATTTAATTGTTCACAGACATCATAAAATGCATGAAGTTGTCTACACATGCAAATCACATTACACAAGAAAACAAAAGTAAAACAACTTAATGAAAAATTCTCTTCAACAAGTAAAGAAATGGGTCGAGAACTCATTAATTGATTTAGATGTGACATACATACTTCGTACACACAGGTTCAAATTAATCCATTAAAGTTGTAAGCTTAATTACACAACTATGTTCTTTAACTGCCATTGATGATTATGATTAAAGTTTTTATCGCTTTCAAAGGAAATATTGTTGCCTATTTAATATCACAAAATTTTTTCAGCATGTCTTTTCACAATAGATAGATTACTTTAACTGACTGTCATGTTCACTTATTAAAAAGTTACAATGTAATGTTTAGGTAGCAGATAACATGTATGAAATTTTGGCATAATTAATGAACAACCTTCGAAATCTTTATTATTCAAAATGATATTTAATTTTTTGTGATCGAAATTAAAACTACCATTGAGTCAACCTTACATTCGTAGTTTTGCTTACCTTCATTGATATAAAAAAAAACGTTTATATCTTTCAAACATGAAGTACTTTTATAACTTTGCCATGATAGATAAATACTAGATATATGAAGAGCGATAAGGAGTAGAACTAAATCGAAAACGAATTGCTCGACGAATTAAATAACAATTAATCAACATGATTAAGACGTTTATCGTAATTACTGGAATTGCCATGAATCGTTTATATTCATTTTACACCGCTTCCATTCAATTGTGATGTGAAATGTGTTACTCTAATTGGTATTAATTACACTTGACAAAAATGTGTGCATAATTGCATACAATAAACGTATTTCTTCTACACTATAGTGCTGGGTGTTTTGTTGCATGCTAGTGACACCCTTAAATTTAACAAAAACTCAATACAGAGTAATGGAAGTAAAACTATGCACATAAAAAAATAGTGGGTATGTTTCAATTATAAACACAATACAATTGGCAATAAATGACCATCAACCAAGACATTAAATTGTTTAAGCGTAAAAGCCACAAATAATAAGCACTTACATCTATTACAAGTTTCGTTGGAATTTTAACAAAAGGAATCTTTTCTTCGTGAATTTCATTGAATATTTGCAATAAAATAAAACATAAAACTTTAATTCTGGGGTCGTTCATAAATGACGGTGATAAAAAAAAGAAATTTTTTGGCTGGAAAATTATAAAGAATTTTTTTTGTATTAATTCGCCCATAGCTTTTGACCTCACTTCTTTTCTCAATGTGAGACGTAACTTATAAACTGCCTGTTTATTAATAATGGTAACCAGTATGATTTTAATTTGCACTTTTAATACTCGTTGCACCAGATCAAGTGTGAAAATGCTTCCTATAATCTTTCTTACTGTCACTTTCGCTGATAGCATTGCTATTTGTAAAGAAAAATTTATATCAGTGTTACCGGAACCGCATTCAAGATACAAATTTGAAATTACAAATTGTTACCAGTTTTGAAAGTGCTTTTAGTGACCGACCTAAACGAGTAAAGTTGCACTCCCACTAATTATTGAAAGCTAATTAAAGCGCTAAAAATGGTAAAGAGCTTCCTGCAAGAGTGTGATTGTTTCCTACAAATATCTACTAAAACCAAAACTTCACATGACATATAAGTCGCATTGTGAAAGTTTAAGCAGCTGTCAAGCAATTATCGAACAATAAATAAAATGCAGTGAACGATAAAATGTGTAAGCTTTCAAGCTCCATTCGTAATTGTTGTTAAGGTCAAGTTCACTAAAATCGCACCATGACACTCATTAAGTTATAAACTTTTCCCCTTTTATTGACTTGGCGCGCACAGTATGTATCAGTTTTACAGGCAATTAATTAAAAACTGAAATATGAAGCATGAAAACCTTTTTCTCCATTCACGAAAAAAATTAAATTTATTGGTTGTTCGGGTTGTTTATTAACATAAAATATATGTAAAATGAAGTGCCAATTTCTTAATATTAGGTTTTGAAAAAAATTTAGTGGCTCTAGTAAATATAAACCTAGAATTGAAGGAAATGTATGCGACGGGAATATCAATGCCTTTTATTCCTCTTTATCGTGTTTAAAAATAGCCCTTTTTGTTTCATTTTGTAAAAAATGACATTTATCTATTTTTAATTCGTTTCATTTCAGAATGAATACATAAAATATCCAGTTCTGTACGAGCTCAGTCACAAATATCTCAATGACAATCAGCCAGAAGCCAATTTACCTGATAGACTAGAAGAATTAAAAGAAGCCATCAGAAAAGAAATTAGAAAAGAATTAAAGGTGAGAATTCGTTTACTGAATAATCCATGATCTGCAACGGTTCTTGTTAAAAACCTCCTAACAGTTATGCTGAATAACACTAACCAAATGTCCGTTAAAACTCTTGTGGTTATAAATTTTTATTTTTTTATTGATATTTTCCAGATTAAAGAAGGTGCTGAAAAATTGAGAGAGGTAGCGACGGATAAGCGTGCATTGTCTGATGTTGCCTCGATAGTTAAAAAAAGTAACACAAAACTCCAAGAACTGAAATCAGAGCTGCATGAGCTCGAGAGCCAAATTATTTTAACGCAAGCCAATAGTAATGGAAAAGGTAAGCATAATGAATTTAGTGATGGGATCTGTCATTTAGTTTATGATGTTTAACATTTGGAGGGATGTGAAGCAGTGAGACTCTTTTTTTGTCAAAGAAAATTTCATTAAAAATCGATGAGAACAGTTTTTCAGTGTAGAATAGCGAACCTACAAAAAGCATGCAAACAATGATGAGAATTTGCTGAAGAGAAATTTTTTCTTTCATCTTATCAATGCAATTTGTTTAGTACGGTGTTGTATATAAACAAAATAAAACGAGCGATTGAGAGAGAAAAAAATATTAAAGGTGGAATGTTTGTCTTCGCTCGTAAAATTCAATGAATGTGTATGATATACATAGCAATTTTTCATTTCTCTTCTGTTCTGGTTGCCTTAATATAAACTTTTTCCTTTCTTCATTTCTTTCCCCCCATTATAACCAAAGAGATTTTTAACTTGGATATGTTGTGTGATTTGAGAATCACCAGATTCGAAATTGTAATAATGTTTGTTTATATTATCTGCGTGGAAATACGCCTCGTAAGCATTTATTCTACAATACACATTCACTTTTCATCTCTAATGATTTTTTTAAAAACAAAAAAAATAAGAATTGAAATGAAAAAGTAATGATTTCTGTATATTATGTTGTTGTTACTACACATCAATGAACATATTACAATGATTTTTTTTTTCCTTAATAATCTGCTCACATTCTTCGTGTAAATACTGCTGCACTAAACTAAATATTTGCGCTTTATCGCGATAACGAAAAAGAAGTATTTACTTGCAATAACAATATAAAATAATCTTTGGGAAGTGCTTAAGAGATTTTTTTTTTGTTTTATATTTCCCCTCTGAAAAATAATCAAAAAAATTGCTTTGCGCTTTAATTCATCGTTTTGAAATCTTTAAAAATCCGCAAATCTTTTTTATAGTCTACACGATGCTGTAAAGACTAAAGAAATTACTCAAACAGGATGTTATATCACAAAAAAAAAATTAGATGATTTAATTACTTGAATATGGATGTAGTTTGTATATACGGCGGCAGATCATCTGTCATAAAGTTTTCTTCTTCTTTTGCTTCGATGAACTTGTAGCAAAAAAGAGTTTAAAATGTGAATTTTTCTGTCAGTCTCTTACCGTTCGATTACGTGGTTGGACTAATTAGATTTATTTGAACTAGAAGCTTAAAAAAATTTCCAATAAAATTATTTTTAAAAGCCGGTGTGCTAAAAATTGAATGTCAACGATTAAATATTTGAGTTCTCACAAAATAAATAAAGTTATTAAAAAACAGAGTTGTAAACAAGCGATTTTTAACCAAAGACAATAATCTAGTCTATGAGAAGGAACGAAATGAACATGTCTGACCAGGGTATAAGCATAAACAGCTGAAACCTACCAAAATATTTTTGACAACTCTGTAAAAGAATAATCTGGAGTTAACAGTTACAAAAACTTATTAAATCTCGACTATTTTGTTAGAATCTGATTGACAGTTTTAAATATTGAGGATATGCGCTCGTTATTTATATGAGTTGGCAAGTTTTTTTTTTTTTGATATACTTAAGAAATTGTAGGCATTTCATTCATTTATTCATTTGTTTGTATTTTAAGTGTAAGTTCATATGTTCTGACAAAAAAAAGACTTGATTAAGATAAAGAAAACAGAAGTGTGGACGATGAGAAACGTATTCTACCGATTTTTTTTTTTTTCTATGCGAGTGTGAGAGAATTTTGTTGAGAAAAGTGAGAGGATTTTTCGCGAATATAGTGGAACTGCTAGGGTGTAGGTGAGAAAGCATATCTGTTTTTCTTTGTTTGGGACGCATTTTCAAAAAAAAATCAAGTTTTTCATTTCATTAACAAATTCCTTTCTCAAAGCGAACATGGGTCAGTGACGTCACTACCAAAAGCTGCCTAATTACGACGAAAAATCTTACACTAATATTTTTCTTAATTATATTTTTAGATCGGCAAGTCGGTTATCTCAGTAAAAATATTTTCCTTTCGCTTGTCCACTCTGTGTATATATTATTCTCAATCACAAACCTTTTTCGCGTTTCGATCGCTGAATATTTCAAAAATTATAAAACGTTTTTTTCCTTCTTTTTTTCTTGTGAGACATTTTTTTCCTTTTTATTATATATATTTTTTTTTGTGAATGGTATTGACGGAAAAATTAATTTTTCTTATATTTTGCACAAAAAAAAACTGCCTTTCAAAAAAGTGCCATCGCGAGAAGAAGGAATCTTTTCGTGACAAAATAAAATAAAAAGAGAGGAAATTGAAATCTTTAGTTTATCGTGAATCATCTTATAAGAAACCAACAGCATATCTTTACTCTTCAGCATTATTTCCTTCCAAATGTTTTGGGGACGCAAATTAGTTAAGGGTGATGGAATATTTCTTGTCAAGTGAATACTAAATTGTCACATCATTTAAAATATCTTCTTTCCGTTATACTCTTAATTTTAGAATATCTCAATTCATCACCTACGCCAGCAAATTCCAATTCTGTTTCCCAATCGGACAATTTGGAAGCATCAAATGATAAGCATTTGCAATCACTGGAGAAACAGTTGACGATTGAGATGAAAGTTAAAAATGGGACTGAAAATATGATACAATCGATATCTCAGAACTATCAGAGTCGTGATAAAAAGCTCCTTGCTGAGGCGTATACTATGCTCGAAGATTCAAAAGCAAAAATTGAATTCCTTAAATTGAAAATATTGAAGGTCAAGCAGAATCGCCAAATGAATAAAGTAAGTTATACATACTATTCGACACGCAAGTCTAGCTCTTAAAAAATTTCATCAGATTTCTATGTAAGCATCTTGTATCACTTTTTTTGATTGATGTCTCTCGTCTTTCAAAAGTCATGAACGCGATGCGTTCTAAAAATAAGCTTAACGTTTAGAACATAACGTAGTCAGAACCATAATATCTGATAAAAGTTTTTCAAGGAAATGAAACGAAAATTTATGAACGTCGAAGTTTAAATTTATCTTTATATTTTGCAGACATTAGAGAACGGAGAGCTGAGATCAAATGAGCAACTGGAAACAACATTGGAAGAGCGCATAGAAGAATTGCGTCATCGATTACGTATCGAAGCGGCAGTTGTTGACGGAGCAAAGAATGTGATTAGGACCTTACAAAGTACTAAAACAATTGACAAAAAGGCCTTGCAAGAGGTGAGTAATCTTTTTATGCTTATTATAGTCTTCGACATTCAAAGTTTCACGTGATGGAAATACAAACTGTCATTATAACAACTCAGTGGTATTTGAGAAAAAAAAGTGGAGAAGTAAAAATTCTTTTTATAATATTGAAGGTGAAAATTTTTCATACAAACTGAAAATTGTTCGTGGAAAAATTCGCGTTTCGTGATTTTTATAAAAGTGATCATGCAAAAAAATAAATTCTCCTGAACTTTTGTGTTTTTTCCTGCCTGAGAGATATATGAATTTATATCCCCACAGTTTTTCGTAAAAACTTGAGTTGAAAATTTCGAAGAAAAAATTAAGGAGTAAATTATTAAACAATAAGAAATGAATGAGGCAATGAAATACAAATTATTAAAGTGATCGAGATTCATGAAAAAGTAAAGTGATGTGTGAAACAGATGGTGAATATAATAAAAATGAAAGAAAAGCTTCAGACAAGGAAGGAAAAATTCAGTTGTTTATCAACTCGATCATAAAGTTTTAATTATTCGAAGTTAGAGTTTATGTTCATGAGAAGACTTGACAATAAAACTCAAACAGCAGTGAAAATGAAAGTTTACACAAAAGTCGTCTCGTCTCACAGAGAAGCAGTAACAGCAGAGAGCTATCATTGATGCGTTTGAACTGAGGAATTCTCACAACGACAGAAGTAAACATTCAGCGAGGAGCGAACGAAAAGAAAAATGAATAAAATTGGGAAAGGAAAATATTTCAGAAAAAATATTGTTCTTAAAATAATTTTTCATTAGTTTGTTAAAACGAAGATGAAAAAAAAAATCTGACTGCGAGAGTTGTTTCAGTCACTTGTTACGATTGTTGAGCATCAGAAGTCGCAATTCATTTAATACATATGTGAAAAAAGTATGAAATTCCCAAAGACAAAAAAAAAATCAAAAGTGAATTCTTCTTGCCTTAAGTATATAGATCATCAATAAAACAAACGAAAAAATATAAGGATTAATGAGGAAAGAGATGAGAGATTCATGAAATTTCATCATTCAAGTGGCAAATGTGCTCAAATTAATATAGATTTCAGAAGTGTCTATCGAGCAATAAAATTGAAGATCATTAAATAAAGTCTATTAAAAAGTGATAAAATGTCATTCTGTACGAGGAACACAAAAGAAATCAAATTGAAAACGGATTAAAAGCTAAAGGAAAATATCACACACCGCATATTATTAGATATTTAGAAATTTTATTGTTGTTGCCGCTGTGAATTTTTATTTTTAGATGAGAAAAGATTCTTTTCAAAGTGTAATTATTAATATCCACATGGTAGTAGAGTAAAAAAGAATGAGAGTGGTGAAAATAATTTGATTCAATGATTTTCTATGAAAGATAAACTCCTACTGTGAATATTGAACCACTGCTTAATAGAAAAAGGATAGATTTTGGTTGAAGTAAAGTGATCAAAAAACGGAAGAGAGATAAAAATTCCAAAATAAGTAATCATTTAATGTGATAGGATGGCAACAATATCAAATGAATATAACGAAGAAAAGAATGGCGGTGGTGATTATAATGAAAGTAGTAGCAGTGGAAATGAAATGACTGCTGAATGGATTGTTAAAGCTAAGCTTACAATATCGAAACCCAAAAAGAAAGCACTTTCATTTAATGCGAGTGACTGTGGCGCCAGAAGATCAAAGGGGAGTCCGTGTCGTGTAGTTTATAAATGGTCATCCGATGGAAAAGATCAAGCACAACAGCAAAATCTCACAAACATAATCACAGAGAAGGTGAGATTAAAGGAAGCTGGATTCATGCAATCTTTTTTTCTTTCCATCATCCTACAGATATACATAAATACCTTAATCACGCAATGTATGTTTATTTATATACAATCTTTTTAGTCTTTGAAAACTAGACCGCAACCTACGCTACAAAATGATGAAATTGATTCATCTGATCCACATAAAAATAGTAAAAATCTTAATGATATGCTCAAAAGCACCTGTAATATTGTATTGACCACAGATATTTGTCCAAATGCTATGATTGAGAGCAATAACAATAATGTCCAACATGATAGATGTACGACACACACCTACACATTTTCGCCAGATCAGGTTTTTAACATTAAAATATTTGAAACAAAAACAAAGTCATACGAATTGCTAATGCAATAAATTATAATTTATAGTGTCAGGTATTTCACGAAATTTCACAACCAAGACAAATGACTGAGGAGGGAATTTTAGTGTCGAGAGATGTGAGCTGTCAGACGAGTGACTGTGAGGTGATACCAATAAGAAAAAAGTCTGATAATTTTAAAGAACAAAATATCAATCGATCATCAAATGTTGAAGGACGAAGAAAGGCATATAGTGGACATAGAAGAGCAACAGACTCAATAGTATCGTCAAATTCAGTGCAAAAAGCTGAAGGATACCGCTTAACGGTTCGAGTTATAGAAAGTGAAAAGAATTAAGATGTCAAGATGCTCTTCTCTCACGATGATCTATATTTTAAAACATTAAAAAATTAATTATCGATAAAACAAATCTTGACGTTTTGATTCTTTTCTTCAACTTGTCGGCATATTAAATTCACTTTCATTCTTAATTAATTAGCCTTCACGATCGCCAAGACAATCATCCCCTGCCTTTTCAAATCCTTCAGCAGCAAATTCTGTGAAAGACAAAAAGAAACCACCAAGAACTGTTCATATTGATGTTTATTGTACAGGCTCAGAAGCCGATACAAATAGTAGCAACTCATCGTCGCCTAATATTGTCGACGACATAGCAAATTTAATGACCCAAGCTCAAACTGTTATGGATGCTGATGATATGGTATTAAAGCATAGAAGAGTTATTTCAAGGGGTGAATTGCCGAAAAAATTGATAAAGGGTAACTTGTTTTAACGCGTCATTATTTAAGCATCATGAATGACAAATCATTTACATTTTAATTGTTATTGTAGACCAAAAAGCTACTAAAATTGAAGTTACTGAACCCGACGACGACATTCAACAGGAACAAATTTTTGACTTTTCGCAGGTTCTTCTACAAAATAATGTGAACGATAAAGAAGAAGTTAATGAAAGCAAGCAAATGCTTTTTAAGAAATATCTAGGTGATCAACGCCAAATACTTAAGTTTAATGAGCTTAGAGCGTTGATGATGCGTCGTCAAACAAGCGATGATGCAATCAGCAGTAATTATGCTAACTCTAGTTATTCAACTGTTCGTGATTTGACTTCAAGTTCTTTGGCGTCTGGTGTTATGGATTCGCCTACAATTATAAATTTTGAAGATAGTGAATGGAAGGAATTAGATGTTGCAATACAAACTGGTGATTTCATTACTCCAATTGGAAATTTTCAATCATGGGATAAGACCGATGACTATGAAAGAATGAAAGATTTTAGAAATCTTTGGAAAGAACAACCAAATGACTTGCTCAGGCAGAGACAATTAATGGAAAACTTTTTATTTGATCCACCTTTACATCGAGGAGATCACTCAGAACAGTCAGGAAATTTTTCAGAGTCAGACCATAGTTTTAATTTTCAAAAATCAAATGAATTGGGAAATATAAGCGATTCGAGTCCTTCAACTGTTATTAGTTATTCACATAAGAAACAAAAGAGTGATTCTTTACCAACTCAGATTCCAAAAGTGAAGAAAGAAGTTAATAGAAAATCAATGGAACCAAGTACAGTGTCATCTTCACTGAAATCTGGAACCTATTCAAAAGATCATTTAAATTTAGCCAATAGATTTGGAGCAGTTCTCAAAACATTAAGAAAACCAGGACATCATGTTGGTCCAGTTAGAAATCCAACGTGTTTGTGTGAAACTTGCAAGAGATGGATGTTGGAAAGAGATCAAGTTCAAGGACGAGAACGGGCTTATTCATTTGGGGAAACGCCAATTACTCAAACAACATTCTGGAAAAGAAATAATCGTTATTACGTTTGATGCCATTTATATCTCCTTTTTTTCTACGAAAGCTTTCTTAAATTTAATTTTAGACATGAAATTAGAGCAACTAATAAAAATAAATATGAAAAACTCGTATATTCAAGCGAATATCTTCTTGCAAGCATGCAAGAATTTATATGAAGTGTATATGAGAAGGAAATAAATACATATGAGTTTAAATAAATTTTTTTAATTACCTTTTTTTACATTTTCATGATCACGCGCGCACACACGAAAATGTGTTAAAAATCATACAGCAGGTTAAGAGAGAGAGAGGAATTAAAATAAATTTTAGAGCAAAAAGGTTTAAATTAAAAATAACCAAAAATCGAGCGATAATCATTAACTTGATGAATCATCTTAAAACAAGAAGAAAGAACTGAGAACAACAAACGAAAAACATGACAAAAAGATTATTTACGTTCGTATTTTTTTGGCATGATGAGGTGTAGGACAAATGTCGCTGAACTACAAATATTTTCATGTCTTTGATTTTTTTTTTGCTACACTAGTCCAATAGCTGTGTAAAAAATATATAAAAGTTTTTAATACTTCTTTTTCTCAAAGCTGAACTTTATCTTTCTTCTGAAAAGTATTTAAATTTTCATCACGTGATTTATTGCTTGCCTCATCTGCTTGAATAAATTACAATATTATATATCCATTTATTTTGTGTTATCTTGTACATCAGGCACAAGGACGTTTGATAGAATCTTCAAGGAAGTTAGATTTATTAAGGTTTGCACTTGAATTACGTCGCGCAGATCTCCCACCTGACTCGGAAGCAGCAGCTCAACTTAAGACTGAACTACAAAATGTTCAAGCCGCAAGTCCTGTACCTGTTCAATACACATCGTTGCATCCGTTTCGTGCTGGTAATCAAGGAAAACCTTCGAATTTCTTATCATTGTCTCGTTGCGCTGCTGTTACCGGTAAACTTGAAGTGCGTCTAATGGGTTGTCAAGATTTAATTGAGGACGTTCCCGGACGATCGAGAAGAGATAAAGATTCCATATCGAGTCCAAGTGGAGACTTGAAAAGTTTTGTTAAGGGTGTAACAAGTAAGTCAAAATAGTTTGTTGCTATTCCTGCACATAGGATTAATAATTTATTTATTTAAAGGTCGTAGCTCATCAAAAAGCTATAGTGTTAAGGATGATGTATCGTCAGAAATTATGGCTGTAATAAAATTGGATAATACAACAGTTGCTCAAACTTCATGGAAGCCTTGCTCGCAGCAAGCCTGGGATCAAAGATTTTCAATTGATCTAGACAGATCCCGTGAACTTGAAATTGGTGTTTATTGGCGAGATTGGCGTTCTTTGTGTGCTGTAAAAGTTTTAAGATTAGAAGAGTTTATTGATGATATCAGACATGGGATGGCTCTTCAATTAGAACCACAAGGTTTGTTGTTTGCTGAAATCAAATTCCTTAATCCAATGATTTCTCGAAAACCAAAATTGCAACGTCAAAAGTTGATATTTAATAAGCAGGCAAAAAATATTCCAAGAGCAAAACAAATGAACATAAATATAGCAACATGGGGTCGATTACTAAAAAGAAGTGCACCAAGTCAACAGCAAAATAATGTAGCTCAAACACCAACAACAAGTCATCAATATGGAAATGGATCATCTGGTACTATACAGCCAGTACAGTTAGAGTTTGATGAGCCACAACAGCTCGATCCTGATGAGACTGCGGGTGAAATTCCAAATGAAAATATTGCGGGTCTAAGTGGACAAAGACCTTTAGGCATGCATGGAATTAATGTTTTACCAGAAAGTCCACCTCAGCCACAACCAAGAGCTTATCAACCTCCACCGCCTGTGAAACAAAAGAAATCACAAATGCCACAACCACCTGCATTACCACCAAAAGTTCACGATCATGAGGTTAGTAATGCTTTTATTCATTCCTTCTTCATACATAAATATGTTATTTCCATACAATTTACTTTATCTTTGGCAATACACATTATTAAGAAATTCAATTCCCTACTATCCATTAGAATAATTCATAAAGACTTATTCGATGATGATCTTTTACTCATCATTTAATAAATTTTTATGATGAGGATTGTAAATTGCGATTATTACATGCATTTTTTTTCTGGAAGGGTATATTTAATTGTAAAAAACAAATTGTTGAAATCTCTTACTTAAATATTTATGAAAAAAAATATGTCTATATTCAAAATTCATATGGAAATTAAAATTTGCACAAAATTTCACACATTTATGCACACAAAAAACAAAATAAACCACAGCTCCAAAATGCACTACATGCGTTCGATTTTCTGCATAAAATTTCCAACGATCAGGAATATCATCAGTCACGTGAAATGTCATTGTCACCACAGCCTCAGATGTCTCTAGATGTTGATCTCTTACGTCCCGTATTGTCAATGCCACCAGTAGTTTTAATGGGAGAAAGTAGTAACAGTGGATCAGGAAACTCTAGTCCACGTCTTAACATTCATTCGATTCCACCAAGCCCTATCGTTGAGATGCCTCCATCTCCTGCTCCAATGCCTGTGGTGGAATTTCCATCCGAAGAAGATGTTTATGAATACGATGAGCGCAGTGAATTCGTTGAGGTCTGTTCGTTCATATTTCCTTGGTTCATTTTGTCCTCTTAATTTTTTTTCTCTGTTTTTTGGGTGACTAATTTTTTTACTCTTAATATTTTAAATATATTGCATGTTTATGCCCTTATCTCTTATTTCCTTAATACTCTAACTATCCTCTTTTCCTTAATACATAATAATTTAACTCAAAACTGATTAATACTATCTACTCAAACCTAATAATGTGTATACAAATGGATAATACAATTCTTAAGCCAAAACCATCACACAACATACACTTAACATTTTTTTAAAAAATCTTAATTCATACATTGTGCAGTTAATTATTTCATGCTGTAATTTTGGCTGGAAAATGCATTTGGGATCGTTTGATTTTTGAACGATTCCTTTTCGATGAAATTTGCAGAAATTTAATTTGTTTACAATCTTGACAAATTGTCAGCTTGCTCTTTGCTTTAAATTCAACTAAATTTGACCTGTAATTTTAATTGAATATTCCATCTATCCAAACAGATCGTTTCGAATTTCGAGAATTTAAGTATTCCTTCAGTTCCATCACAACCACCATTCCTCTTACAGCATCACCAACAGCATCAAGCAAGTACATCACAATATCAAAATCAGTATCAACCATCAGCCGCACCTCATAACGTGATACAACAGCAAAATATACCTTCAACCCATCACGTTGATCAGCAACAATTGCAGCAAAGCTTAAATCATGCAAATAGTAATAATAATAATAATAATCGTCAACGGCAGAATGTTGCACGCGGTTTACAGTATCGTGATAGTGCATACGAATCACGACGACATTCCCAATCGATGGGAATGAGTTTGGATAGTTTTAGATTATTGAGTGTCCTCGGACGAGGACATTTTGGTAAAGTCATTCTCTCTCAATATAAGAATACAGGTGAATACTTCGCGATAAAGGCACTTAAAAAAGGTGACATTATAGCGCGAGATGAAATCGAATCACTGCTCAGCGAAAAGAGAATATTTGAAGTTGCAAATACAATGAGACATCCATTCTTGGTCAATTTGTTTGCATGCTTTCAGACTGAAGTAAGTCAATTGAATGAGTGTCATTTGATTGTTGTGACATTAATTAATTTTTCTTCTTTTCTCTCTTTTTATCGTTTCCTTTTAATAACCAGCAACATGTTTGCTTTGTAATGGAATATGCAGCTGGTGGCGATTTAATGATGCACATTCATACTGATGTTTTTAGCGAGCCTCGTGCCGTCTTTTATGCATCATGTGTCGTATTAGGTTTACAGTATCTTCATGAGAATAAAATTATTTATCGTGACTTAAAATTAGACAATTTATTGCTGGACACGGAAGGTAAGCAGAAAATTCTAGAATAACTATTTTCTTTGTACTATAAATCCTGCATATTTTATATAGGATACGTCAAGATAGCTGATTTTGGACTTTGTAAGGAAGGAATGGGCTTTGGTGATCGTACTGGAACATTCTGTGGAACTCCAGGTTTGTCTCTATAATTTAATGCTGACAAAGTTTTGTAGCTTACACATTTATTAAATTAAATTTAGAATTCCTGGCGCCAGAAGTACTAACAGAAACTGCATACACAAGAGCTGTTGATTGGTGGGGCTTGGGCGTTTTGATATTTGAAATGCTTGTTGGAGAATCACCGTTTCCAGGCGATGATGAGGAAGAAGTTTTTGATTCTATTGTCAACGATGAAGTTCGTTATCCAAGATTCTTATCATTAGAAGCTATCGCCATTATGAGAAGAGTATGTATCATATGACTTAAAGGTAGCTTTTGAATGAATTAACAATATGACTAATTACTTACAGCTTCTTCGTAAGAATCCAGAGAGGAGGTTAGGCAGTTCAGAACGTGATGCAGAAGATGTTAAAAGGCAGGCCTTTTTCAGAGGCATTTCTTGGGATGAATTGTTGCTACGCAAAGTCAAACCTCCATTTGTACCAACAATCGTAAGTTCAACTTGAGAATAATAGTATGGCATTGTTAATAATTTGCACTTTATTTGTTTTTTGGAATTTCCAGCGCTCAATGGAAGATGTGTCAAATTTTGATGAGGAATTTACGTCCGAAAAAGCTCAATTAACGCCACCGAAAGAGCCAAGACATTTATCAGACCAAGAACAGGATTACTTCAAAGATTTCTCATACATGGCAGATTGGTGCTAAATTAATTAACATAACATTAACTAAGTATAAAGTATGATTGACTTGTCGGTATTCTTTGAATGATTTATGATTTAAACAATTATCTCTTAATTATTATTAACCAGAATTCATCTCTACTCCCCTAAAATATATTGATTTTACAATAAAAGAAAAATAATATCAATTACTGTAATACAGCAGCAGCTACTGTTAGTATAGAATTTATGATGATAACATTAGTTTTTAATAATTAGGCATGTTGAATAACTAGGGAAGAAGAGACGAGAATTTACTTTTAATTTAATTACACTTTTGATTAATATAGAAATTTTTTATGTCAAATTATGATCCCATTAATCTATCAAGGATGATTAGTAAAGAGACACACTAGCTTAATACTTTTATATCTATTAAACCCTATTAAGTTTTTATTCGTGGCATAAGAAAATTTATCCAAAATTGAAGAAACTTATAAAAAATATAATAACACTGGTCCTTGATCTTGGCCAAATAGAGTCACTAAGACCATAGAAGCACGAAATTTATTAAAAATCACTGTTTTATTCATCTCCACAAGTCTTATCATATTGTTTTTTACATATCATAGTAGTGCTTCTTTTCTATCCGTTAAATACTTTTTGAACTTATGAGCAGTTGATAGCTTGACATCATTTGATTCTTACGACTCGAATTATAATTTTATGCTATTAAAAAACAACAAGAAATTGAAGAAACATATTTTCTCAAGACACAAAAAAGCAAGGAACCATGAAGATACATCAATTTTTAGATGAAATAGATATGTGTGTTCGTTCAAAGATCCATTGGGGTTTTCTATCAAGTCATTTGACTTCAAATAACCCTTCGATCGATTTATGAACAACCTTAATGCGAATATTTTGACAAATGAAAAGAAATAAAAAACAAAGCAAATTCACAACTTTTAGAGCTTTTATGAATAATGTAAGGACTTACAAATTTTTTGCGTAGCGAAGATACTATGAAAAATGATAAGTAATATCGTTGCCTTTATAAATATTATCAAATGATGATAAATATTGTTTCACAAAACATTTTTTGCTGTTGATACATAAGCTAGGTATATGAAAATTCTGTTGCATGCATAGTTAAATGGAAATTTTTACTTAAAAATTACAAAAGTCCAGATGTTATTGATCGAGGGACTTCAGCGCATTTTTGACGCAGCGATCAGTATTTGATTAGCAAGTTAAGGCGAATTAAAACATACCCTTAGAACTCATTACAGGCTGTATTTTCCAAATTTTATGAATTACGTACAAAATCATACGAAACTTAAAAAATGCCCGGCGAAATAATAACTCGATAAAACTGAGTTAATCGAACAAGCCCGAGCTCTCTACGATGTATGGTTAACGAGATATCAGCTTGCCCCGAGCAGCCTGCCGATCAAAGTAAGTTATTAAGCTACCATTTCGCAAAAAAAGTTTTCAAAAATGCGCTAAAAATGAATGAATAAAAAAGTACGTGATAAAAAATGTTGTTCATCATATTGAAGAAATTGAAAAAGTTCTTAAAACTGAATTCGTTATTAGAAACTTAGCATGAAAATAAAATGAATTAATTGTCTGCTACTATTCTAAATAAATTTATTATATGATATAAAAGAAACTCTTTAATTTATTACCTACATTGGCGAAAATGTTTTTGCCCCATAATTAAATTTTTAATGACATAAAACAAGTTGTAATTGTAGAACGACACGAAAGAAAAATTAATTATAATAAAAATGTTTATTTTATATTGAAATACTTATTGCAAAAATATGTCTTGACTATTATTACTTGGTCCTTACTTTACAGCTACTACACTATAAATGTCAATACATACAGACGTACGAGCTTGCTCACATGAATTAGAATCATTTCAAAGTGCTGAGTTTTCAGGAAATTTAACGTTTTTAAGCCAAATTTTGTAAGCCACAGGATTAAATATGAGGGCTGGTTATACATGACGAATCACTATATTGAGATAAGTACCTTAGTTGCTTAATGACAGAAATCTCTACTCGATTGGTTAGAGATCACCACTTTTGAAGTCGCTGGTTAAATTCCTAAAGTTAATATATACAGATAATCAGTTGCTTTATATCCAGACGAAACCACCACCAGCTCCTTATTCCTACACATAAAAGAGCAATGATGAGCATTCATAAAGGCAATAAACTACGATTATCAAAATCACAGTTGATAATAAAACACTTAAAAAGGAATTTATACTAGTCTTTGTGTTTTCAATGAACATCCTTCGTAACACGAGTTGACTTGAGGGAGCGGCTCGTTTGCCTGCCTGTCATAACAGCAAAAATGTTGTGGAAAACCAACATGTGAATTTATCGATTCAGAGTACGAAGGAGAAGGAAGAAGAGAGTAAAGGAAGCAAATACTATTGAAAGTGAATGAGTCAGAGGAAAGTTCCTTCCATTCCACTTTTTTTTACGTTTATAAACAAGTAAAAGAATCAATATTTCTACGCTGTACACTTATTTAGTTTGCTTCAGTATTTCGCTCGATTATGTGCAATTTTGAAATATTTCTAGTGGAATTATTTTTTAAAGAAATTTGAAGCTCCATAAAAATTATGATTAAGGTTCAGAAATGCTGCATGTGTGTGAGATTATCAACTTTTTCGATAGTGCTGGGATGTACTTATTCGTTCCTTAGCATTACAATTGTTCTTATTATTGGAAGCTTCTTATTGAATTACGATAATTTAATGTCCTCATTCTACGAAAAGGAAGACTTTGATAGTGTCCGGATCGCAACATTTTTGGAGAAATGGAAGAATGGTAAATTTTATTGCTTTTCGAACTGACAAAACTTAATTAAATTATATCTTAAAGTTGTGGTCACGATCCTAATTATATACATAAGTCTTCAAGCATTAAGCTTTATGAGCTCATTAGCACTTGTATGTGGAACAATTCATGTAAGACCTAAATTCACAATTTTGTTGTGCCAAAACTAATTTCCTCAATTCTCAATTTCCTTTCTAGAACCGTCCAAAACTCATAATCTCGTGGTTAGTTATACAATCGTTCATAATTTTATTTTGGATATTCGCATCTTTTGCTACAAATGACTTTTACATGCTTCTTTACACATTGCTAACGATATACTTTTGGGTATGCATTTATTCACTATATACCAACATGAATCTTCATTTTTATAGATATAGCGATTCATTTTATGGAATACAAAATGTTTAATTAAGAGAATACATATCGCACATGAATAACAATTTAAATCGTGTATAATGGAAACTAATATATCAATTAAAGTCAAAGTTATAAGAGCAATAATCACTTTGAAGCCTTACTACATTCCACTAATATCAGAGATAAGAAATTGGAAATTAATAAAGTATTAAATATCATTGACTATAAAATTAGCAATATTGATTATTTTCTGCATTTATTAGTTCAATCATCATCATCGTCAAACGGATTTGCTGAAATTGGTGGTGACTTTACAATCACTTCTTCTGCTTCATCTGTTAATGAACAAAAATTAAAATAAGAATTAAGCAAAAACTGAAAATTAAAAAGTCAGCTTACCTGTATCAGCAAATGGATTCAGCTTATCATCATAATTAGCATCATCCTTAAACGGATTTTTATCATCATCAGACTCATCGTCAAATGGATTATTTGTTATTGGATATGCTGCTTTAATTTCCTGTTTTTCTCTTTGTTGTGTTATTGGTAAGGAAACCTTTTTCTGTGGAACTTGTTGACGTTCGACTGGCTTGCTTAATTTATAGCTTTGTTCTTGTAATCTCATCCGACCCTCTGACAATTGAGCCTTGTGCTCAACATTTGTTCTTAAATTTTCTTCTACTCGCATCTTAGCTTCAGAGATATTTGGAAGTGACTTTTCAACATGACGTGATGGTAAATTCTTTCGACTAATATTAATGTCATCAAGCCTTTCTCGATTCTCATCCTCATCGTCCGATAATAACACAATTTTATTGAACAAGCCACGCGAAAAATAATCAGCAATGACAGAAAATTGTTCGTGCGTATTTTCGAGTTTTTCTTGAAATACATGATTTTTATTCCTGCTTTCATTTTGGACATGCATCATATCTAGCAATTGACTGTTCTTTTTTCTACAGACCATACAATCTTTTTCAGTTTCAGAGAAGCTTCTTATACAGTCCATGTGAAAAGAGTGCTTACACAGAAAAAATATTGATGGAAAGCTTAATTGCTGATGACAAGCATCACAAAGACTACTACGAAATTCTATTGCATCTCTATTAATTGTCTCAATATTCTGCTTTAATTCCTCGGACTCTGAATGATACTTTTCAGCAGATTCTCGATCTTTTCGAATAAAATCGTCTTCTTTTTGGAATATTTGCATGAAATAGCTACGGACAGTCGACAAATTTGGTCCTTTATCAATTGATGTCAATACGTTTAGAACTTGAAGTGGTGATTGTAGCTTCTCACTGGCAATAACTTGCAAAGTTTCTTGTAAAAACGATGAAGGAACTTGATTACATGATTTTAGGCCGTTTAAAGTTGCAAGCCAAATTGATGGATCTGTCGTTCCTAATCGTTTACATAAAGTATACAAACTTGGAAAGTCCTTAGTATTCAAATAGTGTCGTACAATCAAATTGTACAATTTCTTTTCCTCATAAATCAGCATAGCGCCAAGCCAAAATTCATAAGTCTGGCATAAAACAAGCACATGATTACTGTCGTAAAATTGACTATAATTTTTAATCAACTCCACTAATCGTTGTTCAAGACCAGCTCGTTCATTTGATGGATTAAGTGATATTTTCCATAGCGTTAAATAATGCTCAATAAGTGAATTGTATAAAACTTTAGAGCATGTTGGTAGATTCCTGATCAAATATTCAATATAGTCAATCAACCGCTTGGAATCACCAAACAAGTGAATGAAATCTTCTGGAGTTGCTTGCTCTCTATCGTCTATAAAACCTCCATTTCGGTAATTAATTGTAAATATGTCATGATCTTCTTCTTCCTTAATAGTGGACTCATCGCATTTCTTTGCAACATAATCAGTACAGAGCTTTTTGAGCAGAACAATCAACTTTTGAGGAACATGATCCATTAATGAGCTTCCATATTTCATAATGTTTTTCTCAGCATCATCGTATGATAATTTTGTAATATATTCAATAGCATTTTCATAATCTTTTAGGTCCTCAATCATTATACTAATTGCATGATTATGCTTCTCATTGAATTTAGCCAAGTTTAATGCTTGATCAATGCACGATTTTCTACAAACACTTATTGCAACATCAATGTCAAAGTGATTTTGTCGATAATTTTCAAGGAATGATTTAAGCTCATCAATTCTATCTAAGCGGGTAAAGCAATTTAATAATAACGTTGTATGATCAGTCGATGCTTTACCTTCTTTATGAATACTTTGGAGATAATCGGTTAAATATTGAGTGTGTCGAGAATCGAGAAATCGTCGAATGACATAAGATGGCTCTAAATATCCAATAGTTTTAATATATTGTTCTACAGCACTTGAAAAGTTTCCTTTTGCGTATAAATGATCACCGTAGTTCTTGAAAATGTCTGACAATCCTTCAGCATCATTATACTGATTGTTTTTAGCTATTTTAACAGCCGTGTCATACATATTCTTTTTGTAGAGAGACTGCAATTTACTTTGAAGATCTTTTTCATCTAGATGATACAAAAGTTTATTCTTTGTCAGAATAAAGCATGTACCAAACTCAACAAACACTGACGATATAACTTCTATTTGTGTTGTAAATACAATGAATCGATTGTTGACGTCAATTACTGTCAGTGTATAGGGCTTGGTTTGTAAAGGATTTTCCATAATAGGACATGTCACCATTAAGAGATGATTTCGGAACCATCTAATTAGTACTTTTCTGCCTTCAAAAGCATAACATGGAGCTCGTCCTTCAGGAGTATAGCAATAAATAGCATCATCTCGACCAGCCATAAAATATCCCTCAGAATTACTAGATTGTTGGAGCCAGCAACAATTTGTTGCAATATTTGGGCCGTTTGTGTCCAACACATTTTTAATCTCTTTGTCTCGACTATGAATCGTGTACAAATAAACTCCAGAATCGGAACAAACAAACAAGTGTGATATTTTTCCAACTTGTTTAAATGTAATTCCTTTAATTGGTGCTGTACCGAATGTCACATTTTTCACAGACTTTGCTTTATCACGGGTAATGTCTCCTTTATAAAGAGTCAAGTTTCCTCTTTCGAATCCAATTGCCAAATTCAAACCGTTTTCAGAAACTGCTAATGATGTTGCTCGTTGTAAATTTGTCTTTACATTTCGAACACAAGCTGGAACTGATTTGTTTAATTTATTCAGATTCCAGACTTTAAATTCAGGAAGTGAATCCGCAGTTTCGTCGGTCTATCAAATTTAATCATAATTAAATTAGGTATGTCACAGCATTTAAATCTACTTACACCTAACGTAACAAGCAGATTATTTTGTGTTGATAGTTCACAGTGAGTTATTGAGTTGTGGGCTTTAAATGAATAGGAATCACGAAAGTTTTTAGGAAATACATGAATAAATCCACAAGAATCTCCTAAGATGATCTGACTGTTTCCGGAAGTTGAACATACAATATCTGAATCCTGATGAAAGGAAATTTAAAACAGAGTTGCGATCTGTCACAGGTCAACAAAAACAGCCCACCTGTCACAGGCCGTTACCTGTTCACAGGTCAAATTTTTTCGCCTATCACAGGTCTGACCTGTCAAAGGTTCTGCCTGTCACAGGTCGTTCCCTGTTCACAGGTCAATTTTTTTCGCCTGTCACAGGTCTGACCTGTCGCAGGCCTCACCTGTGACAGGTCGTCACCTGTTGACAGGTAGAAAAAATCTACCTGTCACAGCTTGACCTGTCGCAGGCCTCACCTGTGACAGGTCGTCACCTGTTGACAGGTAGAAAAAATCTACCTGTCACAGCTTGACCTGTCACCTGTCACCTGTCACCTTTGACTATCGAAATTTTTTTCTTCTAGTGAAGTATAAAGATTTCATACAAAATTCATCAATTCTTTTGCTTCCTCAAGTCACGGGTTCAAATCTCTTCGCAAGCAACTTTCTTTTTTTGCATTTTTAGGATTTGTTTTTAAACTTTTTTGATAAAATATTAAGTTTTTTGACAAAGTTTTCCATTTTCATATTTTATTTCTTCACTTTCTATATTTTAACAAGTATTTTAAATTTTTCCATATATTTTCATACAAATTTAAATTTTTTTGTCATATTTTATACATATTTTACTTTAACAAGCTGAAATCTGATACAAAGGCTCTTTTCCTAGATCTGGATGTTCTAAAATCGTAATCTTGGATCATAAAATGGCATAAAATATTAAAACTAGTATAGACTTTGTCATTCGAGACCGCAAAAAATCGAAATATATAATAAATTATAATCCAAGATTACGATTTAAGAACATCCAGATCTAGGAAAAGTGCCTTTGTGTCAGATTTCAGCTTGGTAAACTAAAATATGACAAAAAAAGTTGAATTTGTATGAAAATATATGGAAAAAAGTTAAAATACATGTTAAAATATAGAAAGTGAAGAAATAAAATATGAAAATGGAAAACTTTGTCAAAAAACTTAATATTTTATCAAAAAAGTTTAAAAACAAATCCTAAAAATGCAAAAAAAGAAAGTTGCTTGCGGTGAGATTTGAACTCGTGACTTGAGGAAGCAAAAAAATTGATGAATTTTGTATGAAATCTTTATACTTCACTAGAAGAAAAAAATTTCGATAGTCAAAGGTGACAGGTGACAGGTGACAGGTCAAACTGTGACAGGTAGATTTTTTCTACCTGTCAACAGGTGACGACCTGTCACAGGTGAGGCCTGCGACAGGTCAAGCTGTGACAGGTAGATTTTTTCTACCTGTCAACAGGTGACGACCTGTCACAGGTGAGGCCTGCGACAGGTCAGACCTGTGACAGGCGAAAAAAATTGACCTGTGAACAGGGAACGACCTGTGACAGGCAGAACCTTTGACAGGTCAGACCTGTGAAAGGCGAAAAAAATTGAACTGTGAACAGGTAACGACCTGTGACAGGTAGAACCTTTGACAGGTCAGACCTGTGATAAGCGAAAAAATTTGACCTGTGAACAGGTAACGGCCTGTGACAGGTGATCTTTTGACAGAAACTGTCACCTTTACCTGTGACAGGTACCTGTCGTCGCAACTCTGATTTAAAATTACAGTAAAATATAACTTAATGAATGCACAACTTACCGATAAGATGTTTGAGAATGCGTCCTGATCTCCGTATTGCTTTAATTCAAAGAAATTAAATTTTCTCCACTGTAAATAAATGAAAATGAGTCATCAAATTGATTAGAAATTCACAAAAATTGAAAATTTTGTGTGAATATGATAAAATTATTAATTGAATTAACCTCCAGCATCTTGTATCTTATATTTTCTTGACTATTGCAGATATTTCCTTTGATTAATCCTATAGAATATTTGGATAAGATTAATTATCATGACATTAAGGCAGATAGAGTAATTTAATCAAAACCAAATCAAAACAATAGACAATTTAACGTTTTTAAATAATGTTTACTACTTTTCACTATCGTTTTGATAACAGAATCTTAGATTAACTTACAATAAACGTTTTTCCACTTGAAATCACTTTTTAACTGGTCTAATGTGGTCTAATCTATTAAATATTAATAAAAATAGAAAAATTGAATTGAAATCGGAAAATCTATGTTTACATTTGGAACTTCCAATTTAATTCGCAGGGTTGAAACAATATTTAAATTTAAAAATTACGTTAAACTACTGAGCTTTCAAAATATGTTTTTAAAAGTATTTTAACCGTTACAAAAAGCTGTATTCAAAATCTAATATATAAAAGCCCAACTCACTGATTCACTGACTCTGGAACGGAAGCAATGTGAAGACATTTGTGAAGCCGTGTGAAGACAAAAATTTAAGGAGTATTGACAAGGTGGTTGTAAGGTGGGTGTGGGTGTCAGGTGTGGGGTGGTTGTCAGGTGGGGGGTGGGTATATTTTGTGGGGGGGGGGGGGTGACAAAGTGGGTGTCAGTTGTGGGGGGGACAAGGTGGGTATCAGTTGTGTGTGTGTGTGTGGGGGGGGGGGGGGTGGCAAAGTGGGTATATTTTGTGAAGCCAATGATGTGAGGGATGCTGACAAGTAGGTTGTCAGTTCAGGGGAGGTGGGGGGTGACAAGGGGATGAGGGCAAGGGGGTGTCAGTTGGGGGGGGGGGGTCCGAATTTTAGGGGGTTTGTGGGAAAAGATTGGTGTCAGGAATATTTTTTGAAGCCACATAAAATTTTGTGAAGCCATGCGAAGCTTTGTGAAAAGACATGGTGGGTTTCGGGGGAATCAAAGTTTTAGTGGGATTAAGAGGGTCCGAGTTTGAGGGGGTTTGTAAAGACATTTATAAAATTTTTGTGAGATTGAGTCCGAGTTTGAGGAGGTTTGTGAAGCCATGTGAAGTTTTGTGAAGCTATTTAAAAAGTTTTTGTGGGATTAAGGAAGTTCGAGTTTGGGGGAGTTTGTGAAGCCATTTATAAAGTTTCAGTGGGATTAAGGGGGTTCGAGTTCGAGGGGGCTTGTGAAGCCATGTGAAGTTTTGTGAAGCAATTTATAAAATTTTTGAGGGATTAAGGGGGTCCGAGTTTGGGGGGGTTTGTGAAGACATTTATAAAATTTTTGTGAGATTGAGTCCGAGTTTGAGGAGGTTTGTGAAGCCATGTGAAGTTTTGTGAAGCTATTTAAAAAGTTTTTGTGGGATTAAGGAAGTTCGAGTTTGGGAGAGTTTGTGAAGCCATTTATAAAGTTTCAGTTGTGGGGGGGACAAGTTGGGTGTCAGTTGTTGGGGGGGACAAGGTGGGTGTCAGTTAAGGGGGGGGGGGGGGGGTGGCAAAGTGGGTATATTTTGTGAAGCCAATGATGTGAGGGATGCTGACAAGTAGGTTGTCAGTTCAGGGGAGGTGGGGGTGACAAGGGGATGAGGGCAAGGGGGATGTCAGTTGGGGGGGGGGGTCTGAATTTTAGGGGGTTTGTGGGAAAAGATTGGTGTCAGGAATATTTTTTGAAGCCACATAAAATTTTGTGAAGCCATGCGAAGCTTTGTGAAAAGACATGGTGGGTTTCGGGGGAATCAAAGTTTTAGTGGGATTAAGAGGGTCCGAGTTTGAGGGGATTTGTAAAGACATTTATAAAATTTTTGTGAGATTGAGTCCGAGTTTGAGGAGGTTTGTGAAGCCATGTGAAGTTTTGTGAAGCTATTTAAAAACTTTTTGTGGGATTAAGGAAGTTCGAGTTTGGGGGAGTTTGTGAAGCCATTTATAAAGTTTCAGTGGGATTAAGGGGGTTCGAGTTCGAGGGGGCTTGTGAAGCCATGTGAATTTTTGTGAAGCCATTTATAAAATTTTTGAGGGATTAAGGGGGTCCGAGTTTGAGGGGGTTTGTGAAGACATTAATAAAATTTTTGTGGGATTGAGTCCGAGTTTGAGGAGGTTTGTGAAGCCATGTGAAGTTTTGTGAAATTTATAAAATAAGTTTATTTTATAAGTTTTATAAAATTTTTGAGGGATTAAGGGGGTCCGAGTTTGAGGAGGGTTGTGAGGCCATGTGAAGTTTTGTGGTAGGATTGACCTTAAAAACATCATGGTTATTTCCGTCTTACAGTTATTTACATAATAGTAATCAAATTTTAACCCTGATAAGAGGCGCCACGGGCGCTTCCGGATAGCCTAGTTCTTAATATTTGTAGTAAATTAAAAGCTTGCATTACCTTAATCCTATTACTTAGCATAAATGTATGCAAGATGATTTTTGATTATTTTGTGCACTTTTGAAATTTCTTTTAATATGTAATAAGATTTGCAAAATGTGTTAAAATTAAATAAATTATAAATTACTGAATCAATTCGTATTCCATCGCTTAGACCCCGTTCTAAACAATGTTTAGGATCACTGAGCAAGCAAGGATGTATCTAGAAATGTAACTATTAGAGAAGAGGGGTTGGGGGGATTGAATTTTTAAACAGTTCAAACAAAAGATTTTCTTTTTTCATACACGATTTGGAACGAAAGGGAAGAAGAAGGCTAATTTTTGTGGATCGTAATTATTTAACGGTCCCAAAACAATTAGAGAACTTTTTTTGTGTCTATCCTCTAATTCAGTCATATCTAAACTATGTGTCGCGAACCATTTGCTATGTACGGTTTTGTTTATGGCTTACCATCAAGGTGTGTCGATTACCAAAAAAGTTTGGATGACACTGCACTAATTCATACCCTGGCAACGGGCATTACGTTCCACAACATTATTTGATATGCATCTATTAAACACATATAATTCAAATTTCGAGATTTTCTAAAATAAACCGAGATGTAAAGATATTGGGTATCTTGAAATTAATCGAGAGACTCATGTGAAACTTCCTTACTTATATTGCTAATTATGTGCGAAAACGTGTAATGAAGCGAAAGATGCTTGCGAAGCAATAAACATTAGCCTGCATCATAATTTAAAAATCCTTCTCGCGATGTAAAAGAGAAAAAAAAAATTTAAGTTAATGTTTCTTTAAAAGCCTTAGCAAGTCAGTCAGTAAGAAAAGGGAAGAAAGAAAAATTTTAAATAAAACCATATGTTTAAACGTCGAGAAGTCTGCAAATGCATCTTACATGTCTCGCCTCCAACTAATGTAGTTTTCCATTTTTGCCTCATACTCATTCAGACACCACACATAATATGTCAAGAAGGCAAGACTTTATGTATAAACTGCAAATGAATGTATAACGCTCAATTAAAGGTATCTTGTTGTCTTCTTTTATGATGATGTTATGACCAAAAAAGAGCTAAAATAAAGTATTGAGAAGAAAGGAAACAACAGAATAAAATAAAGCATATTTCATTATGAAAAACGAAAACCTGTGCGAGATGTAGCACGTGCATCATCATAAATGAATCAATTGCAATTCTCATTTCTTTTTTCTTGTTCCTTGTTCTTATATTTTTGCATTATCGTTACCAAATAATCATTTAAATCAAACAGAAACAGAAAACGATAAAAGGCGAGACGAATGCTGTAAGGATTGATTGCACAGGAAAGAAAACAATGTTTCCTAAAAAAGAGGCACGAACAAAAGACGACGACAACGACGAGAGAAAATAATTTACGAAAATAAAAAGAATTGCATAATATTGTCTGGGCTTATCGTTTATCAAATTAAGCTCTTGAACAGGCATTGAATTAAACAAAAAGAATCCATCAGTAGCGCCTGCCTCGTGTATTAACCGTTATATGCATTAAACATAAGAATCATTTCACGGCTATAAATTCTCATCTGCATATCCAGACCATGTGCATTTACTCATTCAACAGTGTCTAGTGCTGGAGCAAGGAAAGGAGACCTAAATCATGACACAACATCTCACACATATACGAAAATCATTCATGCAAAACTTACCATTAGACATCACATTTTAGGATTATAATCGGACATGTAAAACTCCCCTTATTCCTACCCTGACTGTGTCTTTAAAGTTGTTTTGTCTGCATTTTGCATATGCAGATCTTCCTTGTCGACAAAAACAATCCCTTGAAGATTAATGACTGCATATTTTTCATACCGAACAACCTTCAAAAGAATCGAGAAAGGAGTCAGACGATGGATCCGCTAGTCAGTCTAGCCTACATAATGTTCCTGAATTGTTTTGAGTTAGACAATTGGGTCAAATTCTTTTTCATGCGCAAAACGATTATCCAATTTGTGATTTTCAAAACATTTGCATGACATTGTTTCTTTTTTTTAGGAATGAATGAGAGAGAAAGAATGCGAGATAATAGAATGAGAAGATTCACATTAATTATGTATTATGTGTGAAGAATCTTTTTTTCTTTCTCTTTTTTTTTGATTATTCATCTTTTTGGTTTCCTCTTTTTGTCTCATCTTCATTTAAGGTTTGATTATTCTGGTGAGTTGTCAAATAACTTTGCTTTTAATTCTCTTTTCATATAATATTAAAGTGTTGGATGTTCTTGATAAGTTAAACAAGAAGCGCACTTTTTAAGTGCGATTACAGAACTTTAATAAAGTTGAGTATTTATCTATGGCTTTCCAAAGAGTGCCAATCGGTTAAGTTCCTTTTAAATATAAAACATTGCATCCTTAAAAGGTCTGAAGAAGTCTAAAGTTTAATAGGGATTCATTTATTACGTAGAGCTAAAGATGAAATTTTCACCATACATTCCCAATTCACAAATTTTTCTACAAGAGTAATCTTTGGATAAATGAGTATCTGTAAAATTTTGATTTAATAAAAATTATGTTCATGGATAGAGAAATTGAAATTAGATGAATCATAAAAAAGTGAGTAAAATGTGTTTTTAGCTACTTTTGGAATCTGGGATATCGAACGATATAAAGAGGAATCTGTGTTTCTCATTAGACTGATCTCTCAATCATAAAAATGTTGTCGATATGATAAGGATTTGCACAATGCAAACACCTAAAAGTTGCTTTTAAGGAACATACCCTAGACTTTAGACTTTAGAGTTCATACAAAACTGCAAAAATTAATTAGTAATCACTTCCAATGAAGAAATCAAGATTCGTTGATCTGTATGGTTATGTAAATTAGATGTCATCAAGGAATCCTATTTCTGTGCATACATAAAAATTGACAGAATTTAAAATTGATTATATGTAGACTATCTGAACATTTGCGCATATTTTTAGATCAGATCATATTAATTCGATGAAAAAAGTCACGAAAATTTGCATACAACAAAGTTTTAGTATCAGAGTTTTTTGCAAATAGACTTAATATACTCAACAATTTAAAAAAGTCAATAGACAAGATTTTATGCGAAAATGGAATTTCTGGAATATGGTCAAATAAATCAAATCGTTGACACTTAAATAATAAGAAAGAATTTAAAAGAAAAAAAAAATAGAGGAAAGAAGTATTTCCATATGTTAAATATTTTCTCAAAATAATTTCCATTATAGACATACGCATATGCTTTGATCTTCTCATTTAAAAATTTATGTAGTCAAATATGGACATGATGAAAAACTTCTTCGTTCTCAAAAAATTTAATTTAAACAAAATCTAAAATTGAAGTTTTTATTTTAATTTCAAATTTTCTAGACAGACAAACAAGCGAGATTGAAGAGATTAGAATTGATAATATAATAGAAATAAAAATACAATAGACTTTGAAAGTCAAACACCTCAATAGAGGACAATCGTACTATCCAAAAAAAAAAATATGATATGAGTCGGTTGTAGTACGTGATATTTTAAGCTGTCAAAAGGAATAGGAATCAGCCTTTAGATGAAAATGAGTTTTTTTATTACTTAGCATATTTACATCAGTTCAACGCACTCGGATATAAATTTATTTTAACTTTTAGAGATCGTTCACATATTACGTTACGCATTAAAGAACTTTTCTAGGCTCTAAGGCTCGATTTCTAAATTGTCGATCTAGACTACAGAAATAGATTAATGTCTAATTGATAAATGGCGATACGTAATATCCAAACAGCTCCAAATCAAACTTCTAGAGACAATTTAAAGAAATGGAATCACAACAATTGATGATGAGTGATAAGATTCATTCAAAAACCGTGTGCCATTTCCTTTTATTTTCATTGAAGCCTGTCTAGGCTTCTAAATTAAGTGACTAGACATTTGCGCTCATTTTTTTTCTTCATTCAATAGATCACAATAGCTATGTACTTACAATAATAAAATTCCATCATTTTACTATTCATTCTTTTCAACTATCTGTTTATCTATCTCTTGTATTATGAGCAAGCGAGCGAGCAAACTACGGGATAATATAAGAGAACTATCATATTGCAATACTGAGAAATAAAAATTATGAAGTAAAACTGTCAACTTGATGGGAAACATTGAGACGCTTTTAGCTTTAACTTATTTTTCGGGGTATCTCTTTAAAATAATAACTTAATGCAATGAATACCTGGATTGGATGTGTTGAGAAGGTTAATACCCTCAACTGACAGAAGGTCTCGAAGGATAGAGCTGTCTTTAGACTATCTCTGAACGCAGCAATGGGCCCACGTGCGCCTCAGCCAGGGAAGTAAGTAAGTAATGCAATGATGAACAAAGACGTTTGTACGAGATTTATAATATTAATCTCATTGACGTAATAATTTTGTCATAGATATTCGTACTAGGATCATTAATCGAACCTAATCACATAATAAACTTATCAAGGATGAATGAATTCTTGACTCTTTTATGTCAAGAGTCAAGGGAATTTCAACAAAAAGAGCCTCTTGCTTAACAAAAAATTTTAAAGATCCAAACAGATCGTCAGCTGACTAAGTGAATAAATGTACCTGACACATAAGTCAAACTGATCGTTTATGATATCTGTATTGCATGCAAGATGCGTTGATAACTTCAATGAATAAAGTTGACGATAATAAAGGCATATGTGTAATCATACTCAGTACATCGCAGATCATCGCATAGTCTACTTCGCGTCTAAAATTCTAAATTAGAATAATCTGAAAAAAATAGATTCTGTCTTCAACTCATGCGTAAATGCTAACATATGAGTTTTATGTGAAATGACTAATAGCTTCAAACAGATTAAATCGATGGTTTTAAAAATAAAACATAGAAAAGGAGAAGAAAAAAAAATGTGGAATAAAATATTTATTTAAATTTTCATTTTAAACCGCGACGATATTTTGCTTAGATCAAAAAAAGAACCAAATTTATTCCTTATAAATAATTTAAACAGCACAAAAAAACAGCAGAGATTCAAATGGGAGGGCAATTACATATAAAAAGAGACAAGCCGTATTGAAACTGTATCATTCAGTTTTCACGAAACAAGTTTAAAAGAACGTTCGTAGACATTAAAATTGAAAAAATAAAAAAAAAATAAAAGTCTAAAAAGAAGTGAAAAGAAAAGCAGAAGAAAAGCTTTAGCATATAACTGGCTACTTGTGTAAAATTCTTACGTTATTTTTCCTTTCCGAAAGTTTTTCTTCTCATTAAATACGACGATCGAATCCGTCGTGTCAAGCAAGCAACATAAGCAATTGCACGAGTGTTTGTTCTGTGTTTGCCTCTCTAATAATAATACATTTACACAATATATTCTCCAAGAAGGAAAAACGGCCAAGCTATTAGTTATACTTGAGTCTTTGGGAAAGAGAGTTGGAAAAATTAAAAGTTCTGATCGACAAGGAACTTAAATAAAATTTTATAGATCTGAATTTGCTGTGAAAAAAAAAGAAATAAAAAAAATTAAATATTAAATTTCATTGGAAGAAAAAATTAGAAAATTGACGACAAAATGGAAATTAAAATTTCGTCTATAATTTTAGCTATAATTACATTTAAAATTATAGTGGCAACTCCAGTTAATAATAAAAATAACAATAATAATATAAACAATAATGAAAATTCTCAGACAATTGTGAGTGATGAAGTGACGGCTTATCCAGATATGCAAAAACTCTATGTTGATCTTACTAATGTAAGTCCAGATGTGTCAAATATATTACGAAGAAGCCAATTAAACATTGATCAAATTCGTGAACAGCAAGAACGATTAAGACATCGAAATAATATCGAAAATGACAAAAATCGGTATGAAGTCATATCATCATCCACAGCAACAGTACCAATTTCACAAGAGTAAGTGCGTGATAATATTTTTAGCAATTCCTCGGTAGACATAATTTTTCATTAATACAAAATTATTTTCGGATATTCTCACTTTTTATTCCACATTTTTCATTTCTGAATTCATGAAAAATGTTCATCTTATCCTCGCGATTTTCTGTCAAATTTACCTGAAATATAAAACTTTTTTAATTTTTTGAAAAAAAAATTTTTGAATTTTTGAATGGAAAATTATTTTTGGTTGTTGCAATTAACCAAAACTTGAATTTATAAAAGTAAAAATAAGATTGATGTCCTTAAAAACATAAATTAAAAAAAAATAAAGGTTTAGTTCAAAATTAATCTTAATCTATTTCTAAGATAGCTAGAAAAATCAAAATGATTGTTTTTTTGTAGGACCACAAATTTAAAAAATATTCTCCTAATCTCAGGAGAATAGTCAAAAAGGTGAAACAGAAAAAAATTATAGCCTTCCTAATCTGATCATACAAAATATATTTAATTTTAAATAATGATTTTGCGAATTTCGAAAATAGATTTTAAGAGACTTTATTTAAGTCAATTCAAAATATTTTTCATTTCTTAATTGATTTAAATTTGGTGAATGTGTATACAGTTCTAGTTTTCAATTGAAAAATATTGATACAGACTTAGACTAGTTTGTCAGTCAATAATTATTATCAAATATTCTTCAAAAATAAGTATCACATTAAAAATTTCGTAAACTCGGACAGCACCTTAAAATTATGTTTTACATGAAATTTAAAGCTTATTTTAATGCTTTTATGGAGAAGGGTGTCAAAAAATTATTGCTTTGTCGTTCCGTAATAAATGAGCCTCTAATAAACTTTAAAATAATTTAACTTTCATCAATTCTTTTAATAATTTGCAACTCTAACTGTTTACAAAAGAATTTTAAAATTTATATCAAGTTACTTGGGGACACAAAATACCAATCGTAAAAACGTGAAACAATGTCATAACAATTTTCACAACTCCAGTATAGTCTAGTTCAGTGTCAAAACAATAACAAAATAAATATTTCAGTTTATAATGTCAATATTAATGATATCTTCTGTAATGTATCCTTAAATCAAGAATATTTAAAGTCTTCACCTTCAATAAAAAATTTCTCTGGTTTTAAACAATACGATCTCGATTATGTAATACAGTGTAACAGAAATCCTGAATTCTATAACGATCATCTACATACCCATAAAAAAAAATATTTTTTAAATTCTATTGAAATTTAATTCCTGTGGAGAAAATATTTTGAGGCATTTCAAGTTACAAAAGACGAATCCTCTGCCACCCTAGAAACAAAATGAAATTGTAATCAAAGCTTAAATAAAAACTAAAATTGCAGCATAGGAATGAATAAGAATCTATGACGATGATAGAAGCCGCAATTAAAAATTAATAACTTACAGTCTATAGAAAATAAGTCCATATGATAAAGCAAATGCTACTTAGACTTTTCTCAGACATCTTGATGTATAAGCATGCATTCCAGTCATTTTATGTTTGTGACTTAGAGATGAAAAAAAAAATTGACGTACTATGCAAAATATTTTCTTGCATATTTTCTTGATTATGCCAAGTGTCTTTCCAAGAGATGCCAATTAAACTATTTCTATGTCTTTCCTACCTCATTCTAATGCTTCAAAATGCTGCTTTTTATGCTGACTATGACATTTTTCAATTGATTCATTAGAAACTTTAGTGTTGAGTCTAGTATTAATAAAAATAGCGCTTAGATCAACGGACTTTTGTAGAACGGCAGTCATATTTTGTCAAATCACATTAAATTACATTCCGTCAATCGTGAAATGCCCTTGAAATAATTATGTGTCCAAATAATGATATTTTAATGAAAACATTAAAACGGAGTTACCTGTTGAGCGCAATTGCCTTTTTTTCCTTTCTTCTTTACTTTTCTATGTTGTTATACGTACTTTTTTTTCGTCGCAGAACTCCAGACTGTGTTACATACAATACACTTTACTTACTTACTCACTATACGCTTCAATTGAATGTGCATGAAATGTACATAAAATAAAAAAAAATGCATGAACTTGAACTTGACAGTTTTGCCATGGTTGTCTGTGAAATTCTCTCCATAATCTTCTTTTTATGTTCCTTCGTTATGTACAATGATAAGCGAGCAGTAGAATTATTCAATTGAATTCTTAGAAACGCATTTAATGTTGTAATGGTCAGTGATGTTTTGTTATTGCTTAAGCAATAAAAATGTATGAACTACTTATTCAATAGTGTGTGAATGATAATTATTATGGAGTCAGCAATTAGTCTGTCCAAGAATGTTAAGCAAAAACTGCTTGTATTGATTTGCTTAGGAGAATTTAATAGAATTTAAAAACTGTCGAGCTTTGACTTGTTCAAATAGAATATTTAAGTCTAGAGGGCCCGATGTAATAACCCTCATCCATTGAGCTGAGACTATTTATCTCTCAATCACATTATCGCCTAACCAAACAAAGTGAATGCTACACATTTTTCTAAAGAACTGCCCTATAAACCTCCACTGTGATATGAAGTCAGTGTAATGCTGTCTCTTCTCTTATTTCCTTCGTTCCTCCTCCATTGGACATTTATTATTATACTTTTTTTTTCATTTTGTCATTTAAATGCATCAGCTTGCATGACACATTTTGGGGCAGACGACGATAAATGTTATATTGTTATGTATAGATATTTTTACAAGGCAATGAAGCAATGAGAAGAAGAATGAATGATAAAGTAGACATGAGAGAGAAGTCAGAGCGTCTGGAAGGAAGGAGCAGGAAATGTATGCAGATTTTGACTCACAAAGAAGAAAAAAAATTTTTCTTTGGTTTGGGAAAAAAGAAGTCGACTTCATAAATTTTTTTATACTTACTTACCAAACTTTATATGCCTACACATAATTCTTATTCATACAAAAATATAAAAAATTGAAAAAACCACCACGGGAACAAAGGTATCTCCCAAAAAAATATATATTTATTTGTATAAATTTAACAACCAGACAGTACATTCATGAACGAAAAAAAAAAACATTAAGAAGATGGCATGATTAATGTTCCATCATTTCTGAAAATGCAACATAAATGCATTAATGTTTTCTTACCAAAAAAAAAAAAAAAAATCCGAAAAAATTAAAGTGCATACATAAAGAGTACTTTAAATGCATTGTAATTTTTATGGTTTGTTTTTGTTATTACTTGTGAATAATTTTTTTCTCATTCTTATTCATCAATGTGTCTGCCTTAAATTTTCAGTGTCCCATTACTTCTCGTGAAGTATTAAAGTGCACAGTGGCAAATTGAATTTTTCTTTTTCTTCCATTTTTTTCGTCTTTTTTTAACGATTCCTCCTCCTTTAGTGGTACTGCTGCTTATTGTCTTAAACTATATTTGAATTTCTTGTCTCTCTCTCCTTTTTATGCATTCTAAGTAAAATGAATGTGCATTGTACATAAATGGTAAACCTCAGAGCCTCAGTACATTCATGTGTATAAAATGTAATGAATTGCAATTGCATCCTTTCCTTAAATTATATTTATTTTTTATGCATTATGAACTTAACTTTTTTGTGCATTTTTTTTTTCATGAAATAAGACGAAAAAAGAATAAATGCCAGACAGTAAAATTAAAAGTACATTTCTGTTCGCTAGAACATGCCCTTTCTTGCCACATTAAAATGCATTTTTCGTGTACACTTCTTTTTTTATTATTACTTAATGCATTTATGCATCGGATCGAGTCTGAAAAAATGATTGCACACACGTGAATCACTTATTTAGTTATGTGCTGCTGCTCCTACTGATATTTGGCTTATCAATCGCTTTGTCGAGAATATTTATAAGTAAATTTTGGTACTGAGTAGTTTTTCGTTTGCTCATGTTATGTCTATACAGAATACTAATGTTTTACATGCTAAAGATTGAATATGAGACAGAGTAAGAGAAAGAGACACTGATAAAGACAGATAAAAATACAAAATGAGATGAAACGAAAAAATCATGAAAGGAGAAACTGGGAGAAACAAGTTTCAAATCCATGATTAAGTTTGAATCATAAAAGCGCAAAAAAAAACATAAAACTAAAGATGAATGACAATCCTTGGATGTGTGTTGCTGGTGCTTAATGAAGGGAACACTATTAGAACCGAACACATTTCCTTAAGTAATCTGATTAGAGTACTTATGTATAAGGTGTATCTTAAATGTGTCTTTAAATTTGAATTTAAAGAACTGGTTCCTAGTTCGTAAGATATTTAAAACATAGGTCATTTAAGGAAGCTATAGTTAATTAAGAGGCACAACAGTTAAATTATTAGAGGTCTATGAGATCGTTCTGCAATCACATTCAAATCCCTATTATTAATAACCTGTGCTGAAATCATTAAATTAAGTATTGATTAGAAGTTACATCTTATTGAATAAAGTCAAACCACATCACTTTCTGCTCTCTATGATTTAAAAAAATTCTGCTCAGTAATGAGGTAGAGCATGCATTTTAAGCAACGAATGACTCAAATAGGAAGTTTTGTTTTTCTTTTCCTTCTTATAGAAGAAACGCTGGTAGACATACACGATAATAGAATGAGTGAGAGAAAAAATAAACATTCTTTAGATGGCAAGTGATGTCTCCAGTCTGGAGAGCGTAAAAATACTCGATTATAAAAAAAGTATCCGTTAAATCATTGTCACTTATTATTATCGTGTCTAGCCGCTGCTTCTGTTTTATTATGTATTTTAATAAAAAAAAAAATCATCATCATCATAGATTCTATTCGCTGAGACTATGCACAGGAGTGAGCATTTGATTGTGAGAATTTTTTCCATTCTTCGCATGAGGCAGGAATGAAAGTGATGATGCATCTGGCTTTTAAATATTTCCATTGGAATTTATCCTTGACTTATCATGAATTTTTTTCTCTTATGTCTATTTTTTTCTCCGTCTAGCAATGAAGAAAATTACCGGCTGCTGAAAATTCAATCAGAATTGGAAGCAACGTTACGTAATTCGGAGCCTGAGCAACAAGTATCAGCTATGAAATTTGAAAAACCACAATTTGAATACGCTTTTGCGGCTGCATGTAGGTGTCAATCTTATTTTTTGACAATTATTTTTTTTATGTTGGAAACATTAAATTTTTTCTAGGTGAAATACCACGACATATGAATATTACAAAATGGTTTGATACACCTACATGGAACATAATGTTTAAGCCAATTTACAGGCGTTATAATGTCCTTTCTTCAACGATAAGGTACGTTTAATAAATCATTGTCCAAGCAAAGATACTTGATAGAGAGAGAGGGAGGAGTCTTAAAAATCCACAATTTTGACAGGCATCATTTATGAACGATTCCTTTTACATTTACTTATTTTCTCAATCTTTATTCAACAGACTTTACAAAATCAAAAAAGATGAAGACGTGTCGGTGTCAAATGAATGTGATGTGATGCAAAATAAGATGTACACCCTTAGTGTGTCTGTTTACATTCGTAAACGAAGTAAGTGACTTAAAATAATAATAATATTTATCTTTAAATTAATGGTTATTATTTTGTATCCTCAGAGGAAATTACTAAAAAGATTATTTTCACAAGAGTGATCCAAGCTTCATTTGTTGGATGGGTTGAGGTTGATGCTTTAGGAACACTTTCATTTTGGGATCAGGCCAAAAACAATCATGGCATTGCTGTAGATATTTTTGACGAAAACGATCAGCCATTAGATGCACGAGAGCATTTTAGGCTACAAAGTTGCGATCAGGCAGGTAAGAGTGTGGATTTTCGATGCTACTTTATTAACACAATGCCCTTTAATTGAATCAATTAAATCATATGAACGCCATTCATTTTATTTCCATCAAAAGTTATGTATATCTACAAACAAACAAAACATGTACTCAATCGTAAATATTTCAATAGCAATGCGAAAAAAGCATTTTGAGCATCAAATTAATGTCGAGACAAACATTTTCTGACGAAATACATTTGAAACATTCCGCGAAATTAGAAGCGACGGAAAAAAAATATTTACGACGGACTTTAATAAAGAAAAAAAAATAATTTTAAAAAGGTTATGAAATCTGAAATTACTGGAATACCGGACATAATACAATTTCTCCTTAATTGCGTCATTACGCTTCTAAATAGAACATGTCTTACTTCTTTCCCTTTCATTCATTTACTCATTCATTCATTCATTCATTCATTCATTAACCCATCCATTCACAAAAACAGTTCTGTTCTCTTCTCTCGAAACAACTCAACAATACTTCCTTGTAAGTAGGTGTGTTGAGGTTGTAAAATAAACTATATATAATTTCATTCAAAGTCCATATCTCTCTCAACATAGATCCAATTTCATAAACTGTTTTCTTCAATATTGAATTGACTTTAGTCACCCTCGGGTGAATTTGAAATTTTTCTCCTCTTTCGATCTATTCTTACTTCTATTAATATATTTATATATATGTTTATTTGCCCATATATACATACGGCAGGCGGATCAAATTCGCTCTTTTCCCGAAATTAAAAGCATGTGAATAGCAAAAAAAAAACAAACATATTTCTGGCGGGAGCCGCGTTGTAATTTTATTTGACAAAATTTAATTGAGTCATCAAAAAATGATGAAGTGAATTGAAATATGAAATAAACGAAGGAGGTTTGGACAGTTGTGGCAGACTAACAGCTTTAAATATGATATTTTGTTGTTTCGTTTTCGTGTGTTTTATTTTCACTTCCAATAATACTCACATGCATGAAAAGATGATGCTTTGTTTTTATTTTGATTTTGATTTTTTTTAATTATTAATCTCATTTTTCCATTCATTCCATTGATGATTGTGCAATATTTGTTTTGATTTGGATTCAATTTTCTTTTATAACAAAAATTAAATTTTCTCACGAATATCCAAAGCGTGTATTTAAATTTCTAATTATTTTTTTCTCACACAGATACTCCCGTCCTCCCTTGGGGCGCCTTCAAATTCCTCATCAAGCACGAAACAGGATCAGACTCCGATACTGTTGTTAAAGGACTCCAACAAATGTATAAGTATGTTTAATTAATCACATTAGGGACTGTTCATAAAGCTAATCATTATTTGATGTAAACTTCCAGTAACCCGAGATTAGATATCATCTCGTCAACTCCACCATCCTATGACAATAGCTATTTAGGATCAAAAAGTAACAATAACCGTAACAGTAATAATGATATTCAACAAGATCAACCTGCTCAAAATAACCGACCGCAACGACACATTCGACATGAGAACCATCATAAGCATCATGTCCAAAATGAAAATAAAACAACGCTTTTGAAAAACAAATTCCACAAAAGAAAAGAACACATGCATCGGGACGAGAATAGTACGACTGGCGAGACATAAAGAATATGTTATGCATTTTTAATAATTTAGGTCACACATAAGTATTTTTAAGATGTTTCCTTTGTTAACATATGAGAATCACTTTGTCTTGGGTCATGTTTCTTCCTTTAAAAAATAATTGAAGAAGAACAACCTTTAAAATGCATCATTTACAGACTATAGACCATAAGTACAATGAGTTCAATTTGAATCTTCCCTTTGAATCTAAATCATGTTCATTTCTTCAAATTCTGAATACTCCGTAGATGTCTTAATTATTTACAAATTATTTTAAAAGAAAAAATCATCTAAGAATTTTTTAGAAGATACCATTCCTCAGGATAGAATACAAATTAAAAATATCAAAAAGTGTCAATTTTGAAATATTCAATTGATTTTTTGAAGATCGAAGACCTAAGAGAAAAATTTCAAAATTTAGACACTAATTGCACATGTTTCAAAAATTGCAGAACTCTTAAATGAGTAGGCAGAATTGGAAATGAACCTCTTTTGTAAATAGTTTTATTCATTTTATGGCAAATTTTGCTCAACAAATATTGCAATCAATTTTTAAAGAAAACGTCGTTCATTTATTGCGTTTCTGAGAGAGCAGGAGTCTTAATTTTATAACAAAAAACAACTACAATAATCAAGGTTGCGGAACTGATGAATTACATTTTGATCATTTGTGATCATTTCATGAGTACCACACCTTTGGCAATAACAAGGAGATGTTAAGCACAATTTGTATAATAAAAAATTGGTTAAAACTTCATTTTTAAGTTCTAATAGATTTTTAAAAAAATTGTAGCATCCAAACAGACTTACGGCCTGTTTCACAAAAGCGGATTATCCACTTCAGTTTTTTGTAAATATCTTAAAATTTATGGGAGGTATGGTATTTCTAATTTTGAATTATAATAGAGTGAAGTATGCCTGAAATTTCTGTATACTTTAAACTTTTGCTTTTCGTTAAGAAGTATTTTTGCTATAATTCTCAAACTAATGAAGATATAAAAATTCTAAATATCTAATATCTAATAACCATAAGTGTCTGGAGATATTTCCAAAAAACTGAAGTGGATAATCCGAAATCGAGGATAATCCACTTTAGTGAAACAGGACGTTAGAGTTTAATAATTTTTTGAAAAAAAAAATTAATTTTAAAAATTGTTCCAAAAAAAAAGACTTTAGAACATTGAAATCGTTCACGAATGCAGTTATTAAAAATTAAAGTCAGTTACAAAATCTATTGACATCAGAGCTCGAAGTTCTGGACTCGGGTTTTTTCGAGTTGACTCAACTTTTCTCGAGTCAACTCCGAATTGACTTAAGTTGACTCAAAAAAATTAAGTTGAATCGAGTCAAGTAGACTCAAACCCTATCGACTTCGAGCTCTGATTGACATTAAACAGCTTCAGATCCTTTTTCTGCTCATAAGAGTGTACGTGATAAGTACTTGACCTTCTTTGAATTGATTGAATAATTGTAAATTATGAATTAAGATTAGTTTACTCCATTAAGATTGAGTTTTGTCAAAAGCCAGTGATTATAATTGATTAACTGGTAAATGATTGATGTACAATAAAAATAAATGAAATTCTATGCATGATTGTATGCTCATGAAGAAGTCCTAATTACTTTTTTATTCAAAAGAATAATGGATATGAAAACAACTCTAAGTCACATACAAAAATGTATAGATAATATTTAAAAAATATTTAAATAATAGGTCAGATAGGACATAAGTTACTTACATTTAAACTCTAAAATGACGAGGAAATGACTTGTACATTAAAAATTAAATCAGTTGTCTAGTTTTGTTCCAAATAAATTTTTGCAATTCGAAACCTAATTTAGTTTAGAGGTTTAGACAAAAAAAAATAAATTCATCAAGAGTTATCAGTAAAATGATTTGTCATTATTAAAGCACATCTTTAATTTAATAAATAACATTTTAAGTGCATGTTTTTAAATTAAGAAGACTTTTTTTGAATTCAATCTTTGATGCTAAACTTGATATGATACAGAAAGGAATCGTGTTAAAAAAAATTAATAAAATGCCAGAACGTCTTCCTTGTCATCTGAAAATACTAGACTTAATTAGTGAAGAACTCCTAAACAGTGCTGAAAATTAGTTCCTTATTTAATAAATTATGGATTACTTAAATCAAAATAGAAGAAGATGACAGCTCCATTCATTTCCTCGAACATAATCATAATTATCGTAGATAAACAGTAAATAATTAAATTTTAATTCAGTATCTATAAAAGAAAACGGAGCTTCTTGTTAAGTAAGATTATGAGTTAATGTTTTGTAAATTATATGCTTGTGTGCGTGTTTGTGATAAAATATTTTGTTTGCTGTGTGACTCATCAATGTTTATAATATAATTTATGTTAATAAGATAAAGAATAATAATTAGATATACCTTACTAAATTTACTCTGCATATATAACTTGATTAATGAATAAATATTGTAAAACTTAATTAAAAAGAAAACTTTTTTCATCTTTTGGCGTTTCCTCCTAGAAAAGCTGTGCTAAAAGTACCTTCCTTAATCAAATTAAGACCACCAAGTTTCTAAAACAATTCTATTATGACTCAATTCCATTGTAGACTGCACTAAAATAATCAAGTCATGAAATTATTTTTGAAAATAAAATATTCATAAAATTTTTGACAAGTTCATTGCATAAAATTAATTTAAATATTTATGGTCGGCATGGACAACTTTTTTCACTCTTGCCTTAGTATCGATAAGAGTTTTCTTGAAACAACATTCACTATGGATGATTTAAAGTCGTTTGATATTTCTGCAGAAAAAATTGAGACTCCAATCACTGAGTTTCTGAGGAACAAGACGATTTTTCTAACAGGTAAGAGCACGTTTAATATTAATTTGCTTTAAGCATCTACTCTGTCTTGAATAAGAAATTTCTGCACTTGTATCTAGGTGGAAATGGCTTTGTGGGAAAAATTTTGATTGAAAAATTATTAAGATGTGATGTCAAGAAAATATTCATCATGATGAGACCCAAGAAGCAAAAGAATTTGCATCAAAGATTTGAAGTTTTAATAGAAGATCCTGTAAGTTTAATTATTGGGTGATTATTCGCAATTGACGTCCAGATATATTGTTTGAATTGCATTGTAAGCATCGCAAGAAGTTCGACCCTTAAAAGCAACAAACCTTCTCCTAAGCTAAAAGTTGGACGTCATTAGTGAACAATCCCCAATTTAAAAGAACATTCTCTAAGATGAATCTTATAATTTGATTAACAATAGATATTCTCAAAGATTTCAAAAGATGGAGAACGATACTTTAAAAAATTATGCTTAATTTATGGAGATCTTCAAGAGATTCGACTTGGAATCTCTGAAAACGACGAAAGAATGATAATGAATGAAGCTGAAATTTTCTATCATGTCGCTGCAGATGTGAGATTTGATGAAAATTTAAGAGAATCAATTGAAATAAATGTCAGAGGAACAAGAGAAGTTATTTCATTAGCTAAGAGAACTCGAAATTTGAATGTCTTTATATATGTCTCAACAGCATTCTCTACTCCATCATTTAACGTTCATGAAAAATGTAAGTTGTAATTTATTAAGCATCGAAAGTAAATTTCTGGTTAATTAAGGAATTATAAATTTGTTCGTTAAAGTCTACAATCCAAACATTGATCCTAATCTCATGATAAAAGTTGTTGAAAATCTCAAAAAAGATGAAGACATTGAAAATTTTGAAATTTTAGGTATGAATACTAATTTGATTATGCTTGTCATCTTGTCTAATTAATCTCAAATTAATTTCATGTTTTCTGTTAAAAGCACGTCGAATAATTCAACCATATCCTAATACTTATTGCTATACAAAAGCATTAGCAGAACAAATTGTCAAGGAATGTGCTAAAGATATAAATGCTGCTGTCATACGACCTTCCATAATAACGGCAACGTATTTAGATCCAATTCAAGGTTACACAGATAACGTTTACGGATTGAATGGTGTTCTTGTCGGTGCAGGTGTAGGAGTACTTAGAATTTTTCGCATAAACAATAAGCTGAAGAGTAACATTGTACCCGCCGATTACGTCATTAACCTAATCTTAGCCATCTCATTTTACACGATGACACTTGAAAAGTATAAAATATCAGCTTTGGCATATAAATCCACTGAAATAATAAGATTGAAAAAATAATGCTTAATCATTTATGTATTTACAGTAATTTCAATTATAATCGCCACATTGACGCTTATGCTGAGAATGCAAATGTTCAAAATAATTACGATAATGGAACAGAGCATCAACATGAGTTTCATTTAAATAAAGTTAATGGTTCTGGTGGTAAAGATGGTGGTGATGATGATGATAATAAAATTAAAGTGTACAATTTTAGTTCAAGTGATGACAATTGCATCACGTATGTTTCATATGAATGCACATTTACATTTTGAGTGCTAAAAAATTAGTTTAAATTATTATAATTTGATTATCATTAGATGGGCTGATGTGAAACATATATCATCATCATTGGCATACAAAAATCCAGCGAAACGAGCTTTATGGATTATCACATATAACACGACCCAGTCAAAAATTATTGTTAAAATATTGCGCATTCTTTATCATATCATTCCTGCATATCTCTTTGACATGATTCTTTATCTTAACAATAAGAAGCCAAGGTAAGTAAAAAAGGCTGTCTAAATAATAAAAAAAAGGCAATAGTGCATGGACATGACGTCCTCTAATGATGTTCAGATGTTGTATAAATTCCTTTGTTGCAGACTGCTTAAACTGTACCGGAAAGTTGATAAATTTGCTGAGGTCATTGAGTTTTTCACAAACAACCAATGGCACTTTGATGACGATAATGTAATTCGTTTATGGAATTCGTAAGTTAATGTTTGCTTTATCTTCTTACTACATTACGTAGTCAACACATTGACATACATAAGATCTTTATGTTTTCCATGCTTTTGATAGAATGACTTCATATGACAAAGAACATTTTCCATTCAACCTTTGGTCAATTGAGTGGGAAGATTTCTTTGGTAAGCATGACTTAATAGAAGTTTATATCCATAGAGGAATATTTTATTTATTTGCTATTCCAGCCGTTTATACTTCGGGATTAAGACTTTATATCATGAAAGAAACATTGGATACATTAAAGGATGCAAGGAAAAAGTACCGAAAAATGACAATAATTCATTACTCTATGTTATTTTGCATATATTCTGTATGTTTTTATTGTGGCTATAAAATTTTGAATTTTTACGGCTTATTGGATGATATTCCAAAGTTTAACATTTCAAGTAACACTGAATTCACGTTCCTGAAATATGATTCTATATAGGATTGTCACGAAAATTATTAACGTATATAACGTGAGTTAGTGCGTAATGTGTGTAAAATGATTTCTTGTGGGTGTCAAAGAGATTTACAATAAAAGTACATTTAAAGCCTTAAAACATTGCCTCCTGCCTTTAACAATATCTTTTCTCCGTATTTTATTCTCCTTTTTCTGAATGAAGCATCCGAATTATGAGAGAGAATAAAATCAGCTGTTTTATTGATTCATGAGCATGAGCAACAATTTTTATCCTTCTTCTTTCTTTCAGCACAACTCTTTAGTGTCATTGTCAATGGAAAAGTTCAAATTGCAATTGGACGATTTTTTTCACCCGAAAATTCAATTTTATTTCAGCTAGAATATTATGCAGCAATTAACACCATTCAACCTCATAAACCGTAATGTTTCATTATTTTAAAGCACTTGTCAGGATGACACAAATCTCATTAAAATTGTTAAAACATTAAATTAATGATTGTCATTTCCAATAAAATTGAGTCTAATGTGAAAAAATGAATTAAAGGTCATGAAAGTAAAGCTTTTAATTCCACAATGTTTTCTCTCTTTCTCCTTCTCTCTTCTAATGTTTTCGTCTGTTGAATGTTACATTAAAACAATGAAATATGCAGCAATGAAAGCTTTTTTTGGCTCTCAGCGTACAAATTTCATTCACAATTATTTCTTCCTTATTCTCGAATAGACTTACATTTATTATTTTAGTGAAACATATGCTGTAAAATTATATATTATGCAAAAAAAATTGGTGCTTTAAAGATATGACGACAATTTTAAAGCAAGCTTTGTCAAAAAATTTAAATAATTCAAAGTGAAAAATTTGTGTTGAAAATATTGAAAATAGGATAGCAAATTGAACGAGAATAAGGAAGCATCACGAATTTTTTTTATTTTAAAAATCATTGTTGTCAGCAGTGAGATTTTGAAGTGATCAGACGTATATTTATTCTTTCTCTCTATCCTTGTTCCAAAAAAACAGAAAATATAAATTTTTATTTTTTATACGCAAAAGAAAGGCTTAATTATTAATAATTTTGATAACTGGATAGAAAAATTAAAACTATAGTGAAGTGATGAAACTTTAAAATTGAGTACAAAATTGTGTGAAAACTTAATTTACTCTACCTTCCCTCACGTAACACATTCAAGACGGAATTTTTCAAACTCTATTGCAGCACAATATCTAATTTATATTCTATCGAGCTTTAAAGCCTTTTATAATAAAAAATAAAGAGGGTGCAAAATAAATATAAAATAATATAACCTTTAATTAATAAAATGAGTGACATGAAGAATGGAAATAATTCAATAAAATATAACACCATGCAACGTCAGGTAAGGATACGAAGAAAATGTTCTTTCAATAAATTTTCCTCTATTCATTTTCAATATCAATCAATTTATCTTTCGTGATGGAAAATAAAAGGAATAAGTGCTTCGAAGGAATAGGAAAACTTCTTCTACATACTTTTAAATTTTCATTTCTTTAAATATTATTTTATTCTTTCTCCTTTTATCTACATTTAGGGTAGTGACGATTCAGTAGAGGTTCACGCTTTTGATGATTTGAATTCGCTTGTCAAGGTAAATCAGTTTTCTTTCTTAAATTCTTCACGCTTGTATAAAAATTTCACACTTCTCTATGAGATCATTCATGAGTTACGTCTATCAACTATTAAATAGTTACTTAAATGCTTTATCGAGAGCTGAAGTTATATATATATATATATATATATATACATAATATATTGTAATATATAATATAATGACGATCATGGATCTCGAACCTTTCACTTGTCCTTTTTCGAATCACATGTACTGGAGATAAGGCTCAAACCTTCCTTTGCAAAGCTTTGTAGGATACATGTAGAATGTAGATATGTCATCAAAAGAGTGGTTTGGATCCCACTATAAATTGTAGGTCTATGTTTGAGTGTAGTGGTTTGGTGGATCCTCACTCGTTAAACTCTCATTAGCTGCAAAACGCTCTAGCGCATCTAAGGATCACAATTGATCTGAATAGGTGTTGGTTTTTTTTTAATGCTTCATAAAAATATTATTGGGTGTGTTTCCCCTCTACATTGTAAACGTCATAAGTTAACAACACTCAGTATCATCAGTAAAAATTGAATGACTTGAAATAAAGTTGAATGAATTTGAGGATAAATATTTTATAGTGATTGAAGTGATTTTGTGGAACTCTTTGTGGAATTTAAGTCAATATTTGCTGCGCATATTTTACGACTCCTCAAGTGAATTTGTGATTGTGAAAATGCAGCTTCATCTTTTCTTTTTATGTATTTTACTATGCTACATATTTTGCGATTTGTATTAAGAGCAAAGTACTAAAGAGAGCTTATGAATTGATTAAATTTATCAAAGTGTAATGTGTTCAACTCAACTGCTTAATGTCAATTTTTACTGAATACATCAAAAATTAAATTTATTTTTTGAAACGTCATTCCAAAAATTTCGTCATAAGTGAACGGGATGGGGGGTAAAATCCCCGAAAGATATTAATTCCACGATCCTGCGAGATAATAACCACGAAAATCGCAAATTTTTAAATGTTCCCTGCGGGATAATATTCCCACTTAGAAATACACGTGGAATTATTATCCTTCCGGAAAGATAATAATCCCACCTATAATTACAAGTGGGATTATTATCTCCCAGGTAGATTTATGCCTTTTGTAAATTTTTTAAAAGCCTAGAGCCTAGATGTTTAATGTATCAAAGATCTATTTACTCAAGAACTCATATTCACACAAAATTTTCAATTTTTTGTTTTTGCAAATAGTTTTGAAATGAAGTCTTTCAAAATTTAAAACGTGCGGAACTAATAAATCACGTTTTTATCATTTTTGTCATTGGCAAAATTTGAGTTCACGTGATGCAGGATAGAGGATGCAGGGTTTTTTTTTGCTTTTTTGGAAGCAATGGTTGTTTCTACCTTACCCAATAAAAAATAAAGCCTTATCCTTTTTAACGCAGCAAGAATCAAAATGCAATAATTAGAAGTCTCTAAGATGCCTCGTTATTGAGAATTTTGCTGATTTACTTGCCTTGATACTTGTTTGCTTACGTATCATGCGATTTTCCCATCAATGCTACAGCCAATTTAAATTCTGTTTTTGCCCATTTGCTTTTTTTCCTCAAAATGCGAAAAACTGTTTTTCAAGCTGAACAAAAATAAAGTGAATACGGTGTGAATATAAAATCTATTTTAGGATATAAAATTTTTATTATATTCACACCGTTTTCACGTGTGAATCTATTGGTTTTGTTCAGATTGAAAAATCAGTTTTTCGCATTTTTTGAGAAAACGAAGCAAAATTGGTTATAAAAAGTCAAGAAGAAAAGTTTGTGCCTGAAATTTTACATCATTTTCAAAAAACAGATTTCAAATTGGTTGTGGCATTGCTGAGAAAATCGCAAAATACGCTTTCTGTAAGCAAATAAGCAAACAAACAAGCAAGCAAGTTAATCAGCAAGAAATCTCAATAACGAGACATCGTAGAGACTTCTAGTTTTTTACATTTGATCCGTACTGCTCTATAGAAGAGCTGTATTGTTTTTGGGCAAGGTAGGAACAGCCGTTGCTTCAGAAAAAGCAAAAAACTTTCCTTTCTTACGAATTTTTTAAAACAAAAGTTGACTGTGATTTTTATAAAATTCAAGTTTGGATGAAAAAATTTTTTTAAAAACTTTTTAAGAATGTTCGTTAAGCTTTAGACCTTCAAAATTATGCTGAGCGAAGCTCAGCTCACTCGCTAGCTTTATATCTTCAAACTTATGCTGAGCGAAGCTCAGTTTCAGACAAGTCAGACTTATCAAGCTTCATACCTTCATACTTATGCTGGGAAAATCTTGGTCTTTCCATTAGACTTTTGATGGTACGGTGTGAATATAATCCGCATTGGGTTTATGCCCGATACACTAGTTCTGACAGGTTTTATTTTAAGCTTTTCTTTAAAAGAGCTCAAGTTTGAAAGAACTTACAAAATATTACGTTTGAATTTTGTACGAATCACTTTAATTATTTGCTGAACATTTTCTATAAATTTGTGGCCATCAGTTTGTTTAAGTAACCCTGTATACCTGAATAATCAGAATAATTTTGAAATTTTGAGATTATAAACAATCAAATCTCTTAAATGGTCTAAAACCATTGGAAACCTTCTTGGGGCTTGTATACACGGTTAAACAGCATCAGAACTGCCATCATTTTAAAATTCTAGTTTATTTATTAAAATAAGAATTTGAGCAACAGAATTTTAATTTTGCTTTCTTTTTATGTTTAAATCTTTACATTTTTCTTAGCAAAATGTGTAAAAAAATATTATGATTATATTTATAAATCTAATTTTGTTAAGGGCAATTTAAAATTATTTGAAAGACTTTTGGAAAATTTCAGGAAAGAATCGAAAATTTATTATTTTGCCCAATAGAGGTTAACATATCTACTCCTAAACATTTGAACAAAACTGTGATTTTTAAACAGTTGAATGAATGAAGCGAAACAAAATGGAATTACAGCTACATTTTCTTCAAACATTCGAGCGAATCTCGAACATAATTTTATATGGAATAACTAACATCTTTAGATCAGTTGAACTCACTTGAACCCACCTTGATTTTATTTTTTAAACAATTTGGAATAATATATTTTTAAAAAGCAAACATTCAACCAATATTTATGTTTTCTTCATATTTAAGTTTTTGGAATAATGAAATTGACAAATTAATAAGTGGGATTTTTTTTTTGGATGAAAATCCTATTAGATAATAAATCCACTTATTAATACAAGTGTAATTAATACTTGTAATTATAGGTGGGATTATTATCTTTCCGGAAGCTGCTTAGTAGATTATAACTTACCCCCCCCCCCCCAACCAAAAAAAAAACCAAGAGTAAAAATAAAGATTTGAAAAGAAAAGTTTGAATTTTAAAAAAATTATTACCATAAATCACAAGTTAAAGTAGCGTGAAGTGAACGTAATAAATATGTGAAGAACAAAAATGCAATGAATCAAATGAATTAAATTTACTTTATTTGTGGCATAAGAGGCATTATCATTCAAAAGATTAATCGATTTTCTTCTTGATTTTCATTTTCACTTCAAACATACACGTTCGACCCCAATGTTTAGCTCTCGTCTACATCTCTCCATTTTATCCTGCTTGTGGGGGATAAGATTATGTGATAGATCGAAGGAGCCAGTACAATAAAACTAAAAATTCCATTACCAACCTCATCCTCTGTTTTTTATCTCATACTTCTTTATGCTCATACAGCAGTAATAATAAAGTCCTTTACACTTCATTCTATTGTTCCCTCTTTTACATTAACACTAACTATGTGAAAATGGCATGGAAATTCCATTCATTCCATTCCAATATTGAAGTCACTCACTGTGGTATTTTTTCCACAAGAATTGTTATACGTAACTCAACTACTATTCTTATTCGCAGAATGAAAATGGATATGAAGAATCGGAATCCCTTTCGTCTCTATCAGCAACATCTTTCAATTATATTAATTCAATTGTTGGCAGTGGTGTTATAGGTAATACATAAGAATTTCATTATTATTTATATTGAATAGCTTAAATATTTTATTTCTTCGTTCTCGTGTCTTTAAAAGGAATACCGTACGCTCTCGTCCGAGCTGGATTTGGTCTAGGGTTAATTATATTGGCAGTCGTAGCGCTCGTTACGGATTATAGTCTGACATTGATGGTATGTAAAGGAATATAACTCTAGGAATCTTTAATTAAAAGTTTTTATCTTTCCTTCCTTCTTCGTCTTCCTTAACATCTCTTTTAATTTAATTTTCTCGACCCTTTTTATCAATTTTACAAATTTCTCTATCCACTTTAATTCTATCCTCATCATATTTTCATACAGATCAAAACGGCTCATTTATCTGGTCGATTCACTTATCCTGGTGTAACTGAGAGTGCTTTTGGAAAAGTTGGATATTATTTGTTATCGCTTTTACAATTTATGTATCCATTCTTGGCAATGATTTCATATAATGTCGTTGTCGGTGATACACTTTCTAAAGTCCTAATACGCTTTTATCCACATCTTGGATCATCAATGGGTTCTGTACGATTTTTTGTTGTCTTTCTTGTTACACTGGTACGTTTTATAAATGAAATTTCAATTTCCACCAATGTCTTTAACATTGAATATTGAACGATAAAAAAAAAAGAGTTAAGGATAAAATTGAATTACTTTATTTACAGTTTGTGACAACACCACTATGTTTATATAAGAACGTTTCTCGTCTTGCAAAGATCTCGTTTATAAGGTAAGATGAATCAGATGAATAGATTTTATCTCAGTAATTGCTTGAACGATTGAGAATCTCAATGGAATTGAGCATGTATATGCTATAAAGCACACAAAAAAATGAATTGATTTCCGCTTTTTTAATGTATTTTCTATTTTTCCACCTCATTTACTACATACGCAACAATCTAGTCTTGCCTCTGTAATACTCATCCTTTTGGCAATCGTCTACAAATTATTCAATGGTGATTATGCTAATGTGTAAGTATGAAAGCGGAAGGTATGTTTTTTTTTTTTTTTGGTAAACTTATTCTACTTTTATTTTTAAATACTTTCATTCCATTTCATCTTTTGATTCTTATTTGACCTTTTGAATACACTTTGTGTTCGCTATTTATAAATACAATAGACTTACATGAATAAAACTTTATCACAGAGTTGTATCAAGATTTAATCATGTACATATATGTGCTCAGCTTCTATTAAAAGGCAAATCATTTTTTTTTTGTCAGAATCCAGACAGTATACACATGATGTGCACATGATTAAGACGAGAAAGTTGAAATGGCCTTGTAGTTCTTTCTGAGTCAAATTGTGCCATAAGTTTCGTGTTTGTATCCATTTTGATGTGTTAAATGTGAGCAAGTGTGAAGAACATTCTCATTACTCCTTCTTATTCATAGAAGTTAATAATTTTTTACTTGAAAAAAGTATGAATTAATGCCATTCATTTCTTAATGAAATTTTCTCTCATATTTTATTTACTCACTAATTTGCTTACATTTTCTTGCTTCTTTTCGTCTAAACGGAAGACTCAAAAGTTTTTCCTATATAAATATTTTAACTAAATGAAAACTTTTGCAATGCAGCAAACTTTCCATCATACTTCCAGAGATAGAGAAGTTTATTAATAAATTCCTTACGCTGCTAGCACAAGAAAAAGGCAAAGGCAATAGTATAAAAAGAAAGGTCGTCTATTAATATTAATGCATTACCATATGACTTAAAAATTTGCAATCCTCAAATAAGTTTGTTGTAAAACTTTTTAAAAGGTAAATCAGTAATTCCTTTGGTCTTTGCTTTATTCCCAACAAAGTTTAAATATTTAAGGTTAATGTCGGTGAATCTTATTCAAACTAACATAATTAAGGTGGAAATTCATAAGGAGTCTGAAAAGATTTTCTTCTTAAAACTTTCAACTTTTAAAGTAAACTAGCTGTGGGCATCACTTTTTAGAATGATAACTTTTGACAATAGTTCATAAACATTTATAGCACCCAATGTGATGTTAAATCACAGGAGACTTTCATAACAACAAAAGAAGATTGAGCCATTTTGAAAATGCTTTATGCAGGGATGTTGGGTCATGCATTTGTGATGTCCATCATTTAAGGGTTTATGTATTTTTATGAACTTTTAAAGACGGTTAAGTGAGGTCTTGTTCAAATGTATTCTCAATACACGTCATTAAACGACATACCTAAGATACTTCCATATAAACATCAAAGACTATAAATTTAAACTATTAATTAATAAATGCGTTGCTCAAAAGATGTTATTAGTGCAATTTTCGGGGACATAACCAGACAAAATTAAAAATCAAATTAGTATGCAGAGCCATATCAATAATCAATCGCAACAACTGAAATTCAAAAAATGAACAAGATAATTAAGAAACAATTTTCCTTTCATGTTTATGGAACAGAAAGTTTATTTTTTCTTCCTTATTTCCTCAAGCATAAATGCACAATAAAATGAGCAAGAAAACGAAAAAGATTCATTAAAAATTGTATCTTCTCTAGATTGTTTCCTCTTCAGTATAGACTACATTTTGTATGTAGAACTTCATGCTTTTGTGGGTGGAAAAAGCATTCACAAAAATGAGTGTATGACGATAGAAAAGTTGTTAAATAACGATTAAATTAAACATCATGCTGTGTATAACACACTTTATGTTTCTTATTCCATTCATTTATTTTTATTTTTTTTTTACTCTCTTCTTTTTTTCTGTTTACAATAGTCCACGTCCAAAAGACGCTTATGCTTTTGCACAACCTGACATCTTACCAGCTACAGGAATTATTGCTTTTGCATTCTTTTGTCATCACAGCACGTTTTTAATTTATCAATCGATGAAAGAATCGTCATTGGAACGATGGGAAAAAGTAACTCATATTTCAATTAGGTAAGTCCTCTTATAAATTTATTGGGTTCAAATTTTCTTTACTATGTTGATGTCATAAACATAAATTCAATCATATCCGATTTTTTTACAATTTTTTAATTTTTTTCCACTATTTCACTTCCATTATTATTCTTCGCTTCAATACTTGGATATAAAAGTTTTGCATGGCTGGTTGCTACATTGTTTGGCATTGTTGGATATGCCACATTCACCACACTTTCACAAGGTACATTAAAAACATTTTTCCACTTTATTATACATGAGCATAATGTTTCCACTACTCGAGAAGATTAATTTGAATTGGAGTTCTAGATCAAAGCTTAAATTATGCTCTTCAGTCAACCACATATGAAAATATTCAGTAATTTAATATTTTTTTCATTCTTAATGCTTATGACAGGCGACCTTTTAGAGAATTATTGCTATGACGATATGAATTTGGCGAGAGTACTTTTTTGTGTTAGCATACTGCTAACGTTTCCGCTAGAATGTTTTGTTGCACGAGAGGTAAGTGGAAAAATAAAATATAAGGAGCAAGTAATGAAAGGCTCTCTTGCATAATTTAATGTCTTACAAATTTTTCTATTTTTAAATTCAACCTTCTTTTTTTTCATTTTCTTTTCCATTTCCATTTCCTATCAATTTATTCCATAAAATTCATTCATGCTTCTGTCCCGGATGAATAATGCAGATTATTCGAACGCAAATTAAACGATTCTACTCTCATGAACTTGTTGAGTACGACAAGAATGTTGATCCAAAGGAGGCGAAGGATGAAGACGGTGTAAGTTTAAATTTTAATCCACAGCCATTAATTAGCGAATGAACAAAAGAGAATTTGTTTAAAGATTTATGAGAAAATTTTATGTTTTATGGAACAAGAATGTTGGGATATTCATGTTCTGTCTACATAATCATGAGCATAAATTTCTGGGAATTAAAAACATTGTTGCATTTTCAACCACAATCCTTAGTATTTACAATTTTTTTGTATCACAAAGTGGTAATTAATTTGTCTTAAAGACGCCAGACTTTTTTTAAGCAGAGATTTTAAGTACGAAACCTATCTAAACGGGTTAAATTATTCAGCTAAAATAGGCTCAACTGAGATGAAATTTAGCTTGAATAAACAATTTATTTTGAAAAAATAATTGTTTATGCAACAACAAGAACGTTATGGCTCGTTAGCTGTAAAAATACTTTTCTAAAATTAAGAACTTGGCTTGAAGGAATGAAAATGAAAAATTCAATTGTTTTACGAAAAAAAACATGAGCTTTATTACTTAACACGTCCCTTAAGGCAAATGGAAGATTTATATACAGCGCTTCAAAATCACAAACGTTAGATAGCTTGTTCATCTTATTTAAGGATGATGAAGGTATCATTCATTTCATTTTGTAAGCTTAAATAATACTCTAAAGAATATTTAATAGAACTCGATTGAGAAAGTTGATAAGATTGAATTGTTTCCTTTTCCGGTCTATTTTTTAAAGAATCGCTAGCTCTATTACGTGAATGTGAATAGAAGCATCGCAGTGGTTTATCCAATACAAAAGTTTCTTAATGAAAGCATTTCTCTCTTGTAAAATTGCGCTAATAACCTTGCTGTAAGCTTTTCATTAAATTTATAGCAAGCACAAAAAGTTTACAGTGAAAATAAGCTTTTACACCTTTAAGTGAGAGTTTGTTTAATCCTTTATGTTCTTTTTTTCTTCTCTGCTTTTTTTCAGAATAATTTAATAATCACATTATTTGTTGTCTTTGCTGCATTCTTCGTATCACCGACAAGTGAATGTCTCGGACCTATACTGGAAATAAATGTAAGAAAACTTTCCTATTTCTATTAAAACTTTAAATGAAAAAAAATGCAGCACCTGAAGTGCTGTTGAAGCTATAGATTATTCAATGACGTGCATTTCTGTTTGGGATTTTGAAAACTCATGATGCTACTTTTTCATTTATTTTCTAGGGACTCTTAACAGCAATTCCTTTATCTTACATTTTGCCTGGATTAATTTTCATAAAACTCGACCCGCATTCGTTATTTAGTCGTGAAAAGCTTCCAGCAATTTTCCTCGTTGTGTTCGGTTTGGCTGTTTCCATTTCAGGTAAGTTCTTCTTGTTTGTACCAGTTTGAGCATTCAAAAGCATTCACTGATGTTATTGTTTGAAATATTACTTATTGCCTTTATTTTTCATCCGCAATTTTTTCTCACTTCTATTTTATCTAGGCGTTATTGTTCTACTGCCAAGCTTATTTGATCCCCATCTTGATTGTGAGTTTTTTTTTTTCATTTCTTTTATTCCGATTTTTACTCAATTTTATGAGAATATTTATGGTTTGAAAGCTCGTACCATAAAGCAATTTTTCATTGCTACAGAGCCTATAAGCTCATTCAATGTATGTTTAAATTGTATTAAAATAGGTTCAACGGGAATTATATTGGGTTACTGTAAGGATGACGATGTGCTGGTAAATGCAACCGCAAGTCCTACGGCACGACTTCCATTACCAAAATTTAAAACTTAAACCCACAAAAACACTCTTTTGGTGTCACGAAAAAAGGACGAAGGTAGTAAAGATAAGGACTTATTGCTACATTATCAAATGAATATTACCGTCTACAGAAACATCCACATTTATCGTTTTACAAATGCACACTTTATTTAAAATAAAAACAATTACAAAGGAACTGCTCCTTGAAACTTTTAAAATGGCCAAGTAACTTAGTGGAACAATCTGAAAAATCAAAGTCATATCATTTTTCCGTAGTGGAAATGGACGATGAAAAAAATATTGATAAATTTTGTAAACAAATGACTAAAAAACTTTTATGAACATTTATTAGAATTGAAGGATATAAAAGCTTGAAGTTGATATGAGAAAATCTATTTACATATATGTAGAGGAAACAGAAGTTATATTTGCACCAGAAAATAATCATATTTAAGATAGCAGAATCAAAATGAATTTCCCTTCTGACAATCTCAATTTTTTATTCTAATCAGATGATATGAAATCATGGGATGGAGTTCATTGATATAAGTTTCTTAATGACTTCCGAGAATTCAATTTATAAATATTTTAGAAGATTTTTTCATACATTTTTGATAAGTTCCAAAGTTTTTTAAAGATGCAACAAAATCTAGAAAAGAAGGATACGTATCCTGACAGAAAAAGAGAATCGGTGATTAGTCAGAATAGACACATAAAGGAAATTATAATATTGATTAAATTATTCATGCAAATGACTAGATAGTTACACGAACAAAAGGTCAGTTGACATCATCCTTTCAAGTCCCAAAAATAGCATTATCAAACTTTTCAAAGAATTCCATCCCCATTGGTGAAATTTCTGTTCATGCACTTGAAATATTAAAAAAGCAAATCCACAAAAGAAGGATGTGGATAATATGAAGAAAAAAAAATGTATTTTTTAAAATGATATTATCAAGCAACTGACACAAAAATGCATGATGATGATACTATTTGAAAAATATATCCACTCAACAGACAGAAGCAGTTCCATTTTGAACTCGCATACTGATATAAAACAAAACTTTGTTCCTAATTAATTAGCCACGCGTGTATAGCCACACAATTTAAATTTTCCATTTTCATTTCACATCTTGAAAATTAGCAATTGTCTCATCTTAATGAATCACTTCTTTATGATTTTTATGAGCGCTTGAAAATTAATTGCAAATTACCATTTTAATTAAGACTCTAGAAAAATTTTAGGAAATAAAATTTTTTCACGTAGAAACAGGATGTGAAAGCTTTCATTCATGTCTTAAACAGCTTTAATACATTTGTATGCATGAAGAAGTGAGAAAATTTATTATAAATTCATGCTTAAGTTTTTTCTTTAAGTGAAGACTGATTTCCGTAGAAAATTAATGGATGAATAAAAAGAGTTTGGTTCATGTTTTAGTTATAATAAGCTATGATGGTGGCTTACTAGCAATTTTTTTGCGGTCAGGAAAAAAGAGGAGAAACATGAACAAGCAAAAGATTAAAATATGTAGTATCGAAAGATGTAGAATTGAATTATAAAATTAAGGAAGTTATTTTTCGATGCACTATTTACGTAGCACTATAAATGATTAGACCAAAAAAACATTTTAGAGATTACGAAATTGAATATTTTGTGGAAGATAGAAAGAGAGAAATAATGAGAAAGAGAGATATATTTACAAAATATATTAGCATGCATAAAATAGACTAATAAAGTTTTAATGTAGATAATTGATGTGTAAAATCATTAGACCTATTCATAATATTAAAGACATGAAAAATTAAATCAAATGAACAAGAAATAAGAAATAATAAAAATAAAACTAAAATCATCAATAATTTTCTTTTACTAAAAGTTTTTATTATAAAACATTTTTCATTTCTTTATAATTTGTATCAGTATCTTTAGTAGCTAGTTTTGCCAATCATACTATGATTTTACTATTCTGTTACTCTTAGCTGTTATTTAAAACGAAATCCTTTATTTATGGAAGAAAATCTGAATTTGAGTTTTCATCTTTAGTCTAAAATCGATTCAGCATTAATGACTTTAGCCTTGATACTTTACGCAAAAGCATAAAATATTTATGACCTATTAAATCTTATTATTTGATAAATTTAAATCATTTTTGAATAACTTTTAACAAATCACTGATTTCAGCAGGAATTGATTCATTTTCATCTTTAGATCAACAAATAATAATTGCAAATCCTAGCCTGACTAAATTCGATACTGTTCACTACTTCTTAGGATCATTTCTACATAGCATTTCCAAATTTTGCAACAGAATTTTCATGACTTTAAATAAATTTGAATGCTATTTTTGATTTTCTACCTGATTACATCCATTGCAAATTATTCTAATTAATAAGGTTTAATTGTTTCAATTCATATGATTCCTTATAAAAATAACATTTATTAATTCAATAATCACAACAGTCCACAAATTGGGATGACAGTTAATTAAATATACTAACCGAATTTTAGTACAAATTAAGTATTACATTTTAAATTTCCATTGAATATGGAATACACCGTTCAATATTTTCTCAACACTTTTCCAACATTAGCTCCAGCATATATGGAACCTTTCATATTGAAAACTGCTGGAAAATATTTTTTCATTAATTAACACTTAAGATAAGAAACTACTTAATTACAACTAATTAAACTACATATAAAAAAATCATAATTTGTGTTCCGTGGTTTATCGGGTTGTTTGTGTGTTTGTTTATGGGAAAAAAATATGAAAATGTGCGAGGGGATAAAATCAATAAATAATTAAAGAAGGCATTTAAATAATTGTTCAGAGTATAGAGAGTGTGAGGCAATTAAGCGCGCATTTTATCCATTTAATGTCTACAAAATGATATCATAATGTATGTTATTGCTTTAATATACTCTATAATTGCCATAAAGTGTTCTCAACGTTCTCGATGTTGTGGCTGGATTTTCTGTTAAAACTGTTGTGGTTGCTGGTGGTATTTCCATAATAATTTTTGGTTTCTCATCCATTGTCATTGCATCGAGAAGATCTTTGAGTGAAGGCATTTTCTTTTGTCCCATAGTCATGTCATGCATATCATCATCAGGTGGTAAAGTATATGGCACTTGTCCATTTATTGGTGAGCCATCAGGCATCATCCAACTAATTACACCACCCATAAGGTAGTTTGAATTTTGTTCCAAATATTCATTGTTATCTAATTCATTTGGTTTATTTATATAGGCATAATTATTGTGACTTGCAGCACCTTGATGTAAATAGTTACTTTGCACATCTTCTTCATAATGATCATGACTTGCTAAGTTATTCAAGTTATCTGTAGTCACTTCCTCGTATGAATCTTTAAAAATGGGATTTTGTTGATTATATTGTTCCTTTTGTAAATGAGCTTGTCTCTGGTCCTCATGTCGTTGACTTTTCATTTCTTCATGATTCTCCATAATTGAGTCCCAGACTGCAAGTAGCAAGATAAAGTAAAAATTACAAAATACTGTCATTATTTAAATGATTTTATTTATTATGTAAATTAATCAAAACAACAGCCTCCCAAACAACCGCAAAAGTAGCCACAGACAGTTATAATAATAAAGTAAAATATGAAGGGTACCAGTAAGTACGATGCATGAGAAATGATGAGAATCATTTTACTTCAACCGAAGGTCATTTCCTTCATCAACTTATGAACTTTCTTCCGTGTTGTTTTCATTCAATAAGCATCTATTAAAATTTTCAGAATTTTTTTACAATAACAATAAGAACAAATTACTCATGAAATATTCATATTCAAATGCTTACAGACGCTTCAATAAAAAATTGATTTTTGTTTAGATTTCAAGATTAAATTAATTATTGCGTGCCTTCACACATTTTTGCATCATATACATTGAGTATGGACGATAATCAATAAAAATAAGTACAATAAAAGCTGAACGAAAGAGAGGTGTGTTGGAGATATAAATGAGCACTTGGGAGTCTATAATGCTAAGTACGAGACTTGCAATGCTTATTGTGTTTATTTACTACACGTCTCATGGACATAAATACACTTTACTGTAAATGTACAAGCAGACGATTCATTGCATATGAAAATATTTGCATAAAGCTGTGTCTAATATCCCCAAGTGAATAATTAAAATTTTTATGTAAACAAATTGCACGAACAGAATTGAAAAGGATTCACTGACAACATTAAATCTGGATGCTAAGTTATCTTGCCCTTAGCCTTTGATATACAGAGATACATTTTGTGAATGCTGCAGGTATGATAAAAAGGTCAATTGCGTACTTTTTATTATGAAGAAGGTACTTCTTATGCTAATTCTGCTCGATAAAATTTTACGTTCCGCGAAAAAATGTAAAAGGGCTTTCCCAAGCTTTAATCCCATTAAACTTTTAGTATGCAATTCTTTTTCTAAAAAACAAAGCTTTAATACTGTCTGTTTTTGTAACGCCTTTATTGTACACATGTGTTTCTTACGAAGCAGTATTTTGGTAGAATTTTAATTCCTATTGCTTAACGCACTTTAAGGCTGTGTACACATTATTTCTCATTACATTGCTATTATCATCTTCGCTATTATATTAATGAATATTCTTAACATGTGATACTTACGTATATTATTGGCATCTCTTTGATAAGGGTCCATTTTGTCCAAATGTGATTCCTCCATATCATTCAGCTTGTCCATGCCATAAACCATCATGTTACGTTTACATTGCGAGGCATTTGCATTGTGTTTATCCTTACAATAGTCTTTAACTTGCTTTGCAAACATCGAATATAAATGAGAGAGCTGCAAACAGACAAGAAAAATATTTTTTATAGGAATAAATCTCTTCTTTCTTTGCCATTCATATTTTTGTGATAGCATAAGTATAAGCTCGAGTAAAGAATATTTTTTGAGTATGCAAACAGAATGAAGAATCTGCTTTCCAATCAGTTTTAGCCTACTTTCTAAAAAAAAAACGCATGCTTTATGGATATGACCCGATTTTGAAAGCAATAATCATGATCCATAAATTATTTTTAGAATAATAGTAATCCAGCACAAACAATTAATATAAAATGCAAATAACAATCATCATATCCACAAAAACAATGACAATGCAAATTGTTTTCTGCTGATTTTATGTCTCATCAAAATTGAATTTTTCAATGCCGTATTTTTGGGGGATTTTATTTCATCGTTCATCGTCATACATAATTTTATGTATAGTCTAGTGATTTTTAAGCATCTTTTTTGATTGTTCTTGTATATGACGAAAGGCAAAAGGAGGAAAAAGTTTGTTCAGCATAGTATTTTAGTTTTATCACCATTCATGCATCTTATTCCGTGTTATTTTAAGTTTTTTTGGGAGAATCCACTTGACCCAAAAACAGCATTTTTAAAAGAAAGACGATAAACTTTTTAAATGAGCTTTTCTCTCCCTCGAAGATTACGATTTAAAATTTTTTAAAGAAAAATAAGTTTAGCTAGAAAGACAAATTAGAGAAATAAATGATAAGATTATGTTGAGATGCAGAAGAGAAAGCAAAAAATATTATAATCGAGTTTAATTTATTTACAGCTTCATTTGCTTACACTTATGAAGAAATAGTTTTCGACGGAGTAGATGTAACTTAAAACTTTATGAGTTTAATCAACTTGAAGATATACACTTTTAGTTGTAGAGCTGCCACCTAAGAGTTACCTGGAGCTTTATCTAGCCTAATGACTTATTTATTTGATGTATAGCCATCATAGAAATCAATTGTTTCTTATCTACTGTAATCTAAAATTATATCCAGTAAACCATGCCCTGATATGAAATATTATTATTACGATTTTTAACCATAAATGCAAAGTGACATCATGTTTATTGGCCAATTACAATTTTTTTATTTATCAGCACCTCACGTGGGAGTGCCATTCAATAAAATCTCATGACGATACTCTTAAGAATTTACTTCTTCTTCTCATATTGATATTTCAATTGCACAATTCATTCACAGTAGTTAATCATGAGTAATTTTGGAAGCATTTCACACTAAAATTTTATATTGACAGAAATGAGGTTTGAATTTACATATCTGAGGCAGAAAGTAAACAAACTCAAAATTTGCATTTCAAAATAAAAATAGCATGGCTTTATTTCGTTTAAAATATGTTGAAGAAGCGCATATATATAGTTTATATAATAACAATCCGAATTGTTTACGATATTGACACATTAATATTTCACCCACTTTTCCTTGTCTCTTGTTTTTATTGTTTGTTTATTAAATCTAAGCAGATTCTCTCTTTTATAAGCCATTGCCATCAAGATTTAAAATCTTGTTTGCCATAAATCGACTATTTGGTGGCGACAGCAATCAAAAAACAAGAAAAAATAAATAAATAAAATCTAAACTTAGATGATTAAGAAGAATTCCGGGAATGTCAAAAAAGAATACACAAAATGATACAGCAACAATCACAATACAAATGACAACAGATATAGAAGATTGGGAAGAGAGAAAAATATTGACGCGACGTGTTCGAGTAAAAAATTAAGAAGAAGGCAAAAATGTTGACGTGAAGAAAGAAAAAAAAAACAAGAATTCATGAAGAATTTTAATCCATTCCAATGCGATTTTGGTGGTGCCGCGCTTTGCCGATTGTGTCCGGGTTCAAACGACTGTCGCGTCTTCTTCTTCTTCCTTTTCATGATTTTTTTTTTGTTATTAAAAATTTATTGAAAATGGAAATGGAATTAAAAACACATCTTAAAGATTCAGACCAAAAATGTGCGACATCAATTGCCGATTCATCACATATAAATAGGATTCGTGCTGTGAAGCAATAATTTTGGTGGCGCCCACACTCTTAACACAATAATATATGAATGACGAAGACTCGTTGAATAATTTGCATGAATTTATAAGCGCAATAATATTCGAGAATATTTTTTAGATGAGAGGCAATGGAATGCGATATATTGATTTAGCAGTCTTCGATCTTAATATTTTTATCTATCTGGGTAATACCGGCAAGGTAATAGATTACTCTTGGGAAATTTCTACTCAAATCATACGGGAAATCCAAGAAATGAAGCATCAACGCATCAGCACATTTTTTACGCGAGAAATACGCAAAGAATAATGAAGTAAAAAATGCTACGCGACTAAGAAGATTGTAAGCTATGCATAAGGTTATTGTGTGCTTGCCGATGGCCTTGTCAAGGTGTTTTGTATTTTCTTTCTTCTACGTTAAAAAAACTTTGTTGCCCGGAAAAAATCTCGTCGCTTCAGCACAAAAAAAATATTTGTTGTTTTAAAAAAATCTAACATGGAAAATTACGAAACTTTTAAGTGCAGCATTGAAGTGAAATGTTATTTTGAGGAATTTTATAGATTTTCGGTAATGAGGCAGTAGTTTTTGGCTCAAACTTTAACCAGATCCCGGCTTTGTTTCCATTAAATTTTGGTGCTTGCGGTATTTATATGTAAGGAAATAGTTTAAATAATTTTTGTGAAATTAATCAAACTTAACGTATTTATCAGCTCCCACTGACAAATTCTTAAAATTTATTGCAAGACCTCTTTTGATCCTTAACGAAAACAAGCACGAATTTAAATATTTTTATTTTTATAGAAATAAAATGTGACAATAAAGTAGCCAATGATCAGCTTTAACCAGTTGCTGTTAAAATCATTTGATCATGTTTTTAAAAATACGATGAAATAGCGTATCGTTAAAATTACTATACAGTCGCAATTAAATGCACTATCATCAACTATTTACATTTCCTGCACAATCTTTTTCATATATTTCGCACTGATTCAAAATGAATTTTTAATAAATTGCAGACAATTTTGCAGACATTACTGTGCAACTCATAAATATTCTGACTCAACTTTAACTTTTCAATGTTAATGAAATCAACTTACTTTTTCATCTCTTGATAGAAACTCAAACATTGGAATTGATGATGTTAAACACTGTTCGACACAAAGTGCCGTTATTACTAATAATATCACAAATTTTCCTTCCATTATTTTTTTTAATTGACAGATTGTTCTCTTTTATTATTATTTCTCAGTCACTGTATGTAGGTATTAAAACTTTCTCAAAAAAAAAGAATCAACTTCCTCTTGTTTTCACCAAACAAAAATAAAATGAAAAAAAAAATCGAAAACTTAACTCAGCGTTTCGAACTGTTTGATATCCGAGAGTAAAATGAGTAAAATATATTTTACTGTGCAAGCTTTATAATATTTAAAAATACACAACATGTGTTCATGAGTCTCACAACTCTTCATATGAGAATGTGAGTATGCTTCTCATCACTGATCAATAAACGTTGGCGCTTTTTAACACCTTTTGCTATTTGTGCTGCGCTACTTTCTGAAAACAAGTTAAGTTTTGGTTTATTTCATCAATCATCTACTTTTTGTTACTACACCCCATCACCCCTACCACCCGACACATTTCTAAATTAACAAATGTAATAAGGGGCCGTTCACTTATTACGTTCGCATATTTTAGGGGGGAGGGGGGTTTGAAAAATTGTAACAAAATGTAACATAGGGGGGGGGGGGGGTGTCAAGAAGTATGTAACGTTTTAACTGTCGTCTGTCTTTCAAAAAAAAGTTCACGAAAAAAATTTGTTTACAAATTCACACCAAAAAGAGGGGGGTGTGAGTTGTAACATATTGTAACAAGGGGGGGAGGGGGAAGGGGGGGTGAAAAAAGTCGTTTTTTTGCGTAACGTAATAAGTGAACGGCCCCTAAGTGAATCTAGGGTTTTCTTCCATATGCTCAGTATTGCACGTTACTATAGGACAAAACACATATAAACATTTTCATAATGCTCAAAAATCAGGTAATTATTTATTTCACTAAATCTTCTCACGATTCAACTACATTCGCATTTCGGCACACGTCAAATCGGACATTGAGTGTAGAGAACAACAGAATTAAGAGTGGATGGGTTATGACGTTATATGTTTTTTAGATCAGATATCGTTGCCGCATATAATTAGCAATAAATGGTAAAAATGATTCAATGAGATTCAGCCCACTGAAAATAAGTTATCAAGAATTAAGGAACGGATATGGATGTACGTAAAGAATTGAGATCTCATGAGATTAACGTATATAAAAGTCGAAATACATTCATAGCAAAAATAAATGAAAACAGCAACAGACAACTGACATTCTCTTAATAAAGTTATTTATGAGTAAGAATCATCCACAACAATACACTGACTTAATCACATTTTTAATTATTAAAATTCATTCTTTTATAGTCTTTCTCACTTATTTTTTTGTGTAAATGATTTTTATTTATAAGTTCCATAGAAAATGTCATAAATTATCAGGATGACATAATATGATTTTAACCAACGAGTATACTCAAATAAAAATTAAATCTTGATGAAATGCAGCAGTTAATATGTTACATAATTGTGACGTGATGAAAATTTTTACAGTGTTTTTAATTTTCTTGCAAAAAAGCAATAAATCTGTGTATTGCATTTAGATGACTTTATTTGGTTCCCATATATGAGTCATCGTAATTTTGTATGGCCTTGAAGAGTCCGGGATATATTGATGATGCAATTCGATTTACACCTTCACTTGTACGATTAAATTCATTTATTAGACCCAAAAGAGAATTAAATGCTGTATATTGAGCATTGAAGAAATTGTTTGCAGCACCTGACAATTTTTCTCCATTCATTGTTGCTAGAAGGTTTAATGAATCTGGTAAGTTTTGGATGTTTTTCTCATTAGCTGATACTAATCTTGTCCATGATGATGATACGACAGTAAATGTTATTAGAATTTTCAAAATTTCCATTTGACCTAGTTTGAGTAAAGTTTCCGACACAACTGACAAGCTTTCAATGCGACCCATTTTATTTCGCCAGTACTGACGACACATTTATTTTTTAAATTCATGATAAAATTTGCATTCTTTAACACTTGTTTATTAAAATGAAAGAGAGTATGTATATGCATAAATGAACGTTTGTCTAAGTAAATTTAACGTCGCTATAGACAACAAAATGCACAGTATTTACGCATATTCAATGAATATTATTACTATTAATGCAATGAAACAAAAGCTTCATTTTCAAACTTTCGAATGAAGAATTTTAATTAAAAATTCTGATTGATTGAATGCTGAAAGCTAGCATCATGAGCGCTAGAAATGTGAAATTGAAATTTATTTCCTTCACATAACTAGAATATTCTTCTGAATCTAGAATCTCCATTTATGCATTGAAAACTGAATTAAAAATTTCAATTAACATATTTGTAAGCTATTTGACAAGGTTAAATTATCATCATTCGTGCTAATGTGTTGTGGCATCGTTCTTTTATGACGTTTAATTTTTAGAAATTTAAAAAAATCAGTCACGAAAGTTTGGTTCCTTTCTTGAAAGTAAAAGTACAGTTCTATTTAAAAATCGATATGATGATGAGAAGACGTCAATTATAAACGACCTTTGTGATCAATTATGCATGCGAACTTTTATCAATTGATCGATAAAAAAAGTTTGTAGAAAATCCCTCAAATTAATGAAATAATTAAAGTTTTTATGATGAAATCATCGAATATTGTTAATAAACTTTTTGTTCATCGTTCATCGAAATAAATAATATTTCATGGGAATTTACATGTATTTCTGATTTTGATTGATAGAGGACATTCCGTTAACAACAATTTGCTCGTTTAAAAAATCCAGTAGTCGCACATCAAACAGACGACTCATCCTACCATAATAATTCAATTTATTTATTTTATTGAGTCTTGATTTATGATGCGGCTTATTAGCTAAAAATGTTGATGGTGCTTTTGTTTTTTAATCCATAGAGTTGACGGTGTATCCTGTTTATTGACATTTTGATTGGAATTTCAGATCGTGAGATTTTATGGGTATTCTGGAATAGTTTTATAGCTCATAGCAAAACTGAAAGTATTTTGATAAGTTTAACCTTAAAACCACTCTAAAATGAGAAAATACTTTAAATTTAAAATTATTTAGGCTAGTGAATTTATAATTTACAAAATGTGTGGCTGTTGAAATTGAAACCTAGATAGGTGCTAGATAGATTGAGACCACGCTTACGGATATTGATCCGAATATAGAAAATAGATTGAATTTAAAATAGAGCTTTTAGAACAGGAAATGGAACTGCGATCGTAGATCTGTTGTATCATCCGTTTAGATCCTAATAAACTTATAACCTCCAAATCTCGATACTTAAATATCCGTCTTTTACTAAGATTCTTTGATGGCAAACTGTTCATGAACCACCAAGTCATGTTTAATGTCTAATGAATTAGATTGAACCCAAAACAACTCTGTCAAAGTATTCATTATGAACCAGAAAAAAAAACAAGAAGCTATTGTCACATCATTCCTCATTATTACCTACTAGTGCGTTTAAGAACCTGTAACGCATTTCGTTTTTTGTATCAAATTTTTTTGCATCCGAAATTCTTTAATTCTAAGAGTATATTTTTAACATTTAGAATCTTCCAACTCTTAATATCAATATCTCATAATAGAGGCGTAGCCAATGGAATTTTTAAAATTTAATATTAAAATCTTTCCTGGTGACAAAATAATTTAAAAGTGCATCACGCAATCAGCATATAAGAAAACTATTGTAGAGATTATATTGTTCTCTCAGCTTAAAATAAAAGTTATAATTAGGTGGTGCTTTATATGAACTCCAAAGAAAAAAGAACAAAAAATGAATTTAAAAATCCGGCTTGAACTAGAAATCATCTTCAACTTTAGTCTCTTAACGTGAAGGATTTCCGGAACTATATAAGAAATTAAAGTACAAAACAAGTTTTTATAATTGAAAAACACAGTCAGTTTTTACGTCATCTGAGAATTTTAGAAACTCCTTGACCCGAAAAAGACTTTTGGGTGAGCATTTTTAGCTAACGAGCACATTTTGACGCTGTATTTCCTCTTTAAAATCCTCTTGACAAATCGAGTCTTCCTATTTTTTAACACATCACTTGATCTTTTTTATAAATCAAAATAATACTTTTTTTTTGTTCAATAACAAGTTCGATTTTTACGTATGGATGTTTACGAAAATAAAATTTTTTGGCTATGAATCATCATCCATGGAATATTGGAATGAAAATATCTTCTAAAAATGTGCAAATTACCGACATTTAGTATACTTTATTCTACCTAATTACTCAATTAAGTCATCGTCGAATATGATCATAAACAACATTATCTGAGAATGAGCTAAAGAATTCGGTATGAATTGAAGTGTCAAGGAACTCTATAGAGTAAATAATGACATCACACTGAGTCATCAGATGATTTAAATTATGAGATGAGAAGTATTTATGTAGATCTTTTCACGTGATGTACGGCGCGTATGTAATTGTATTATTTAGTCTATTAAGCTTTGTAGCACAGCGGGTATATGAAGCATAAATCATCTTCGATATTTAAACCTTGGAATAATTGAGAGATTAAAAGATTTGCATTAATTCACAATTTATAGACAAAATTTCCGTCAAAAAAGTCAATTTAAAAATTAAGCATACACTTCTAAAATCACTTTACATCACCTATTAGCATGCTTATAAAGACGGTGTCTATAATTTGTCCTTCATGTGTGCTCTGTCAATTGATTAGAAATTTATTAGGAAGTAAACAAAAATCATGTGACAAATCATCCAAAATCTTTAAATAAGGAGCTTGATTAAATCAATTAAAACGGATCTCTGACAACATCAGCCCACATCCTACATCCCATGTTGTAAATATTTTTTTTTTTGATTTTTTGGACTTAATAGTTTTTGTATCATTAGATTGGCGCCATCAAGACCTAAAGGTCGGTTAGAAATTTCTCTAAAACATCAAAAATTGTAATTCATGAACTGTGAATAATTGTTCTTCTATTTCTCTCGCGATGTTTAACGACAGAATGTCAAACAAAAAATGAACAATAAATTTCATTAGTTTAAAAATTACCGACTTGAAAAAATAAATTTGTCGTTTAAATTTTGCACATAATTTAATAAAGTTCTTATTTTTTTTTCAATTTTGATCTTTATAGCTTTTTTTTTTGTAAAATATTAGGAGTTTAAAAGTAAAGGAAGAGCTAGCAAACTTTCTTTAAACAATCTATACATCCCGTTAAAATTGCTTTAAGCATAAGGATATGTCCTTGAGATAGAGTCCTCATCTCTCCTTTTTTTTAACACTCTTTCATTGCTCAACTAAAATCCGATAGAGCAACGACCCAACGCCTCCAAAAAAAAATTAATAAACAAAAAATTAAATGTTCGCTTTTGTAAGCATTGTAGATACGTCCCTGATTAAAGATGTTGCTATTTGCACAGAATGAAAAAAATTATTCAATTGCTTTTATAGTAATTTGATTTATGTTACATGTTTAATTGCTATTCTTTGAAGCTATTAGCATAAGTTGCAAGGTGATGATTACAATACAATTTTAAAGGCGCATTTCTCAAAAATATTTCGAGTGGTTAGTAACCTTTTGTGTTCATTCAAGTGATTTCCTGCAAAGTCTGTCGAACCGTAAATAATATAGTTTAAAAATTCATTCAGAAAATTGTCTTCAATGAGATGCCTCAAAGTAGTAGATGCCTGATTTGATAGAAAAGCATGAAAGAAAAATGCAACTCAAGTAACTTTATGTGCAATTACTTATTTTATTTAAATTTAAATGTCTCTAAAAGTATGATGTTATTGCTGTGACTCTCGTTTACCTTCGTAAATGTAAACTTGAAAATATCTCCATGACCTATCGTTCATTTACCAGTGCATCTTCCCAATATGAAAAGAGTCATTATTAAAATGCATTTACGAAATGAATTTAAAGGAGGTAGGTATTATTGATATTAGCATTGTAAATATTTTTAAGGATGACTGGAAAATATCAAAAACATCGACTCGAATATTTGCGTCGTAAAAATTCAAGAACTGATTTTGTTTTTACGATTCCAATATAATATCTTCCCTCTTGTCTTCATATTTACTCAAAAGAAATAAAAATATTAAGATCAACAACAAAATGTCATGAATTAAATTGATTGAGACGAAATAAAAAGAATTTGCTCGAAAATAAAAAGCCAAAGAATTGGAAAATACAAGATCACACTAGAATTTCTTTTGAATCTAGAGTAATGAATTGTCGTTTCTATTTTAAATGATCAAACACGATAAAGATTAAATGTGACAAGAAATAAAAATAACATCCAAAGGCAACATCAAATGAGGATAATAATTTACAGTGACGAGCCAAAAAAAATAGATAGAATGACATTATTCTTCTAGTTTCCACCAAGAATTCCCTCTATGGTCATATTTTTTTGTTTCTTTAAAGAAAAGATTAATTTCGACCGCCGTGCTTCTTGTTGTAATCATTTCGATTCTAGCATAACATTGAAATGTGATAATTCTGCGAAATATTTGTCGAAAAAATGAACTGGCGCCGTCGAGAACGGAGACAGAGTCATCAACACAATAACAATAAACACTTTTAACATTTTTGAATATTCTTGCTCAATTTTAAAATGTGATCAATTCATAAATCATTAATCGGCATAAAGGCACATTCTGAAGACGTCGTCGTTCTTTTTTGGGTATTTTTTTCTTAATTTTCGTCTCTTCTTTTTTTACTGCCTTACTATATGGAGATACTATAAAAATAAATTTGCGAATGCTATTTTTAGCTAAAAGCGTGTTTTTCTCTGGAATCGTTATTTCTCACTCCCATCTAAGGCATAATAATTTATTATTATACATTTTTCTCTCTCATTCTTGGTATCACAATTCTTATAAGCTATACAGGAGATGAATTGAGTACAAAAATAAAATAAAATAAAACAAGATGAAAACACGGATGTGTTGCTAAAACGAGAATCAGAAGCTTCTTTTGCTAAATCTTTTTATTAGCGTCTCTCCTCAGACTTAAATGATGAAAAGTCTTGCTTTATCAAAACAATCTTGTGAAACAATAAATTCAATGAGAGCGTACATATGTTTTGTAATTTAGGTAGCTTTTGGTTTTTTTGCGCGCATTGCACATTGTTGTTTTGAAAATATCTCCTTTTGAAACATATAGAATAATTAATTAAAAATGTAAATTTATAAATCTTTAAATCTTATTACTTGAATATTTAAACTTTACTTATTAAAATACCTGCATTCGGACATTATCTAAAAATATTTTGATTTAGGTATTTATTGAATAAGTTTAACATGTGCATTAACATTTTATTATTCTTTTACGTAATTTAGTCTGATAAAATCTAATTTAATCATTTTCATTGAAGAACTTTGTTGTTCATTTCCATTTTGCATATTTAAAATGATATAATTTCTTTTAAAAATATAAAAGCATTGATTTTGTACTTAAAAACGAATTCTACTATTGTGTGCTGATTCGTTTTTTTGTTTCCGATTATTAAGCTTAAAATTATACGAGAGTTTAAAAACTATAACGGTCATAAAATTTTCAAACTATTAACCATCAAAAAAAAATTATACGTTTTAGCCGATAATTTTATATGTGTATCCCTAAAACGTAAGTTTAGATTGGCATTTTTATTAAAGAAATCAACTAAAGATACACGAAATATCGAGTATTTTACATTAAAATTTAATAAATAAGGTGTCAATCATGTCAGTGGAATCGCCCGTAGTGAAAGAAGAAGAGACTAGAACAAAGCAGACACGAAAAAACAAAAACAGTATTTTGTCGCTTACACCAGAACAATTTTACAAAGATTTACTTAAATTTCATGAATCTAGAGGGTAAATATCACAAAAACTTCTTATTAAGCTAGTGAACAAGCTAATAACATAAGATTTTGAGTCAAATGTAACTTAATTATAATTTCTTATTTAAGTGCATCCATTAGCTGAATATTGTGCGATGCAACAACAAATTCTATGTTGTTTACTGGAAGTTAATACGAAAAAGAACTTCTTGCATTAAAATAATGATATTTCAAGTTAAAGTAATTTTGTTATTGTAATTTTAGAACGCCGATCGTCAAATTTCCTCGATTAGCCGGAAATGGGAAGTTTTCTGAAATTGATCTGTACAAGCTTTATGATCTTGTCATCAGTAGAGGAGGATGGATGAAAATAAACTCAAAAAATGAATGGGCTGATATAGAAAAGGAAATTGGATTTCCTGAAAAATGTGTCAACTCTGAATTAGCTTTGAAGCATATCTACATCAGATATTTTGACAAATATGAACGATACAATTTTCTTGGAGAGGAAAAAGAAAGGATTGATGAGGATGAAGAAGAGAATCGACACAAGAGATGGTCTGCAAGAACATTGCATTCAATTCCACAATCTTACAATTATAATCATCATAATATTTCAAATTCAATAAGAGAAGCTAATAAGTTATCTACAAACTTGTATCAAGCATCAGAATATGATAAATTGTCTATGGCACTTTTATCTCCTCTTCCAAATGAACAGGACTTTGCCATCAATGTTTTAACTTTAATGAGTAATGAATGCAAACAGACATTAAGATTAGGAAGATGTCCGCGACTAATTGGCAATTTGCTTGCACATGCTGGATGCTACGAACATTTTAATTTAAGAGAAATGTTCCATGAATTTTATTCAAGCGTTCGAGGACATTCACAAGAGAAATTTTGGAAAGACTTACTTAGTCATAAACCTGATTTACTTTATCTCGTTTACGAAGATACATTAAGTAACGAAGAAATTAAAGTGGAAGATGATATGAAAAGAATAATTTATGGCACACATGAAGCTCCATCGAAGGAAATCGAAGACTTTAGTTTTTTAGCATTGGGACGAGGTTTAGGTACACAAGAATATATTGGACAAAGAATACATCAAGTGACAACAATTATAAGAAATTTGAGTTTTTTTGAAGAAAATGGTCCATTGTTGGCAAATGACAAAACTCTCTTGCGATTTCTTGTTATGCTCGCAAATTGTCGGTGGAACAATCTTCATATGATGGCATTAGATGTTCTTGGAAATATTGCATCAGAAATTTCACTAAAAGATCCATTTTTGGACTTGACATCTCGTCATTTATTTGGCTTGGTTTGTGATGAAATTGAAAGCAAAGATAGAGGAACAATCGTTGGAGCAATGGAGATATTAAGTAAATTATGTGCCAAAGAAGAAAATGAAGAGTTCCTTTTGAAGCATTTGAAGAAAGAGAATTATGATCAAGTTTGCACTTATTTGCTTGTTCCAGACATGATGCTTTTGGTCTATTCTCTTGAATGTGTCTATTCACTTTCATCTCTTGGAGAAAAAGCGTGTAATTCAATTGTTGATTTTCATGGAATGATAGAAACTCTTGTCTCAATGATTACACTTGAAGCCCAATCATTAGGTCCAGATTCCTGCATACAAATGAAAGTTGTTGAGACTGTTCCAACAAGACAAATTTTTTATCCACCAGCTCGTCCACAACATATGATGCCACAAAATGTAGTGATTCAAAAGGGAAATATTCCAGATCAGCAAAGATCATTGTATCAATCACCAACAAAATTTATTCAACCTCAATCACAACAAATGCAGCCACAACCACATCAATCTGATACACAAGGCGAATTTCCAAATAAAGCAGATGTTTTGATGAAACAAAAACAAGCACAAATGATGCAAGAGAATGAACAATTTGCACTGGCATGGATTCGAAATAATTTTGAATTGTCGCCTAGTTTAATGGTGAAAATTGAAGAGCATGACATGTACAGAATGTATTTAAATGCATGTACAAAAATTGGAAGGAAAGGAGTTATTTCACAAGTACATTTCCCACGCTGTGTACGGTCAATCTTTGGTGGAACTGTTGGCCCAAATCCAGGAAATTCAACTGATCCCGAAAAGATACCACAATATTATTGTGGAATTAAGCCTCGTGCAATGACTTTGCCTCAAATTTCAAACGATTCTCAAAAGCCTGAAACTATCATTATTCATCCAGCAAACTCATCATCTACAGTTAAGCAAGAAATCAAACCAGAAGACTCGTCTTTAGCTGCTCAATTGAGCGGAAACAAATCCGTGGCAGCAACTACATTATCTGTGAGAAACTTAACCGCATTTAATCTGAACTTTTTATTCAATTTAATTTTTTATTTTAGGGGCAATCGTTATTACAGCAAGCTTTATCATTAAGTCAGGCTGCTTTGCCATCACAAAGTCCAATTACTACTACAAGTGCATCTTTAGGAACCTCTGGAGGAACATCAACGTCCCTAATAAAAAGTTTATTAGCTAATAAGGTAACACCTCCTAACAATGAGACTAACTCACCCGCAATTTGTACTACTACTACTACAATGAGCATGTCTTCAACTTGTGTGAATTCAACGAATGTCAATAATTTGCATCAGGTAACAATCTTACTAATCCTTACTAAAATCTTAGTCTTTAAATTTTTGATTGTATCTAAAGACCTCAATTATCGATTTAAATCGTGAGTGAATTATTACTGTTTTAAAATAAACGAGTACTTCTTGTTTTGATTAAAAATGTTGAGCTTATAAATTAACGACTAAACCCAATTTTTTTCGTAGTTTTTGATACTAAAATATTTATATTAATCAAAGTTCAAGAACATTTTTGTAGTGATTTTATTTTTAGTAACATTGTTTTTTGTTTATGCGCGTGTGTTATCCAACTTACAGTTTAATCATTTAATAACCACATACCTTTATTACCTTTTGTATGATCGATAATATGATTATGTGTATTTATAAAAATCTAGGTGGCACAGAGACAACAAATATCACAAAAGCAAAAGCAACTGACAGAACAATTGAATGCTTCATCAGTTGCGCCATCAGCTCCAATTGTTAATCAACATCAAAAAATGGTTGTTACAAATCAGCAAAATGTTATGAAAATTGGTCAATCCACTATTATCAAGCCTGGACCTTTGCCAACTAATACAGTCATGACTGGTAGTAATGACAATAAACAAGTTGTTGTAACGACTAATGATCCTCCACCATTAGCTCCTTTAAGCACTCAAAGTAACAAGGCACCGACAATTGTTCAGACAATATCAATTAATCCAAATAATCAAGAGAAAGTTATTGTATCCCAAAAATTGACAGCAAATAAAATGCTTGTTGATTTACTTGATAAAAAAGGAACGGAACCACCACATGTTTTTGGAAGTACAACAATCAAAAGAAAAGCAGAAACGGAATCTGAAGTTCCAGCAAAAAAGCAGGATATTGAAACTCAACGTCCAGAACAAATCGTTTCTCCATCTCCTAAAGCCGCTGATTTGTATGGTAAGTATGTGACATCATTTAAAAATGTCTTAATTAAGCCTTATAAACCATAAATTTTAATATTGAATTTTATTTCAAATTTCAGCTAAATTGGCAGGATCAATACTCGAGGATGAAGATGATGAAGAAGAAGACGAACAAGAAAAATCAGTTCCTGCAAAAGTAATTGAAAAGAAAATAATTGAAATGAAGCCAACAGGTGGTGGTAGTCAGATAATCAGTACGACTCAAATGCAACGTCAAATTATTATGGGACCGAATAATCAAGTTATTTTATCGCCAAATGCTACACATCAAACAACAGCTACAATAAAGACCGACTCGGGAATTCAAACTGTTCCAATCATATTACAGAATAATTCGATGCAAGGAATTCCAGCACCGACAATTATTCAACAACCTGCTCCAACACAATATATATTAGGTACATTTATTTTCATTTTATGTGATTTATGAAAAATTTATGTTAACTTAAATTTAAATACTTTTTTATTGGTTTAATTTTTAATATTTTAGCGACCAATCAACAGGGACAAACATACGTCGTTGCTCAACAACCAATGTCACAACCACAAATGCCACAAACGGTATTGCTAGCACAAACTCCAGGTCAAACTGGAGCGCAAGCTAAAACAATCATTATACTCCAACAGCCACAAGGACAACAAATTCAAGTTCAGCCTGCGCAGCAACAAAAGATTATAATGACGCCAAATGGACAACAAGTTATCTATTCGTCTCCTGTTCAACGTCAAGTAATTGGTCAACCAATGATTCAGACAGTATCTTCAGCAAATACAATAATTCAAAATACTGCAACTACTTCGCAAGGACGTAAAATCGTATTTACAAATGTTGATGGAACAACTCAAGGAGGAGCCAAAATCATCCATAATGTTCAGCAACAACAAACACCAACAAAGATTGTTCAGCATACGGGAGCTTCCCAACAGACATTACAAGCTATTGCTCAAGGACAAAATATAATTGTCCAAAAGGGTCAGAAATTTCAAATTGGAAGCACTCAAATCTCTCAAGTTATGACACCAACTCATCAAGCACCACAGATTCAACAGGTTTCCCAACAAGTACATATTCAAGCAGCTACTCAGCAAATTCATATGCAGCAAACTTCAAACCAACAAATTCATTTCCAACAAGCCTCTTCTGTAAACCAGCAAATTCAAATTCAACAATTGCAACAAAATCCAGTTACACAAAATGTTCAATCTATTATGGCTCCTACAAAAATTGTTCAGAAAATTGAACCAAATCCATCGGCATCTCCACAAAAAGAAATTGTTGAAATCAAGAAAGATGAACATGTAGAAAGTCACACGCAAATTTCAAATCAACAGGAATCGTCACATATTAAGGTCGAAAATACTGATAGTAATGAATCACAGCAAGGAACAATGATAAAAATGGAAGAAACATCTGAATCTCAAAAAGATAAAACTCCTTCATCTTCAGGCTCGTCGTCACCATCGCCAAATCAAAATAAGCAGACAATATCAATTCAAATTCCTGTTCCACAATCTCAACTCGTTGGAGCTAATGCTCAGCAATATACGATCAAAATAATTCCTTCAATGGACACATCTATTAAAATTAAGGACGAAGATGTTGAACCAAGTTGGCTTTATATTTGTGACTGGCGCGGATGTCCAAAAAAGAAATTTAATTCTGCAAATGAGGTTTATTTGCACTCGTGCAGTGTTCATTGTCCATCATTAGATTCAAATCCAGATTTGTAAGTCAAAGGTTTATGAAACGTAAAATTATAAATCAATTAAAAATATCTTTTAAGGTACTGCCAATGGGGAGGAGGTAACAGCTTATGTGATAACCTTCCAAGAAAACGGTTCTCATTAATGACTCACATTCTTGATCGTCATTGTACAGCAGATGCATTTAGATTAGCAGCTCAGAAGAGAGTAAGTATTCAGTGTTTTCTTGGTTTAGAATTTATTCTATAAAATTAATCCTATACACAGATTGCTAACTTAGAAAGTGGTCAGCAGTCAACTACTCCTAAACAACCCTATCCAGTGACTTTATATCGTCAACCAAACGCACAATCACAAAACGAGAGTCAATCGAATCTTGCAAATGGACCTACAAACATTCAAAATGCTGGTGTTGCTGCTATGCAAGCAATAAAGAGACACTCGATTGATTTTATTCATTTAAAAGATGTTTCTGTAAGTTTACACAGACTTTATATGATTTCGACGAATTCTTGAACATTTCTATTTTTGACAATTCTTCAACAGCTTCAAGATGAGACAGAAGGAACAGTCACGAAAAGTATTCGTCTGACAGCAGCGTTGATTCTAAGAAATCTAGCCACTTATAGTAGTACAGCGAAGAGGTATAGAATCATTGAATTATTTTTAATACTCAAACTCTCATGATTTTCTTTAATCTTCTTTTAGAGCATTGCGTTATCATGAATCTCATTTGTCACAAATTGCCCTTAGTAATTTGGAATCGAATCGTGTGATTGCACAGGTTCTTTATGAATGCACGAGGACAGAAATTTCACCTTTCGCTAGGCCTTAAGAATTTAATTCAATTGACTATTGTAGATTTAAATAATATTATTACTAAGAAATAAAGTTATCCTTAATCTCAAGTTAACGATCTTTTTAGATAAAATTACTATAACTATGATCTAAGAGAGCTTTATTAGCACGTCAATTGGAAAATGCACGAATTACAAAAGTCCTGTTGTTATTAATCGAGGGACTTCAGCGCATTTTTGACGCAGCGATCAGTATTTGAATTTAAAAGAATTTTTCATTTAACGGTTTTTGAGATTCATAAAATGATTCTGGGGCAAAATGTCGTAACTGCATTTTTTTCTTTTACTTGTTATAACTCTAAAACTATAGTAGATAACATAGACATATTGTATATCGTTGGAATTGACATCCAAAAAGCTATTTAATTATGCTTTTTTGAACCGGTTCAATCGGTTTAAACGGTTCAAAGTTGAAAAACTAACTTTTTCAATTGTTTTGTTATATATTATAAGGGCTATATATTAGCCCTTTTTGATTTTCAGTCAACGCTCACCTCTATTTGAGTCTGTGGAATTAAGGATCCCTATGTGGAACAAAGGATGATCTGTCTGTGGAACAAAATGGCGATATCAACAGGAAAAGATTTCTTTATCCTCTATCCAACTTGATTCAAATCTAGTTTAAATTTTATTCACATTAATTAACTTCGTTATCTTCACTATTTAAATTACTTACAATATTTTTACGCAAGCACTAAATTATTTAATATATTTATTTTATTATAATTATTTTGTATGACCTTTTTTGCTGACCGTACTCAACTGACTCTTCGGGTTTTGAGGTCCCTTAAATATGGCGACGATTCCGCCAATTTTTGTCCAACGAATTGAAACCAACGGCTGTTGATTCTACCTAATTCAAATCTCTAGCGACTGTTATCTGTGAAATTAAAATTCATTCGTTTTTTACGCGACATCAATACTTAATCAAAGGCTTTGCTTTTTAACTCGTTTTGTAACCTTTAAAAATGTTCACAACTTGTTGGAGCTAGATTTTTGATTATCGACCTGTGACGTCATTTATGAGCTATTTATGTCGAAACTTTGACAGCTTATTTCTCAGCAACTACATATGATACAATAACGATATATATCTTAAAAATTTTTAAGAGTGTTGACAAGGTGATTGTCAGGTAGGGGGTGGGTGTCAGGTGGGTCCGATTTTAAGAGGGTTTGTGTAGCCATGTGAAGTTTTGTGCAGCCAATTATAAAACTTTGGTAAGATTAAATAAGTCCGAGTTTGAGGGGTTTGTCTAACAGTTATTTACATAAAAGTAATCAAATTTTAACCCTGATAAGAGGCGCCAAGGGCGCCTCCGGATAGCCTAGTTTATAATACCTAGATATGTTTTAAAATGCACTTTAATGCATTTATGGTTTTGATCATAGTAGGCTATTTTCAAAAAAATATCGATTTTATATCTATATTAGCTTTCTATATCATTTAAAATACCTAGATATGTTTTAAAATGCAATTTAAAGCATTTTTGGTTACGATCATAGTAGGCTATTTTCAAAAAATATCGATTTTATGTATATATTAGCATTCTTTATCATTTATAAGACCTAGATATGTTTTAAAATGCAATTCAAAGCATTTTTGGTTTTGATCATAGTAGGCTATTTTCAAAAAAATATCGATTTTATATCTATATTAGCTTTCTATATCATTTAAAATACCTAGATATGTTTTAAAATGCAATTTAAAGCATTTTTGGGTTTGATCTTAGTAGGCTTTTTTCAAAAAAAAATATCGATTTTATATCTAATTTAGCATTCTTTGTCATTTATAATTCCTAGATATGTTTTAAAATGCAATTTAAAGCATTTTTGGTTTTGATCATAGTAGGCTATTTTCAAAAAAATATCGATTTTATATCTATATTAGCTTTCTTTATCATTTAAAATACCTAGATATGTTTTAAAATGCAATTTAAAGCATTTTTGGTTTCGATCATAGTAAGCTATTTTCAAAAAAAAATCAATTTTATATCTATATTAGCTTTCTTTATCATTTAAAATACCTAGATATGTTTTAAAATGCAATTTAAAGCATTTTTGGTTTTGATCATAGTAGGCTATTTTCAAAAAAAATCCGATTTTATATCTATATTAGCTTTCTTTATCATTTAAAATACCTAGATATGTTTTAAAATGCAATTTAAAGCATTTTTGGTTTCGATCTTAGTAGGCTTTTTTCAAAAAAAAATCCGATTTTATATCTATATTAGCTTTCTTTATCATTTAAAATACCTAGATATGTTTTAAAATGCAATTTAAAGCATTTTTGGTTTCGATCATAGTAGGCTATTTTCAAAAAAATATCGATTTTATATCTATATTAGCTTTCTTTATCATTTAAAATACCTAGATATGTTTTAAAATGCAATTTAAAGCATTTTTGGTTTTGATCATAGTAGGCTATTTTCAAAAAAAATCCGATTTTATATCTATATTAGCTTTCTTTATCATTTAAAATACCTAGATATGTTTTAAAATGCAATTTAAAGCATTTTTGGTTTTGATCATAGTAGGCTATTTTCAAAAAAATATCGATTTTATATCTATATTAGCTTTCTTTATCATTTAAAATACCTAGATATGTTTTAAAATGCAATTTAAAGCATTTTTGTTTTTGATCATAGTAGGCTATTTTCAAAAAAATATCGATTTTATATCTATATTAGCTTTCTTTATCATTTAAAATACCTAGATATGTTTTAAAATGCAATTTAAAGCATTTTTAGTTTCGATCTTAGTAGGCTTTTTTCAAAAAAAAAATATCGATTTTATATCTAATTTAGCATTTTTTTGACATTTATAATCAGTGTTGCAAATGTAGATCTCTACACTAGATGAAGAATGTAGATTCTTCAATAGTTTTTGTCTAGCTAAGATACTTTCTTCATAAAGATCGATTCTACATGTAGAAAGAAAAAAACCATCTACATGAAGATTGTGTCTACATGTAGAATCTGTCTACATGTAGATTCGATGTAGATGTCTATAATTCTACATTTTTTCCAGGTCTACATCAGAGAAGAATGTAGAATCGTAGACATCTACATTAAATCTACATGTAGACAGATTCTACATGTAGACACAATCTACATGTAGATGGTTTTTTTCTTTCTACATGTAGAATCGATTTTATGAAGAAATTTCTGTCTCAGAATTTATCTGATCCAGACAAATAGCCAGAATGCAACACTGTTTATAATACCTAGATATGTTTTAAAATGCAATTTAAAGCATTTTTAGTTTCGATCTTAGTAGGCTTTTTTCAAAAAAAAAAATATCGATTTTATATCTAATTTAGCTTTCTTTATCATTTATAATACCTAGTTATGTTTAAAATGCAATTTAAAGCATTTTTGGTTTCGATCTTAGTAGGCTTTTTTCAAAAAAAAATATCGATTTTATATCTTATTTAGCATTCTTTGACATTTATAATACCTAGATATGTTTTAAAATGCAATTTAAAGCATTTTTGGTTTTGATCATAGTAGGCTATTTTCAAAAAAATATCGATTTTATATCTATATTAGCTTTCTTTATCATTTATAACACCCAAATATGTTTTAAAATGCAATTTAAAGCATTTTTGGTTTTGATCATAGTAGGCTATTTTCAAAAAAATATCGATTTTATATCTTTATTAGCTTTCTTTATCATTTAAAATACCTAGATATGTTTTAAAATGCAATTTAAAGCATTTTTGTTTTTGATCATAGTAGGCTTTTTTCAAAAAAATATCGATTTTATATCTATATTAGCTTTCTTTATCATTTATAATACCTAGATATGTTTTAAAATGCAATTTAAAGCATTTTTAGTTTCGATCTTAGTAGGCTTTTTTCAAAAAAAAATATCGATTTTATATCTAATTTAGCATTTTTTTGACATTTATAATACCTAGATATGTTTTAAAATGCAATTTAAAGCATTTTTGGTTTTGATCATAGTAGGCTTTTTTCAAAAAAAAAATATCGATTTTATATCTAATTTAGCTTTCTTTATCATTTATAATACCTAGTTATGTTTAAAATGCAATTTAAAGCATTTTTGGTTTCGATCTTAGTAGGCTTTTTTCAAAAAAAAATATCGATTTTATATCTAATTTAGCTTTCTTTATCATTTAAAATACCTAGATATGTTTTAAAATGCAATTTAAAGCATTTTTGTTTTTGATCATAGTAGGCTTTTTTCAAAAAAATATCGATTTTATATCTTTATTAGCTTTCTTTATCATTTATAATACCTAGATATGTTTTAAAATGCAATTTAATGCATTTTTGGTTTTGATCATAGTAGGCTTTTTTCAAAAAAAAAATCCGATTTTATATCTATATTAGCTTTCTTTATCATTTAAAATACCTAGATATGTTTTAAAATGCAATTTAAAGCATTTTTGGTTTCGATCTTAGTAGGCTATTTTCAAAAAAATATCGATTTTATATCTATATTATCTTTCTTTATCATTTAAAATACCTAGATATGTTTTAAAATGCAATTTAAAGCATTTTTGGTTTTGATCATAGTAGGCTATTTCCAAAAAAATATCGATTTTATATCTATATTAGCTTTCTTTATCATTTATAATACCTAGATATGTTTTAAAATGCAATTTAAAGCATTTTTGGTTTTGATCATAGTAGGCTATTTTCAAAAAAATATCGATTTTATATCTATATTATCTTTCTTTATCATTTAAAATACCTAGATATGTTTTAAAATGCAATTTAAAGCATTTTTGGTTTTGATCATAGTAGACTATTTTCAAAAAAATATCGATTTTATATCTATATTAGCTTTCTTTATCATTTAAAATACCTAGATATGTTTTAAAATGCAATTTAATGCATTTTTGGTTTTGATCATAGTAGGCTATTTTCAAAAAAAATCCGATTTTATATCTATATTAGCTTTCTTTATCATTTAAAATACCTAGATATGTTTTAAAATGCAATTTAAAGCATTTTTGGTTTCGATCTTAGTAGGCTTTTTTCAAAAAAAAAAATCCGATTTTATATCTATATTAGCTTTCTT